CTTTATGTTATTTCATATTTATACTAATAACCCGTCTTACCATATAACCCCGTTATATGTAGAATGATAGGTTAAATTTTCTATATGTTTAAATATTAATAATATCCTATGTTTTTAATTAATTTTAAATTTATCAGTTATCTTAATTAAAGATATGAGATGATTAATTAATAATTTTTTTAAAAATGGTTAGTGCACGACCATAGATTCATGTGTCATTTCCTTGTCAGAATCTTCTTGTTTTTTTTCGAGGTGCGAGCAAGACCATAACTTATCTAAAGGGTTAGGCTAAGTGCATTAGCATATGTAGACAAAAGTCCCACGTAATTATTGGTAAAAAAATTAAAAATGATCAAAATAGGTGGGACGTATACAAAATCGGGACCGTTATTCGTTTTGGTTAGTGCATTATTCGGGGGCCCCGCGACACGTGGCGGCCCACGATTGGTTGACAATTTTTTTTTTTTTTAAATCTTAAGAAAGAAAGAAAAAAAAATGTTGTGGGACAATTTTATCTGTATACTCCAATGCACATGGTTTTAGATGTGTTATTCTTTGTACCAGTGATGTATGATTAGAATGATAAGCTTAATCTTCGGCTTGCTTCTCAAACCACTTCCTGAATCTCGTTTTCATTTTCGCCTCTGGTTCCCATGTCTACTCCAAAATGCCATCACAGTCTCACTGGACTGTGATCAAAAGCATCTTCTTACGCCGAAATTCTTTGACTTTCCTCTTGAGAACCTCCACTGGTCTCGCCTCCAGAGTCATGTTGGTTAAAGATCTGTAGGAAACTTAGACAATACCTCATCATCCTTATGCAAACATTTCTTAAGCATCGAGACATGAAACACCTTATGAAATGCCTAAATAACCTCGGGTAACTCCAACCGATACAACAGCAGCCCGACCCGCTCCATAATCCTTAAAAGACCCATATACCTCAGACTCAATTTAGTCTCGGCAAGGGATATATTAGGACCTTGCAACATAGCCATCTTGAATTACACTATATTTCCAACCTCAACTCAAGCTCTTTCCGCCTCTTATCAGCATAACTCTTATGCCAATCTAGAGCTTCTCTCATGTTCAGCTTCAAAATCTGGATCTTCTCCGACGTTTTCTGAGCGAAATCTGCAACCAATATGCTCCTCTCCCCCACTTGAGTCCAACATAATGGTCTCGTGCATGGCCTCTCATACAAAGCCTCATAAGGAGTCATGGCAATACTCGCTTGGTAGCTATTGTTGTATGCAAAATCTACCAAGTTCAAGTGATCCACCCAATAGTCACCCAGATCTAGTACACATATTCTCAACAAATCCTCGAGGGTCTGAATCGTAACTCGGATTGTCAATCTGGCTGAGGATGATACGTTGTACTCAAATTCATATTCCTTCTGGAAAGCCCTCCAAAACGTAAAAGTGAACTTTGAATCCCGGTCTGAAACAATACTGGTCAGAACTCCGTGAAGCTTCACTGTCTCCTGCATATACTTCTTAGCCAAAACCGCTACTCCATCGGTCATCTTAATAGCTAGAAAATGTGCACACTTAGTCAACCAGTGCATAATGACCCAAATAGAATCCTTAAACCGAGAAACCGACAATCCCACTACGAAATCCATCATGATTATATATCACTTCTACTCCATAATGGGCAAACTCTGGAACAAACTGCTTGGTACCCGATGCTCTACCTTCACTAACTAGCAAATCGCAGTCTACGATCCAGTTAGCAACATCCTGACCTAATAATAATACCGCTTGAGATCCCGATACTTCTTAGTCGCTCCCGGATGAACCGGAAACATACTAACATGAATCTCCTTTACGATCTCTTGCTTCAAACTCTCATTATTAGGCACATAAACCCGCCCGTGAACAAAACATGTTAACATTACAATAATCATTAATATATATTTTAACTTGTTTATCAAATCGTCACTCCAATACACACGGCACTGCGTATGCCGTTTTACCAGGGAGGGACAAGAAAGTTGATCTTGACCCAGTTGTCCTATGTATATTTGGTAGACTCATGTGCAATTTCTGTTGAGTCAAGCTTGTCGTAACAAAAGGTTTCTAAAAATTATATGAATGTTATAGAATCTCATACGCAGAGATTGATGCACAATTGGAGCAAAGAAAGGGCCTGCCATGAGAAAAGCCAAAATATACAGACTAAGACGAAGTCAAAGACAAGTAAAGAAAAATAGGAAGAAGACTCATAAGCTCTTACAACTTCAGTCTATATTTTTATTGTCAAATATTATTCTCTTTACATTTAACAAAATAAAGCTTATATATGGGGTAAAACAAATCGGTTATGGGTTTATCGATTCGATTTAATTAGAATTCTAGAAATTTGGATAAAATAATTTTTGTAAAGAGGCAAAAAGTTTATATGAAAGCTAAGTAAACAACAAGTAAAAGGGAGAACAATGCGGCAAATTAAATTATTATTCAGAAAAGATATAACTTTCATACTTTTACAATACAGTATGTTGGATACTATTTTCGTCATATAATCGCAAAAAAAATTAAATCTATGTTTAAAATTATAGAAGGGTTAATAATACTTTAGTTTAAACTTGGTGCAGAGTTAAAATAATAATAACATTTAAAATTTTAAATTATTTTAAAACATTTTAAACTTTATATGTAATTAACGATATTATTTATTTTACAACTTGTTTTGTCTTAGAACCGGCCCGTCCTGTCACATAATCGCTGAAAAATTAAACCATGTTTAAATTAGGGGGATTTGCACAACTAACATTTTTATGATACCCTTTTCTATAAGTACTCTCTATAGGTGTCCACTTTCAAAAATACCCTCTTCAATCTATAAAACGATTAAATTACTCTCCTTTAATATAACACATGATGAAGAAAGGAATATTTTTTCCAACAAAAATAATATTCTTTGCGAAAAATTTCCTGCCAAAAATTTTCGACAAAATTTTTCCCGCCAAAAATTTCCGACAAACTTTCTGAGCCAAAAAAAAATTCCCAACATAAATTTTCCGCAATTCCTTAAAAACCTTGTAAATATTTTTAAATCCCTTAAAAATCCTTTAAAACCCCTTGTAAATCTTTTAAAAGTCATCCAAAACCTTTCAAAACATGATTAAACCTTTTAAAACCATTGTAAATCATTTTATAACATTTATAAACACTTGTAAATCCCTTTAAACCCATTATAACCATGATAAATCATATAATAAAAACTTTTGTAAAATTCTTAAACCCTTTAAAAACCCTTGTAAATCCTTAAAAACCATTTTAAAGAACTTGTAATACCTTTAAAAACTTTTGTAAACCCTTTAAAAACCTCTATAAACTTCTAAAACCATTTAAAATCCCTTGTAAATCCTTTAAAACTATTTTTAAATCTTTGTATGTCTTTAAAAACACTTGTAAATCCTTTTAAAAACACTTGTAATTGATGACAAAAAAAAAAAAAAACACATGTAATTCCTTTTAAAAAACTTTTAAAAATCCTTGTAAATTTTTAAAATCGTTTAAAAATCCTTGTAAATCCATTTAAAAATGTTATAAACTTATAAAAACTTTTAAAAACCATTGTAAACCATTTAAAAACCATTCAAAAACCATTCAAAAACCTTTGTAACCTTTTAAAACCCTTTAAAAACCATTACAAATCTCTTTAAAACCATTAAAAACTCTTGTAAATCCCTTTAAAAACCCTTGTAAATTTTGGCGGGAAAGTTTTTACCGGAAAATTTTTGGGGGAAAAATTTTTGGAAGGATTATTAAAATTTTTGGGGGTAAAATGACCATTAAAATTAAAGAGCGGGCAAAAATGTAAATGACAAAAAGATGGTATCATAAAAAGGTTATTGGTATCAATTTTTCTTTAAATTACGGCAGTCCAATAATATTTTAATTTAAATTGATGTAGATTTAATATATTAATAACACTGAAACTTTCAAAAAGTCTTAAAATAGTTAAAATATCTAAAACGTTATAACATTAAGAATACTTCTTACTTTTTTATAGAGTTTAAATATTTAGAATATTTTAAAACACTCTATAAAGATTAAATATAATATATAAACTTTTAAAATTTTTGAATATATTATAATATTTGAAACATTTTCGAAATGTTTAATTTGTTCAAATAAAATACCGTATTAAACATAATAAAACATTTTAAATTTGGACGCCTCAAAAATCCAAAAACCCTATGAATCATTGTCAAATGTTAAACATATGCAAAAAATAATAATTTGTAATATATGTTTGTTTTCAAAAATTCAAATTGCAGAATATCGGAATTTTCTTTTGGATTTTTGCTATATATAATTTTATGTAATAAAATAAATTAACAACATATAAGATCACGTAAAGATATTGGACAATTATTTGAGAGAAATAAATTTTTAAAAATAAGAAAATGAGATTTTGTATTTATTAGGGAGATATTTTAGGAATATTGTTAAATACTATGATTATTATATTTTAAATAAATATAAACTGTATTGTTCCGATTTTAAGGGAGAAAACATTATGGATTTAATTGTGTTGATTAATTTACGAAATATAAATCGGTGGGGAACTGATTTTTAAGCTTGTAATTGATGTATTTAGTTTAATTAAATAATGCATTGTGTAGATTTTAGAGAGATTTTAGGAGAATTTAATTAGGAAACAACTTTATGATTTTATTTAATTCACTATGTAATTGAATTTTACAAAAATAATTGGGGAAAAATATGTATTGCCACTCATATTTACACTCATTTTTGCCCAATAATTGAAGTGTTAAAACCATAAATATTTTATTTTTATCTTTTGTAATATGGTTTTGATTGGGCCTTTTAAATTTGTCCACTGGGCTTTTAACTTTTTGGACAAAAAAAGAAAAGAAAAGAAAGAACAAGTCAACAAAACGATAGATGATATTAGAAAACAGAAAAGATTCTTAAATAATCTTTAATTCAAAACAAGATTTTGAAGTTATAAGTCTGAGAAATCTCTGCAAAAAAAAAAAAAAAAAAAACAAAACAAAAAGAACCTTATTGTAGGTAGCCATGGGTGGTGGTGATACTCTCGACGATGGTAAATTTCTTGAACTTTTTCTTGTTTCTTGAATTGTCATTTAATTTTGCATGTTTGATAACGAAAATTAAGTATTTTTAAAATGTTATAGAGGAAGAATCTTCAAGATCATCATCATCATCTCCTTGTTTCAGTTTCAGGTATTATTATTATTACTACTTTAGTTGAGGGTTTAAGGATCAGAATCTTCAAGATCATAATCAAGAAACTGATTGTTTATTTTTGATATGTGGTAGTGATGATGATTCAGGGTTTAAGTATTGTGTTTCTGAACACAATTTCTCGATTTTGGCTACTGAAATGAGAAGGGGAGATAAGGCTTACCAAGAGATTCTACAAAATCAGGATCTGTTGCTCAGAAGCAGTAAAAGGAAACTTAGACAAGCCAGGAACAAAATCTTGAGGTTTTTTTATAATTTATTTCATTTAATTCAGTTCAATTTAGGGAATAGTTGTGTTACTAATTCTACATTAGTAATTGAATTAATAGTTGTGTTACTAGTTGTAGTTGGTGATCATATAAATTGAATTAATGATGTTTATGTTTCTGGCTATTATGGTTTATATAGCTATACTCCTGGATCGTTTTCTGATCGGAAATTGCGCGATAACGATGTTCTGAAGACTACATCAATCATCCTTGTTGGTCCGAAAGGAGCCAGGAAGAGTAGTCTTGTTAATCAGATTACAAGAGTGATCGAAGACGATGAATTTTTACCCCCAGCTAGAGCTCAAGAATCATGTAAAGTATATTTATATGTTTGATTTAGTTTACTTATTTTCAGAGATGAGATTAAATCCTGTTTTTGTCGTTCTCTCGAATCGTAGTTGGTATGCAGTCTAAAGGAGGGACATATTTTGTTGAGGAATATATGATCCCAAGAGGAGGTTCTGGTTCTTTTTGCTTGTATGACACGCGTGGTTTGAGCCATGTCCCGTCATCTGATAACATTAGTATGATTGAGAAGTGGATGACAAGAGGCGTGCGTCGCGGCGAACCTGTCATATGGTTACGATTCTTGATTTATTCTCCTTTTAGGCTTTAATTAGTTATTGTTTGTTAACTTGGTGAGTTTTTTATATGTTCAGGGGATCCGATAGCTCTGAGTTGAAGAATAGACTAATCCGAGATGGTGGTACCGGTAATGAGATAAGGAAAGTGAATTTCGTTATCTTTGTTGTTGATGCGGTGGAAATCTTGCCCGGGATCCAAATCCTAAGTCTGAGTCTATGACTAAAGGAGAGCCTAGCATTGATTTGCATATAGCGCGACGCCTATGGTTCGACGAGGGGAAAGTGGCTAAGGCAGAGCCAAGCTTGGATTTGTGAACCACTCGACGCTTGTGGTACGTTGAGTGAAAAGTATGGAAGCTTCAACATCTGATATGTAAAAAAATAAAGTTGATGTTTTAGGAAACTTGAATTGTTCTGAGTCTTCTCACCGGTTCAATAAGGTTCTCTTACTTTGTTTTAGTTAAAACGTATATGTTAATAAATAATAACATTGTTTATAATAAATAATAATCAGATTCTACTACTAATCTAAAAGCATCACGAAAAAAATAAAGCGCGGAAAAATATTTACGTAAACCTTGTTACGTTAGTTATAAATTATAATATAATTTTTATTTTCATTTGATTCGTTAGTTATAAATAATAATAACATTTAATAATTTTTCTATATTTAATTTACTTGGTTTCATATTTTGATCGATCTGTAATCGGTAACACTATTTTGGTTTGGATACAATGTCAAAATTTGTTACTTATAAATTTGGTAAAGTCCAAAAACAAAATCCTAAAATTTTTTTTGTTCACCTATGATTCTGTGAATTGAAGTGGTCATGTTTAGAAATTCTAATTTAACTTTCTGATATAATTTTTTTTGTTGTAGTTACTACATTGAATAAAATATGTTATTTTAATATTTTAGTTATACATTTATGTAATTAATATCTCAACAAAATATTGAATATATTAAGAAAAAAATATTACATGATGTCTATAAATAAAAATTAGCATATATATTTTCTTAACTAAAGGAAAATAAGATATTAATTTTTAAGAAAATATAATGCAATCAAAATACACAAAAACTAGATTATGTATACGTATACTACCTAACTACAAAATCGTATGTTATACACACACATTACAAATAAACATAATTTGATTCTTTATAAAAGAAATATTTTACTCTTTAATCTAAAAATTGTATTGCTGATTTTTTTGGATACGAATATTGTACCATTACAATAACTAACAATAATTGTGATTCTTAATTTTCATGACATATAAATGTTTGTTATTGTTTCCTAAAATTTCTGAAACAACAAATGAATTATGTTATATAAATTTCAAAAATATTAAATTGATTATCGTATAAGAAAGAAAGAAATATAGGCAAATTTTTTTATTTATTATTAAATTAATAAAATGTAATGGTATTTTTTTTGTAATATGTCACATCATAGCTGGTTAAAGTGCTATAAACATTTCTTAAAAAATAATGGATATAGAGATGTTGGGACATTTAAAATCTATTAATTTATAGATTTAAATTTATCAAACATTTAATTTAAGAATTATTTGGTAAGTTTTTTTAAAAATATTTAAAAAGTAGATGTTTTTGATACAATAAAAATATTAGAAATTAACTCTGCCTTGAAAAACTAATGTGGCAGCAGATAAAAGATTCAAATTGCGATCATGACTATCGAGTTAGTTTGTATTATTTGGATAAGTCACTTATGAGGGTGTATACCTTGCATTGGCAAAATTAGGAATCAATTAGTCGTTTTTATTCACATCACCAAAAGAGCTTGTCGGTCATTAAGACACACTAATTTGTATATATATATATGATTTTATGACACACTAATTTGATCAAACTTAGTACACTAACTTAGATCCTGACTGTAAGTAAAACTATGGTATTGAAGTATATAGTGTTTTTGGCTTAACTTGACTAGCTGTGCTCTTTATATTTTATCACGTTTGACTAATAAAGTTATTTTTTTGATGATGTTTGTTGAGAAAACAAAGATGACTTAATTCAAGGTGTCACTAGACAGATGACTAATATAATACATATAGATTATATAAATTACGCCTATATAATCTATAATTCTTTTTACTTTGATATCGTCAATAGTCTTAAGTAAGTTGTCATAATAAAGTTGGTTAACAAATTTTCTGGTCAATAAATCCGCTAAACACTTATAATTTTAGAGTGTTCTTGGTCAAGTTGCAAATCTAGAGTGTATGAAGGCTATAAAAGTGTCTATTTGATGACAAAAAAATGTTGTCTATAATAGAGTATGCACAAAAAACAAAGAGTAAAACTTGTCTATTAAACAATGTCCATAATTAATATGACAGCTAGTAAAAATGTCTCGTCTCATGTCAGTTTTCTTTTTCTTCTTTCTTTGAAAGTAATTTTGTCTTTTTTCTGTAACATAAAAATGAATATGGCATTTTATAAAATACAAAGTAGAAAATTGCAGTTTTAAAAGAATGAGTTTTGAAAACGGCATCTTCTATATATATAAAGTTAACTTTTTCTCTCTTCTCCTTATGCCACATCAGCTGCCACATCATCATTCATCTTAATTTTTTACATTGATTTAGAATTATAACACTTTAGTTTTTAATTTTTTTTCTACCTCATAACTTAGCTTTTATTTTATTTTTTATATTCAATAATGGTTTTAAGAAAATAAATAATATAATAAAAAACATTTATGTCCAAAATAAATAAAACAAATATTTATTTATAAAGTAATGATCAATTTTTTGATTAATGGGACTAAATACAAAAACAAAATACAAAACAAGGATATTTATACTATACATATAGATATACCACTAAATTGATGTCATCTGAAGCCACATCAAACGAGAACACAACCGATTTTAGGCATAAGAAGTAGAAAAAAACTAAAAAGTAAAATGAAAACACTTGGATAAATAAATAAGTGGATTCATTAGAATAATTTGGCCTACAAAAATTGAAGGCTTTTGAGATGTAAGGTTCTAACAGCTACTATTTGACCTAAATCAAAGTTTAACAAATAACAATAAACATTCCATATACTAAATTAATACAAAAACAACGGTAAAAACAAAAAAAATAAACAAAAAACAAAGAAAAATCAAAATATAAATTTTCAAATATAAAAAAAAAACAATTATAAAACTCCCACGCGCAGCGCGGATCAACAACTAGTTTTATATAAAATTCCCTTTATTGTGTTAAACAAAGGGAAAAAAAGAGTCTATTAAAATAGAATATATCAAAGGTTTGTTCAGGTAACAAACAATACCAAATAGAATATATCTCAATGTAGAAGCAATTATTTTTTTCCTTTTTTTTTTGTAAACTAATGTAGAAGCAATTTTACTCATTTAATTAAAACTGTTATGTAATTATTATTATCTTTTGATATTTTTGTGTCCTTTACACAATTTGCAATACTAGCGGTCTATCTTTTACAACATTACCTTCCCTATACAATGAATTGTTAATTATATGTATACAACAAAATGGCCAGATTATACAATAAAATGGCCAGATTATACAATAAAATGGCCAAATAACAAAAATGCAAAGACATTAACAACCAAAGAAAAAAAAAACGAAAAATAATGTGTGAATGAAAAGTTCGTCGGTGGCCTCACTCTTCTTCAATAATCATCTAAATAAATAATATATTAATTTGTTATTTAATTTCAACTATATTATTTTTAGTTTCCTTGTCTCTCTGTATTTACCTAGTCCCTCTCTTGAACCCTTTGCTAGCTCTAGTGCTCTACGATACTATAAACCAAATTTGATAATTAGCTAATTTTTATTGTTGTTTGAATTTTACAGTAAATTAGAAAAATACAATTTCATTAGCCTACGAACTGCCCAAGGTTGCCTCTTAAGTTTATTTTATTTATTTTTTCTTAAATTTTTTTTTATTTCTTTGGTTTATTTCTTTGGTTTAATGTCTTTAAAGTAAGAGATAAAGATTTTCTTAAATTTGTTTTTTTCTTAAATTTGTTCCAAACCATAATCTTACAATACAGTAAAAGAAAAAAAAAGTTTACATAAAAGATTATTTTACTTAAATAAAATAGTAAGTGAACGTACTAAATTATGCAATCAAATAGTTTGTAATTTGATACTGTTTAGTCGAAAGAGTGTACATATAGTAGTAGTATGTACAATAATATTATACGAAAAAAAAAAAAAAGTATGAGAGATCATGAAAATTGGTTTCTATCAGACCAATAGTATGCTCATTAGAAACTCATTTGGAATGTGTCGTCTTTTAATTGGTTTATTTTTGTTTTTAAAAAATAATAACTATTTATTAAACTTATATTAAAATTGTTATGCCTTGTCCCGTAACTGAGTTTTGTCGGGAATGAATTGGGTGTATTGATCGATCGAGGGCTTAGACCGGTCAATCTTGAATGCAAATTTTTTGATGTTAAGCGACACCAGTACTTGTTGGATGGTTGCTCAACTCTAACCAACAAATTTCATCAATGACACCCTGGTTTCAAGAACTATGGTGGTGTATACAGGAAAATAGAGAAAATCAACCTAAACTATTTGCTAGATGGCAGTATTTTAATACCTAAACGAAGATACTCGGCAAATAGCAATCTAAACTCACGAAATTTTCAAATTTCTAACCAAAATTATATGAAATTAGCCAAAATCAACATATACGGAAACAATGTTAGTTAAGCACTTAACGACGATATGTCAGCCGACACCACCAGCAAATACTCTAGGATGATTTTTGCTATTTTCGCGTGGTGTATGCAGAGAGGTTTTAGATAATTAATTTGGTCAGCAATGTCACTAAAATGCACTTATCTTTTTTAGTCAACCATCCCTAAAGAACTTCATAGTTAAGCATGATTGAGCTGGATTCTTTTGATGATGGGTGACCTTTCGAGAAGTGCTTTTCAAAACCATGTGAGGAAAAACATGGGGAAAGAACATGTGCTGACTTGTAGGGTTGATAAAAAATCTTTAAAGCCTCTCGGACATAGCGTACTGATCTTCGGCTAAGGGTGGGCTCACGGGCCGAGAGAGGACATCTGGTGCACTAAAAAAGTTTGGCTCAAGACGAATAGTGGATGTGGGGTCTATCAAGATATGGTAATTTGGGAGTTACAAGTGGTATAAGAGCCAAACTCAAATAAATGTGGAGTCAAGATGCCACACCGTCAAGGGGTGATGGTCTTAGTTCACAACAAAGATGCTGCAGTCCGTTAGTGGGTTAAATTGTGAGACTCCTATTTTAAGACATTTGGTGCTGCATGCAGAGAGGTTTAGAAGAATTTATTTGGTCACCTATTTCGGTAATGTGAAATTATCTTTTCAAGAAACCATTTAAGATAATCCCATAATTAAGCGTGTTTTAGCTGGAGTAGTTCATGATGAGTGACTTTTTGGGAAATGATTATCGGAACTGAGCGAGTGAGGGCACAATACAAAGAATGATCACATGTTGATTTGTTGGGTTGGTAAAAACATCTTTAAAGCCTTCCTAACTTGGCCTACTGACCGTCGAATAATGAAGCACTCAAGGACCGGAAGAGGATTGGGGCCCTTTAAGTGAAGTGGGCTTATGGGCCTAGAGTGGACTTGGTGCCTATTAAGTGGTGACGGTCGGGCCGTTACATAGTCAAAGAGGCATAAGTAGTTGTTGAGAGCAAAAATATGATATGTAGTTTGGGTTAACTAACTGCAGTGTGTGCAGTGTTGGTCTTTAAAGTGACCAGCGTTGATGAAGTGAAGCCGTGGTTGGATCGAGATGAAGTATTTCAACCCATCTCTCTTGTTACTCGATTAGTAAGAGTTGTTGGGTGTATAAATCAGTAACAAGATGAGGTGGTGTTTGGTATTACGTGATTAAGTGAAGCTTGTTCGAGAAAGAGGAGTCATGTGGCTTGTCCGGGTGGATCACGAAGTAGTTCGATTGACAGTGAAGGTAGTCTGAAGTGTAAGGTACTTGTAAATTAAGTACATTTGTATGGTTTTGTTGTTTTGCTGCGTAGAATGGTTAGATTGTGTTCTTAGCTTGAATTTAACATGTTTGTAAAAAAATTTGTCATAAGCTAAATCGACGCCGGAAATTTTGTTGTAAATATTGGATTTTGGCGAGACAGTGTTTTTGCATATCCAATGTGTTTAAAAATAATATGATTTATTACTAAAACATCAATAATTCTAAGATCATATACATTGGTTAGATATTCCTATTTTTCTAGGATATCTAACTAATATATTACTAATATCTTAAACAAATTAATTAGAGAATTTCAACATAAAAATCTATCTTTATTAGTGAGATACCTATTCATACTGTATTTCATAATTTGATTAAAAAGTTTATATGTTCCATTTTCAATAATTTTCCTAAAACAGTTTTTTTTTACATCTATCCAATTCCATTAATTAATAATATTTATTTACAAAAGTAACAATAATTTGATAGTTTTCTAGGAATAAATAAACCTTACATAACATTATACACACAAAATCTCTTAAATAATACAACTAAAAATAAGTATAAAGTATAAATATATAAGGGAAAATATATAAAAGTCCAAGATGAAGGGAAAAGTGGAAATAGAGATACACAAATAAAAAAATAACACGTTTCCTTCGTGGATTCAACTTTTATCAAAACCTCATGGGCTTTTTATTTCTAGCATTTATCTTCCAATTACAATTATTGATATATTTTTTTGGTTATTTCTAGTATTTATCTATTCCTAATAAATATTCCAAATTTTCCTTTTTTTTTTGGTTTTTGGTTTTTGTCAAAAATATTAAATCTTCCTTCTTGTCTTCTCCAGCGTTTACCAACCAAATAAATAAGATGGCAAAGGTGGTAGATGCATGAGCTGCCTCATACACCACCACAACTCCAAAAAACACAAATTAAACTCTCCTCTCTCTCTCTCTCTTTATCTCTATCTCTCTCTCTCTCTCTCTTCTGTTCAACTAACAAATAAGACCTTGTGTTCTGTCACTCACCACCTTCTTTAGAGGTATCTCTCTCTCCGGTTTATCAAAACCCATTAACCGGTCCTCTGTTTTTTTTTTCTTTGGTCCTCTGTTTTGTAATCTCATAAAGGTTTGATTTTTATGCAATGGGTTGGTTTGTAATGAGTTTTTGTACAATGGGTATGTTTTAGTTTTGTCTTCTTATGTTTGTTTTCTTCTTGATTGGTCTGAGTCAGACTCTGGTTTCTAGATTTAGCTTAGGTTTTTTCATGAAGGTGGTAGGTTTGGTTTGGTTCTTATTTGAGGGGTTGACTTGATTTTGGATAAAAAGTCTTTCTTTTTAATTGATTAGCTTATACTAGTTCAATTCCCCTTTTTCATCAATGATAGATTCAATTTCGATTCATATTGGTTTTGATGAGCTGTTAATTGACTTTTGGAGCTGTTCTTGTCGGATCTATATGTTAACTTTTCTACTTTGTGGTCTCAAAAACACAAGACATATGTTAAATGAGGCTTTAAAGTTGGTATATTTTGTGTAATCTTACTTGATTTAGACATATGAGGTGTTTCCTGAACTGATCAGTGTTTTGTTTGTGGTTTTTATAGGAGAGAAAGTGAAACATTCAATATGGTGAGCTTAAGAAGGCGTAGGCTATTGGGTCTTTGTTGTGGTAAACAATGTTTTTTGACTTGAGCTATATTGTTGTCAAAACATTAGGCATAATGTAAAAGTTATCAACTAGTTTTGTTTCTTTAGGACCAAATGGTTATGTCACACCACTTCCTTTTCTAACTGCTGAGGAGATGATCACTGGGATTCCAAATCCTAATGCAAGTGTAGCTTATACTCCTGGACAAGTTGAGAAAGTTGATGAGCCTAAAGAAGAGGAGGTAGAGAAAAATGTTAAGACTTTATGATTCTGAAAGCTCTTAGTTGGTTAAAAGATAGCATTGTTGAGCAGATAAGATTTTGTATTACATTCTAACAGTTGAGCCTTACTTTTTTGGTTTGGTAGAATATGTCTGTTGAAGAATCGGGCCGAAGAACTCGGTCAAATCATATGCATTTCAGGTCTGAGTACTCGGATATATCACCGGTTGATTCTGATTCCATCTCACCAAAATGTGAGCAGAACATATGCGTTACAGGTCCTATTTCTCGCTCGCTAACTAGTAGATTGAGATGAGTAAGAATTGACTAATTATTTCCCATTGACAGACCAGCCGCTGAAACGAAGAAAGCGGCATAGAAGAAAGCATGTTCATAACCAAGAACCATGTTTAATGAGAGGAGTCTACTACAAGAACATGAAATGGCAAGCCGCCATTAAAGTCGAGAAGAGACAGATTCATTTGGGCACTTTCTCTTCTCAAGAAGAGGCTGCCCGTTTATACGATAGGTAACACTTTTTGTTTAAATCAAGATTCTTGAACTTTCTTGATACTTAGATTGTTACCTCTCTATTAGGGCTGCTTTCATGTGTGGAAGGGAACCAAACTTTGCGCTTTCGGAAGATGTTATAAGAGAACTCAAACAGCAAAGCTGGGAAGAGTTCTTGGCTTGCACACGCAGAACAATTACTAACAAAAGTAAGGTTTTACTAACAACCAACTGTTGTGTATTTTGTCTAAGCAAATTTTTGCTTCACTCTCTGTGTTTGCAGAACCAAAGAGAAGGTTAGAACAAGAGGATAAGGAGAATAACGCAAGCATGTTGCATTGTCCTCCTCAAGAAGAATAACATTGTAAACAAAGACTATTCCTGCAGATGATACAACTAGACTCAAATATAGAGAAAAATGTTGAATACAAGAAGCTCAACAGATATTTTTGAAGTTGATAGAATTTTTTGTAGTTATATTGATTCAGACATTATTGTAAGGGATAGGAAGAAAAAGAAAAAGACTCACAGTAAGAAAATTACAACTTGATATGTTACAAAGATTTATTAATATTTATTTAAAAATCATGAGATCCACAGACTTAAATATTATTCAAGCTCAAGCTAGTTTTATTTTGAAGTTCTCTTAAGATATGCGAGGGAAAACGGCAAATTCCCTCTTGAACTTAGTTGTTTTATCGTATTCATACACAAAAATTTGAGTCGTCCTTATTACTACATAAACTTAACTAAAATTTGAGTTTCCAACACAAACGGTCAAAACCATCAAATCGATAAACGACGTTACTATTCTGTTAACAAATGCGGACTAAGATATCGTATTATGCCACATAATATCACCAAACAGTGTCGTTTTTGTCAGTTTTTAATAAATAAAAAAAATGAGTAAGAAAATATTGGCTCTCCTAGAAAAAATAAAACTCAAATCTAGCCACTAATGCAAAGAAACTTTAATAATAATAATAATGCATTTGTAGTTATATATATACCGGAATAAATTTAAAGTAATAAACTCCAAAAACAGCGCAACTTGTTTAGTATTTTCCTGAAAAATAGATGAACTTTTGTTGGTCTCCACTAAGAGAGTTGGGCCTATAGAATGGAAAAAGACATGTTGCCCACTAAGAGAATTGTGCCCATGATCCGGAAGAAGATATGCAGCCCACTGAGAGAAATGACGATCGGGCCGTTACATTAACATTGTTATGTCTTTGGTAACATTTTTTATTATTTTGATATGTCGTTGCTTTGATGATATAGATGGTCCAACTATATAGGGTTAAGATGACATTATGAAGTTTTCTAAAAGGAATATGATGTGGGGTTAAAAGCAAAAAAGGATTAAAAGATGCAATCTATTTTTTTTTAATGATTGATTATTTATATTTTATCAGAACTTCTCAATGATTTGTATACTGTTAACTATTAAGGAAAAATTTCACAAATGAAATCTCAAAAAACAACATTAGTTCTATATAATAGATGTACAAGAAATACTGGATATTTATACTTTCTAGGGTTATAAGAAATAATTATGAATACAAATTTAAAATTAAAAGAGTATAGGTGGAAGAGATGTGAGTATGGAGATGCAATATCTAAATAGTTTTTGTAAAGTTATTATAAATGGGAATACCTAAAATGTGTAGAGCAAAAGTTAAGCTAAAGTGATGATGAAATGATATGAAAATTTTAGGCAATAATGTAAGGGTGTGAATGGTTACAACGATTCGAACGGACAAAACTATTTATGGACCAAACCGCTTTTTATTTATCATTCACTAATTGTATACGTAGTGGTGCGGTCTCAAAAAATACAAAAGAAAACCGCTGCGGACCAAGTGGATACCGTTTTTATGTACAAATAAAGTGTGAATGGTTACAGCGGTTGGAGTGGACAAAACCATGAATCTATGGACTGAACCAATTTTTATTTACTATTCACTAATTGTGTTCGTAGTGATGTAGCCTCAAAGAAAACAAAAGAAAACCGCTACGAAACAATTGCAAACTGTTTTATGTACATATATAGTTGGTCCGCTGCGGTTTATTGTCCGCCCAAAAACTAGTGTGGACTAAACCGCTGACATTCAATTAAGAACAATAAGTGTTGGAAAGTGAATTTCAAGCATTAATAATGGTTACGTCTGTAGTTTTGGATTTTTGGCTGTAAATTTTGAGCTGTAAAATTTTGACTGTAACTGTAGATTTTATTGCTGTAGAAAATAAAATTTTGGAAAGCTTAAAATATTGTCTTTAGAAAAAGAGCTTTCTACAGCAAAAAAAAAAAAACAAAAAAAAGGAATTAAGGAAATATTTAGACGGGGAGAAAAAAAAAATCCAAAGCATCTAAAGTTTGATTGGATCCATTTTATATCTTTAAGAATTTTTTTTGCTTTGTAAAGTTTCTGAAGCATTTGTCAATCAAGGCCATAGTTGATATATGTGGACATGCAATATATATAGTTCATCTAGTTAGCTATATATGTATCTCTATAGTTGAGATGTATATGTGGTAATGTATTCTTTTATAGTTTGTGTAACTGACTATCTTTTTTCCTTGATTATTTATATATTGTAAAAGTGACATTCTCAACCTAGGGCATCATCCGCATTCTATCTAGTATTCTTTGAGTTTTTTTTTTGGTAATACAAAGGGAGAAAACTCTCCCAAATCAAACAAAAATAAAATTAAACACAAACACTTCGTGGAAGTGCAGCCCCTCTACCTTATGCTGATAAAATCTCCCCAACCTCAATAGGAGCAATTTCCAAAAAATGAAGCCCTAAAGCTAGACCGAACGCGTAGTTTGCTAACCCGTCAGACAGACGATTAGCCTCCCTATACACGTGAGTTATTCGGACAATCCAGTCCCTTGATATAAAGCCATGGCACATACGTACCAGGAAAGAAGTGGATGAGCTTCATTGATCCCCTTCTAAAGGAAACCCACCACTATCTCTGTATCTACCTCCAACTCAACTCGAGTAGCTTGTCTATCCCAAGCCATACACAGTCCATAATACACACCCCAAATTCTGCCAACGGTGCCGAACAAATCCCAATATTCAGGGCAAACCTTGTTATCCATCCTCCATTCTCATCTCTAATCACCCCTCTTGTAGTAGCCATGCCCGGATTTCCTCGAGAAGCGCCGTCAGTGTTAATCTTCCACCAGCCCGCTCCCGGAGGAGACCAAGCAAGCATGCTCTCCACCCGAACTATCCCCGCCCGTGCATCAACTTGAACAGCATTTTCCGCCATCACTTCCTTAACCAAGTCTTTAACAAACCAGAATCTATCACGACACTTTCCAGTTAACCCAAACACATTTCCACAGCGACATTTCCACCCCCACCAGACAGCCATTCCAAACAGCGTCGACCTACCTGATTCCTCAATCGACTTACCCCTTTTAAGATTTTCATAAAGCCATTGTAAGAGAGGTAAGCCATTCAGCGTCGACCTACCTGAATCACCTGAAAGACATCCATTTCCATCAGTTCTTTCATCCAACCTCACAATGGTATTAAAATCCCCTCCCACAAACAGAGGACCATCAATCCCTGCAATAACCTCGTTTAACTATTCCTAGAGACCATTCCTATGAGTCAGAGAAGGTGCAGCATAAACCACAATCAAATGCAGCGAGTCCACTCTATTCTCCACCCGAGCACAAATAAACTGGTCCAAGAATTCAACAACAACAATGTTCTCGATACCCGAACGCCACAACAGCCACAACCCTCCCCACTGGCCGTCTGCATCAACCCGAAAAGAATTATCAAAGCCAAGACCTTGACAAATGCTCTTCGCCCGATCGTCCTCCGCGTGAGTTTCGAAGATAGCAAGAACATCCGTCCTAAATTTCTTCAACATATAGCGAATAGAACGTCGGAAATTATGTTTATTTACCCTCGGCAGTTCCATAATAGACAATTCATTAATTCTTTTGCAATCTGATATAGAACCCCCGGGGAACACCGTTAGGCTTGGGCACTTCCCGTCTTCTTCCCAGACGAGTCGCTTGGAATCCCTCCATCCGATACTTCCATCTGATTCGCAGCCCCAGCTCGATGCTTCATCTGTTCCACCATTCCCGGACTCGGAATAGCTTGGCATTCCCCATGTTCACTCCCATTTATCGTGAATGCTCCGCCTGGACATCTCACATTCATCGTCTCCACTCTAAGTCTTTCACCAGAAACCGCAGAAGGACTATCATCTGCAGTTGGGCCAAATATTAGGCCTCTAACGGGCCGTCCTTGCTTATTCATTTTAGTTTTATCTCCATAAACATCTCCTTATTTTGTTGGGCCTTACGATCTCTAGGCCCATAACGGGGGCCTCCTTTAATTCTATCGGTCCGAATTAGTTGTTTTTCCTCACTAGCGTGCACCACAATCTTCTGTTTCCTTGCTTGAAAGAGAACAACCTCATTTTCCTTATTTACCGACAAATCAATATTTTTCTTCCCTCTGTTTTGGACCAATCACCGCCTTTCATAAATTTTCGAATCGATTAGAAATATCAACATTTCAAAAATTAGACGGCTGAATCTCTCGAAGATTACGTCCGCATTCTCGGTCAGCCCCTGCCGGCATTTGTGACTTCGACGATGAACCCGGCCCTTGTCTCTTTTGTCTCACCTCCGTGAAGCCATATGCCACTTGAACCGTGGACTTGTTCAACTCTACCTCCATCCGAGCAGTCGCCACCACCTCTTTCTCTGGCGCACGTCGTGGACACGAGTGAACTAGATGGCCATAAACTCCATATCCCGAACAAATCAAGTTCAGCCCTTCATAGGAGACAAAATACCTATCTCCATTAATCATTATCTTCCCCTTCAATGGTTTTCTTAGATCCACCTCCACACAAATTCTGGCAAATCTAGCACGTTCAATATTCATCGTGTTCAAATACAGCTTTAGAGGCCTCCCCAAACCACGAGCCATCCCCATTAAAATTGTTTTCTGGTAGAAAATCACTAGAATATTAGACACACGAATCCAAGCAGGTGTGGTCATTATTTCATGCCATAACGGGTCGAAATCCAGAGACCAAGCTCGCACCATCATGTAGCTACCAAACGCTCTCCACGGACCACCAATTAATGCTTCCAAATACTCTTTCTCTATCTCAAATCGCACCATGAAAAACTGCCTTGGCATGTCCAATACGTGCATCGCCTCCCTAGGTTTTCACATCTTCTTCAACCTTCTGCTCATCGCGGCAATGGAGATATTCTTGCCAAGCACCTTCACAAACATACGCTGTTTCCAAAAATCACTCATAGCCGCCACAACTTCCTCCCCAATCGTGAACACCGGTTCACCATCCTCTACGTCCTGAAATTCCAGGTTCAACCTCGCCTCGACAAACTATTCATTCAACACCGATTCCGGAACTATCCTCCCACCACCACCACCACCAGCTGCCCTTTGCGCCCACGTACCCCCAGAGTCCGGCGGATCTCGTGGTGGGTGGTCCTTCTCCCTGACGTTTATCATACTAGCATCACGTTCCGTAGCCCTCAAAGCTCCGTTCTTCTCCATTCATCTAATAATAGTATTCTTTGTGTTAATGTGCATTCTATATGTGTCCTTTTGATTGTATTAAAATGAATTTTATATGAGGACAAAGAAATTGAGTCAGCATACATGATATATATAAATAAAATTATGTTGATTGATTACGGATGGATTTAGAGAGATCAAAGAGTTCTTAGTAAAAATAAAATTACATTTTAACTAGCCGACTAAATTTGGACATATACTAGATGCTAAATTTAAGTTCATTACATGTTTTTCCTATGATTTGGTTTCCAATTTATGTGTTTTCATGCTTTCAAATATTTAGTTTCATTAATAGTTTTTTTTCTCAAAATCTTGATGAGCTGAATCTTAAATTTTGGATTGCCATTACAAGAAAACAATCGATATGGTAGGAAACTTTTTAAGGTAAATACTCTCTCGTTAATTTGCGATGAAATTGCGTGACATGTGCTATAAATGTCATATTATTAAAAATTCCTTCGAAATTTTTGACGGTGTACTCTTCTCACACTTCCATCATAAATTTGCGACCGACGTGCGAAGACAAAATCCATAACTAAATTTGCAATGAATATGCAGTACTAGCAGTATAATTGTAAGAGCCGTCAAAACTCTATTTCAAATCAAGAAAATAATTTTCAAAAAGTGCTCGTAAATTTTAATTGAATTCATTTTCAAATACATTTAGGTGTTCGTAAAGTTTATCAGTCTTTTCAATCATCGCAAACTTGTGAAAGACGTGATTCATTAAAGATTAATACATGTATAATCCACAAAAATATATCAACTCATTAAAGTAATATCTTAACAAAATTAAGGTCCTAGGTTATATAATATATATATGCATGCTGCTTATCAATTAATAATTTGGGATTTGATTACATAGTCATTGATTAAACATATATCTAACTCTAGAATGAATTTTTAATTTAAGATTCATAATTATTTTCTTATTATTTTTAGTTCTTAATAATTGGAGATTATATGAATGACATACAAACATGAAACTATGTGTTTTGATATTATAGTTTATTTTTGGTAAACAAAATGCTATAAAACCATTTATAAATATCTTTTAAAAAAAATTTAGTTTTACAAAAATCCTTTTAATTTTCGAGAAACCCCAACAAAATCCTAATAATTATCCTTTGTGATGTGATGATTTTCCTATTTTATATTTAGCATCCAATAAATTAAATAAAATAATTAATGTTAGCTTCATCTTGGTCAGTTTGTTTGTTTATTTTTCTCTTTTCTTAAACGGCAGTTAAAGCTGATTTCTATTAAATATATTAATTAATCACAAAACATATTTCAAAGTTAATTATATATCTTAGTATTGTCAACGTTTTGATACGCATTATCTTCACATTATTTGACAATTGTTTTTAAAATAATTTATTTTTCTGAGTGATATTCACATTTATAAGTTACATTTAAACTTTATTACAAATTTAGTAATAAAAATATGATTTATTTGTAAGGTTACTATCTATACTATTAATTGGGAAGGACAACTTAAAGCCAAACACCCTCCAATTTAAAAAAAACATTTCATGAAAATAAAACCAGTTGTCAAACAGAATTAATGACAGCAAAACAAAAAAAAAACAAAAACAATCTATATTTATGGAAATCATAATAATATTTTACCATAAAAAGTGGACAACTAAATTCAAAACTAAATATATGTAAACAAATATATTTTGAATATACATAAACATATTTATTATTAATTTAATATGTTAATAAAATTTCGAAATTAATAATTTATATAGAATGAAATCTAATAAAACAAAATCATCATATATCTAAAATAACAAAGATAACATTTTTTAGAAAAATAAAAAAAAAGATAAAAAAATATGTTAGCATATGAAATAATCAACTAATCAAATTCTACATAGTATATATACATAACTGATCATATCATAAAATTTTAAAAAATTATATAATTTTTTTAATATAAATAAAATTTAACTAAATCAATAATTAAATATTTGTTTGCTAAAATCATGCGAATAAACATTCTAGATCACATAAATTTCTTATTTTCACATAAAAAATATTCATATTCAAAAATCAATCTAGCAATTATAGCACAAATGATATCTACAAAATTTATCATTAATTCAATTAGTTAATGATTTGATTTTTATTTGGTCAAACCGTTAGTTAATGATTATTCTAAACTTCTTTTTTCTTATTAATTTCACACAATCTTAACAAAATAAATCTTCATCCATTGGCAATTTCCATATCATTACTATTATCAAATATTAAATAATTGTTTTATCAAATCATAAACTACATTTTGAGATTATAAACATATAGAATTTCTATTAAGATTAAAACTAAATAACAAGTGGATATATCACATTTAAATGATTTTAACGACTTATTACCAATTTTTAAATAATAAATGGATTATATTTTTAATGATTTAATCTAATTGAAAACAAATAAAATGTCAAATTGGTATGATATAAATGATATAATAAATAAATATCTACAAACATTATCTCACATATACGTACAATTTTAAACTATCCTTGACAAATATGATATATAAGTTTTGGATAACCGGGTGAAAAAAAAAAAATTGGTAGTTAATTTTAATTCTTAAAATCTCAAAATATTGAACAAAATACAACTTTGGGACGTATAAATCTCTACTTTTGGACATTTATATGAAACTTTACATATATTAAAATTATATTTAGTTACATGTAAATGGTGTTATTTATTAAAAAATATATAAACTTATAGGAATGGATACGAGACGGGAACATATAATTCGAAACAAACATTATCTGAATTATTTCACATAAAAAAAATAAAACATGATTAGATATAATTGTTATGAGACACGGTCATAAAGTTAAATTCACTTTCAACTTTCAAATATAAAACTACGAGTACGATACAGAGACATGTAATTTAAATTGCTAAATTTAATTTCCACTTTCCTACTTATTTCAATTATTTAGACATGAAATGACAGGTACAAGAAGATAACGTATACTTTGGATAACAAAACTACGATAAATCCATGTATTAAAAAAATAGAAATACCTAAATCTTTAGAAAACAAAAAGGCTAAAACATGAATCTTTGAATTGAAGAAAGTAACGAGAAATAAAGATGAAACTGAAAGATCAATAAAATTAAAAATCGAACAAGGATTGTGTATGTTATGATTACAGATAGTGCATTGTGAATGAAAATGGTGGGAGCATGTGACTTAGATTGATAATTAGATTTTTATTAGTTTGATAAAAATAAATATTTAAACGAGGAATATGGGTATCCCGTCTAAATCTTTTACCAAGTTTCTTATAATAAACATTGGCAAATGATTATGTTTTAAAAAAACACGATTATGGAACATAAATTTTATGACAGACGGGACGGGACGGGGCGGGGCGGGGTGGGACGGGACGGGTCAGGACGAGACGGAAAGGAACAGGACGGGTTTCCATTCTAAACTACACATAAAACAATTCAAACTAAAGCCAAACCCAAATCCGATTGAACATCTCTAAGGAAACAGTTAGAAATGTTTTGATTGGTTTAAAAAATAAACATGTAATATCACTTATCATTTTCATTTAAATAATTTTAAAATTGTAATTTTAAAATTTTATCATGTAATACAATATCTGTATTTTACAACTGTATATCTATATATAGTTTATCAAATAAACTCATATAACAAAATTTTACCAAAATAGCATCTACTTAAAAAATCGTAATATGGTAAAAATAACTCCGCACGTACGTGCGGGTCCATCACTAGTTTAAGTAATAAAATTTAAACGTATTCGATATGTTTGGACACAATGCCCCAATCCAACTAGTTCAGTAAGTATTCTACCAAAAAAAAGAACTAGTTCAGTAAGTAATTTAGTCATGTCTGGTCTGTACTAATAATATTTTTTCTGGATTATCATCTTCTGTTTAAAGTATGAAGTTAAAACCCTAAACATTTTGTTAAGTTAAGCGCATACTAGAATTTTGTTAAATGTCGCAACAATCAAATTCTGAATTTTGTCAATATCCCAAATTTTGTTAAATAGTTTGAAATATTTTTTCGAAATTAAGATATTGGGAAACAAATTATATAATCACGAAAACAGTGATTTTTTTTTTTGAATGAATGTTAAATTTATTCAACCAAAAAAAAACTGTTTTACAATATATGCAGCTTGTAGTAGACATGTTATTGAAATAGATTAAAAAAACAGCTCTAATATTGATCTAAATTTGTGGTCTCGAAGCAAACCAAACTTGGAGTCCATCTTGGTGTTTTCCTTGTTGTAAGGAGAGGAGTAGCAGCATTCAAAGAACAAATGATTTCGAGATTCTAAGGGGATTGGCAAAACACACACGTGGATGAGGCTCCCACATTCCAAACTTGCATTCTATCCCCTGTCGTGAGACGCTTATGAGTAGCCAACCAAACAACAAAAGAGAATTTGGGAGTAGCATTTGAGAACCAGACTCCCTCATGCCATGTTGTTGCATGACCCACACGGCGAATCTGTTCCCATGTAGCTTTAGTCGTGAACTTGGGGGTGTCTCTCCACAAAGCTACATGATCAGTCTCACTTATGTGGTCTCTCACTCTATATTTATCCAACTAGATTTCTATTTTGTTTAAAATCTCAAATCGGTGTCGACGTCTCCTATGAGATGACACGGCCTCTCCTACCGTAGATTTTGACTTGATTCCCAAATCTATGAATCCCCTTTCACCTAGTACATCGTATAAGCAGCCTAGAGTACTCCAACTGTCATACCAAAACGAGGTTTGTTCTCCACAATGCACCTCCATTTTACTAAATTCACGAGCTTCTGATCTGTATTTGAGTAACTTTCTCCACATACCAAGTGCTAACAGCTCAACTGGTAAAGATCTCTGGCAAAAGCTTAGATGTCGCCGGTTCGAGTAGCGCTTGAGACGAAACCATATAACATGCTTTGGTTTCGGACCTGAGGGGATGTATGGGCTTCTGCCCAGAACCTCTTTGATTATTCAAAAAAAAAAAAAAAAAAAACTTTCTCCACATCCATGAACCGGTTTTTGTGTTTCCCTTAACCGACCAAAACGAACCAGAACGAATCAACTGTCGTTGAACCCAATTCACCCAAAGAGAGTGCTTTGCTGAAACAATCCTCCATATAAGTTTAAAACAACAAACTTTATTCGCATCGGCAATGCACGAAAACAGTGAATTAAAAACATGAAGCTCAAAAAAAGCAAAACAGGAAGCTCAAAAATGTTTTTTTAGTTTACCTACAATATGTAAATGTGAAGATCAAAGATATAGTAAACTGGGTTTCTAGATATACAAAGTAACTACATCATAAAATTTCAAATTTATTTTGATATATGTTTCAAACTCAATATCAAAAAAAAAAAAAAAATCATAACTTATTTCTGAATTTCTACATCCAATAATATAATATTTTCCCTTTATAGCACTTATCCAAGATGATAAAAGTCTATATAAAAATCAATCCTAAACAAGAAACAAAAAATTTGGAGAAACAATAAAAATACAAAATAGATATATTATTGAAAAAAGCAATTTTTTTTACATTAATTAGCACATAGTGTTTTTGAGCAATGGTAGTATTTTATTGTATTTTTTTTTCCTTTTTTTTCATCTTTTCTTATCCTTTTAATATTATTATTAAAATAGTAAATACAATTAAGTTGCAATTATCTTATTATTAATGTTATTTCTGTCTACAAATAATACTTATATTTACACCAATACAATTTTGCCAAATGTTACATTTGTGTGTTACTTTACACACCTTTATATATTAAACTTTGTGAAACCTAAATAGTTCATACATACTTGAAGGAAAAAACAAAAACTCTATACACAGATTAGTAAAATGGCTTTTGGTGAATCTTTCCACAACCAAAGTTCTGTCTTGAGAATCAACATCATGGTTCTGGATGATGATCCAGTTTTTCTTGAAGTTATCTCTCGCATGCTTGAAAAGTCTAAATACAGAGGTAAGATCTTATAATATATATGTTTTGCTTGTAATATCATTTTTAGTTTTGTTTTCTATTATTTTTTGCATGAAATACAATTTAAGGCAGAGTTATAAACTTATGTAATATTTTTCTTATAAATTGGTTTAGATCCATCGATTATGGATATCAGAGTTATAGCTGAAGGAGACCCGTTGAAAGCAATGTCTACTCTAAAACTTCAACGAAACAATATTGATCTCATAATCATAGATTATTACATGTCTTGCATGAATGGTCTACAACTCATAAGCAAAATCACCAAAGAATTTGGGAATTTACCAGTCATAGGTACATTTTATTTACAAATACAATAATCTTTTTTTTTTTGTTTTTTTTAGAAGATATATTTAACCTTACTTCTTAAGCAAATCTTTCATATTTAAAGTTATGTCATCGGACACCAACAAAGAGCAAGAGAGTTTAACTTGTGGAGCAATGTGTTTCCTTGCCAAACCCATAAAACCAATTGACTTACCAAAAATTTACCAAATTGCTTTAACCTCCAAGAGGAATGGTAAGTCATGGAGTGAGCCAAACCACAAGATGCTTCATGGACAAGATAATGCCTTGAAGACCAGGAACAAGTGCTCATCTAATACAAATGCAAGTTGTCTTAGTACCAATGGTTCAAGACAAAATCTGAAAAGAAGACCCAATGGTTGTCTTGTTGAGGATGGTGAGTCTTCGTCGCGACCCTCCAAGAAGGCTAAGATTATATGGACGGATAGTCTTCAGAACCTGTTCCTACAAGCTATTCGACATATCGGTCTTGATAGTAAGTTTTTATTTTGTTTATCAAATGTTTAAGTACATGATATATATACTATTAATTTTCTTACAATTTAGGTTAGATTACATATTATACAAAGTAACTAATCTTTTATTTTTGTTTCCTAATCTTCCAAAGAGGCTGTGCCAAAGAAGATCTTAGCGTTCATGAATGTGCCCTACTTAACAAGAGAGAACGTAGCCAGCCATTTACAGGTTTGATATCTCTTTTCAAAAATGATTTTAGATTTGATTGTTTAATATGGAAACAAGTCTATAATATTCATTCTTTAATAAGCACAAAATCTACAAATATTGAGTATATTTGCCTTTAGAACCTATGCTTAGTCAATAGTAAATCCTCATTAACATTAGGAAGGGTTAAAACTATAGATTTTGTATCATTTTATAACTTAAAAATTATTTTCTATGTTACCCTAGAAATATCGGATATACTTGAAGAGAGTTGCGGAGAATGGTATGGTGAGCATTATGTCGGGTAGATCTAGCATAGAATCGATGTTTCGATATGCTCACATCAAGGAGCCCTGCTTCAACAACTATACACATGTTCCTTCTTGGTATGACACTAGTCTTAACAATAGATCATTCTATTCCAAAACCGAGCACGGCTTTGCCCAGTCAAGACTCTTGTCCGACACAAGTGCGCCTGTCCATTTTAACCAGATGCCTTACAACTACATGAACCGACCATCTACGTACGAGCCACAACATATTGGAGCTGGATCAAACTCGACGCTACCAATCCAAAGGAACCTCAGTGTCCCAAACCAACCATCTCAAAACGAGGAAAGAAGAAGCTTTTTTGAACAACATGAGATGGCCAACATAATCAACCAAACATCTCAAGTTCATGGGTTAGGTAATAATGTCAACAATAGTATGATGAGTACCTTTGGAAGTTTTACTCCAAATCAACCAGGACTTAGCCACTTCTCCTACGAGAACACTGCACATAACCCACAACTCGGCATGACAAATGAACTTCCTTACAACATCAGCAACTTTGAATTCGATCACAACAAGGTATATATATATATATGTCTTGACTACCTTAAGTTTTTTAATGATTTATATATATATATATATATATATATACATGAAGTACATTTTTGATATTGTGTGTTTAAAAAATGGTGTGCGCATGCAGCAACAACATGAAGGAGAAGAGGCTTCCACCAAATTTGATCTCTCAGATGAACTGAATCAAATTCTATCTCTTGAAGACGATGGTGATTGGTTTGTCAACGTAGACCAGGTATTTACATATTATATCATTTTAAAACATTTCCATGTAGCCATAATCATAGTTATATTTAACTAAATTTTTTATTTAATTCTAAAACCTGGACTTGATTTATTAGGCACAAGATATTAATCCAGATATTAGAGACTGTTCGATTTTGGACACACAGGTAAATGATATAATTAATAACGTTCACAAAAAACTAAAAGATATTATTGTATATAATTTTTTGAAATAGTTTTTGGTTAATTGTGTTCTTCTATAGGTTGATGACGACTTCATGAACTCTATATTCAACAGTTTTATGAATTGAGAAGGGTTCTCTGAGCTGATGTTCTTAAAGGGAAGTGATAGAAAAAAAAGCTATGGCGATACTTAGCTAATAGTTTTCTAAGAAAAAATATATGCAATCGTAGAAGTATGGGTTTGGTTATGTAATATATTTTTAAGTGTCTTTATAGAAAGCTAATTAAGTGTATTATTAATATATTATGTTATGTATGGGAACTTAAAAAAAAAAACTTTGTATTTGGGTTATAGAAAAATTTCATTTGTTATGTATGATCGAAAGATGAAGTAGTACAGTAAATTAAAACATGATACTGTACGTACATAAATTGTGTATATTTAACACATTCATAGTGTGAGTGTATTTGACTCCACACTTGTCTGGATTCGGCTCTCATACCACTTGTAACTCCCCGACTGTCATCTTTATAGTGGGTCCCATGTTCATTCTCAGCCCATAGATCCACTTCTTTTAATATGTCTCACGTCCTCTCACTTGTCACTAGATATGTCAATTAGGGCTAAAGCCCGCAGGCTAGTTGGTACGGCCCTGAAAAACATCCTCGGACTTAAATATATATGTCCAGAAAAAACCGGGCATTTTGGGCTAAGCCCATTCGGGCTAAAGAATTTTTTGGGCTTAGTTCGGTCGGGCTCGAACCGGCCCAAAAAGCCCTTAAACAAATATATTTTCAATTTTTTTTAATATTTTAGTTTGATTAAAAGATTTGATTAATGTTATAGTTTTCATATTTACTTACTAGCCTTACTTATTACTTTTAAAATTTTTATCTATTATAGTTTCACTTATTTATATAGGTCAGAACTGAACAAAGCTAAAACTAAATATATATATAAGTATCATGATTTTGAAATCATCAAAATATATATTAAATTTTGACTCTATCATATACTTTAAAGTATTTTAGTTCCATGTTTTATTGGGTTAAAGTGTAAATAATTTATTTGGCTTTTATTTATTTCTCTTAAATTAAGTTAGTTTTATTGAATATTGATAAGTTATTTAAAATTTGATGCATTATTTTTATAGTAGACATTTAAATATAGTTTTTGAAATACTATTATGAACTTTGAAATAGATTTTTTTTATCGGTAACTAAAGCCCAAAAAAGCCCAAAAAGCCCTGTAGCCCTGTTAGGGCCGGGACGGGCCGGGCTTTGAAATATAGGCTCAGAAATTTTTTGGGCCGGGCCAGGCAGGGCTCATGTATATGAGGGCTTTACGGGTTTCAGGCCGGGCCAGGCCGGGATAGCCCGATTGACATGCCTACTTGTCACCCGTAGACACTGTGAGTCTATTTGACTCCACACTTGTCTTGATTCGGCTCTTATACCAGTTGTAACTCCCCGGCTATCACCTTTCCAGTGAGCCCCATGTTCACTCTCAGCCCATGGGTCCACCTCTCTTAATGGGCCTCACATCCTTTCACTAGGCCCATGGCCCACCAATATCTGACGGCCGGTTTGCTATGTCTGAGAGGTTTAAAGACTAATTTACCATCCCTACAAATCACCACATGATATTCCCTATATTTTGGCCTCACTCACATAGTTCCGACAATCGCTTCCAGGAAGGTCACCCATCATTTGACTACTCCAGCATAAGCAGCCTTAACTGTAGAGTTCTTTGAGGACCCTTGACCGAAAAGATATGTGCACCCTGATGACATAGTTGGCCAAATCAATTCATTTAAACATCTCCGCAAATTGGGGTCTCACATTTCTCCCGTACTAAAAGACCGCAACGTCCTCGTTGGATAGAACGATCATCACCCCTTGATAGTGTGAGTCCACTTGACTCCACACTTGTTTGGCTTTGATAACACTTGTAACCCCCTTACCTTTACCTCTCTAGTGGGCCCCATATTCACTCTCAGCACAGGCGCACACCTCTCTTAATGGGCCTTATGTCCTCTCACTAGGTCCATGAGCCCACTAATATCCGACGGACGGTTAGCTACGTCCCTGAGGATTAAAGACTTATTTACTGTCCTTACAAATCACCACATGATATTTCCATGTGTTTTGGCCTCACTCACATAGTTCAGACAACCAGTTCCGGAAAGGTCACCCATCGTTTGACTACTCCATCATAAGCACGCTTAACTCTTAACTGTGAAGTCCTCTCTGGACATTTAGACAGTGAAACAAAATTTGATTTGGTTGAAGATTGGTAAGGAGCTTTGTGGTGCTATAGGTGTCTTATCAAATGGTGGGTTTATGTATTGATGGTTGAGACAACAAGGTTGGTTTCACCGTGGGAGTAAAGTCTTGGTCGGCGGACAAGTAATGAGAAGCCTAAGAATAAGAGGTTAAAGCTAAGATGGCGAAACATGTGATTCCTCGAAGGAGATTGGGAAATTTCTATTGTAGGTTGGGTGTCGAGTGATATCGGGGATCGACACCAGTAGCTTACCAGCATATCTTTTGTGTTGATCATAGATGTTGGGAGCTAGGATTTGTTGAGGGAAGATCGAATTCGTCATGTCAAGTGTGTTGGTGGCGATCGACACCATGTATGTTGTTCACGATTGGTTCACGATTGATGACGATCGACACCGGGTGGAGGTACCGATCAACACTAGATCTTGTGATGCCTAGTGGGGTTGTTGACCAGCACCAGTGGTTAGCGTTGGCGAAGCATTTTGTGTGAGATTGTTTTTCGGTGAGAGGTGCTCGGAGTGTTTGGATTTTTGTTTGGAAGTCAAAGGGTTAGCCATAATTGTTGTTATTGGACTACGGCTGGCCAATGTGGATCAAAGCGAATCGTTGGTGATGCGGAGTCCGTGGCTAGATAAAAATGGTGTATTCCAGTCCATCTCTTTTGTTACTTGGTCGTTTAGGGGTGGTTGGTTGTGTGACTAAGTACCAAGATGAGGTGGTGTTTGTGATACGTGAATAGTTGAAGCTTGTTCTGGGAGGTGGAGTCAAGTGGCCTATCCATTTGGAGTCTATGAATGTAAGGTACTTTGGAACCTTAAGTACGTTCATATGACTGTGGTTTGTAATTGAAGTATGGGTTAGTTGAATCTAAATTCTAGTTTTTGGCAGTTTTTGTAAGGAGCTGTTTTGACGCCGATTGTCTCGTCAAAATTATAGGGATCATTTTCCATCTGCCCTTGCGTCGAGAATCCGGGTCGGGGCCTTTCAAAAGATTGATAGTTTATTTGAAAAACATTATTTAGTTCGGGTAGAAATCGACATTGTATTAATGTTAAGGTAGAAAATTGTACTTTCATAATTGTATATGTTATAAATGACTATTTACCCCAACATTAAAGTCTAAGGTTATATATTATATATATAGTTCTTCTCAATTAATAAATTGGGATTTCATATCATTGTCATTAAAGATAATTTTTATTTTAACAAAATTAAGATAAAAAATTTTATTAAAAAATTGTGTTTAATATAGTTTTCCATCAGCTCATAAGATGTTGATAATCATCATTGTAAAATTTTTAGACATAAGAAAAATATGAAAATAGTTAAATATACCAATAAAAATAACTCTAAAATCAAATTTTTAATTTAAGATTCATAATTGTTTTCTTATTATTTTTTAAATAATATTTTTAATTTTCGAGAAAACCAAAAAAAATCTTAATAATTATACTCTTTTGGTGGGATTAAATTTAATACATTTTCTTTTAGAATCTAATAAAGAAAATTTAGATATTTTTAAAGTGTTGGTGTTCATTTCATCATCTTGGTCGCAACTGTCACTACTACGGTTATAAAGCATATTTGTTCTTTTCTCTTTTTTATTTATTGAAGTTAATAATTACTCCTTTATTTTTTGCCTAATTAAAAGCATACTTTAGTTTTCCAATAATCAAAAATCTCATCTAATTAAATCTCTGTACTTGCATGCAGCTTACCTTTTTGTCACATATTAGATTCTCATCACTTATATAATTATTTTATTGCATAAGTTTCCTTAACGGACACTAGTTGAAATAACCTTTTACACTAAACGACGTTAAAATAAAACTGACTAGATTTTGACTTTCGATTACAGATGAAAACAAATTTTGGATTTAGAAGAAATTTTGAGAATCAAAAGACAGTAATATCATCTTTGTAATAAATACATTGTACAGAAAAAAAAAAAAAAAAACAAACAAAAAAATATATCATCTTTGGTAAAATACAATCACTTTAGAAACCTATTTTCAATTTTTGAAAGATGACTATTTTCATTATGTTAAAATTATTAAAGATTGCAAGTATTGAAATTATTTAAACTAGTGAAAGTATTATTATAAAGAATGTGGTTATTTGATGACTATAATTCACACTTTCAGATAGGAAAATTGTTTTAGTAATTTATTCGATATATGTTTACATGAAACTAATAATTTGGATATAGAAAAATACTAAAATTTAACTGATGAATTACTTATCATTATAATATTTAGTTTGTGTCGTTATACTAAGTACCAAAACAGTTTACATATACCATAACTATAAGTTGAAGTATCCCAATAGCAAAAATATTTCTGATTTTATCAGTTATAACGGTTCAAAGTTGATTGTTATATCATAGTATAGTCGACGTTTTGACATACGTAATCTTCACATTATATGACAATCTTTTTGAAAAACATTTTTTTTATATTCACATATATATGTTGCATTTAAAGTATTATACAAATTTAGTAATAAAAAAAAATATTATCTATTTGTAAGGTCATATATTTTTAATCAAATAATGTAATATTAAATTAAGCACGTTACTCTTTAAGTAAAAAGTTAAACATATTCGATATGTTTGCACACGATGGCCTAGCTAATTCAATAAGTAATATCGTTTTGTCTTCTACATTCAGCACTAATATCATTTTTATGGATTATTAGTGTGAAGTTAGAGCCCTAAACATTCGTTATTAGAATTAAGTAAATGTGTTACTAGTAGAACACTGAACATTCACTAACATATCATTTTTAATCAAATTTTATCAATGAGTTAAAAGAAAAAAAAATTCAGAAATCAAATTCGGACATAACTATGATTGAAATCGCAGTAAAATGACTTGAAAAAATCTCTTGATCTCGGAATGTGTTACTAGTAGAACATTGAACATACACTAAGATACCATTTTTAATCAAATGTTATCAATGAGTTGAAAGGACAAATTTTGAAGAAATCAAATTCTGATTTTTTCAATATCCCAGTATTTGTTAAATAGTTTTAAATATTTATTTCGAGATTAAGAGATTTGATTCAAGTCGTTTACTGCAATTTCAATCATAGTTATGTCCGAATAGTAAAAGTATCTCACTCTTCCAAGAAACAAAAAGACTATTGTGGGTTTTGGTGCGGGATTGGGAAACATATTATACAATCACAAAAACAATGAATCACAAATATTCTTCTATCATAAAAAAAAAACAGAAAGCTCAAAAATAAATTTCATGTACCCAAATTTCAGTTGTAGCTGCATTATGTAAATTTGAAGATCAAAGATGTAGTAAACCAGGTTTTTGGATACACAAATTTAACTACATCAACATTCTTTTTCAATCTCATATATATGTCACTACAAAAAAACAAGTCATTTGCAATCTCAAAAATGTCACAAAACAGTCGCAAACATCAATTTTGCGACTCTTTTACGACTACTATATGAAATTCCAACTAAGATGTTAAAAATCTATATGAAAATCAATCCTCAACAAGAAAAAAAAATATTTGGAGAAACAATTAAAATTTAAATATTTTTTTTTTGAAAACACACTTCTTTTTGGGGTTCAATCTATCCATAATTTTTTTGGCAAATAACATTAATCTTTTCTTACTTTAGCTTAGATTTTTTAATTAATTAGCACACGGTATTTTTTGAGCAATGGTAATATTTTATTGTATCTACTTTTTCTTTTTTTTTCAACTTATCTTTTTTTTATTATTATTATTAAAGTAGTAAATAAAGTTAAGTTTTTATTTAACTTATTTTTATTATTTCTTTCTACAAATAATACTTATATACATACACCAGTACAATTTGGCCAAATGTTACATATGCGTGTTACTTTACATGCCTTTATATATTGAACTTTGTGAAACCTAAATAGTTCATACATACTTGAAGAAAAAGAAAAAAAACTCTATACAAAGATTAGTAAAATGGCTTTTGCTGAATCTTTCCACAACCAAAGTTCTGTCTTGAGAATCAATGTCATGGTTGTGGATGATGATCCAGTTTTTCTTAAAGTTATCTCACGCATGCTTGAAAAATCTAAATACAGAGGTAAGATCTTTTTATATATATGTTTTGTTTGTAATTTCATTTAGTTTTTTTTTTTCTTTCTATTATGTTTTTTTGGGCATGAAATACAATTTTTGGAGAAACAATTAGCAAATTTATAAATAACACTTAAATTTGAGCCATTCAAAATCAAAATTTGAAGGTGGTATATATATTTTGCAATTTAACAATTCTCTTTTAGAATCATCTGGACTCCATTTTATTTTTTTGAAAAAAATCATCCTAATTTGAATCCTAATTACATGCTCACATCTACAATTTCAGTTTAGGTATTCTTATTCTAATTATTTCATAAACTAATAGTTTTTTGGTTTGTTTATTTTTATGTAATTTATTTTTATAAATTCGTTTTAGATCCATCAATTATGGACATCAGAGTTATAGCTGAAGGAGACCCATTCAAAGCATTGTCTACTCTAAAACATCAACGAAACAATATTGATCTCATAATCATAGATTATTACATGCCTGGCATGAACGGTCTACAACTCAAAAGAAAAATCTCTGAAGAAATTGGGAATTTACCATTCATAGGTATTTTTTCTTTACAAAAATAATAATCTTTTTTTTTTCCTTTATTTTGTAACATATATATAACCTTACTTCTTAACATTTCTTGTAAAATTAAAGTTATGTCATCGGACACCAACAAAGAGCAAGAGAGTTTAACTTGTGGAGCAATGGGGTTCCTTGCCAAACCAATAAAACCAATAGACTTACCAAAAATTTACCAAATTGCTTTAACCTCCAAGAGGAATGGTAAGTCATGGAGTGAACCAAACCACAAGGAGGCATGTGTTAATGTACCCCAACAGCTCAAGATGCTTCCTGAACAAGCTAATATCTTGAAGACCAAGAAGAAGTGCACATCTAAACCCGATTCAAGATCCCTGATCAGTACAAATGGAAGTGGTCTTAGTACCGATAATTCAAGAAAAAATCGGAAAAGAAAACCTAATGGTAGTCCTGGTGAGGATGGTGAGTCTTCGTCGCAGCCCCCAAAGAAGCCTAAGATTACATGGACGGATGGTCTTCAGGACCTGTTCCTACAAGCTATTCGACATATCGGTCTTGATAGTAAGTGTTTATTTTTTTATCAAATTTTTAAGTACATGATACACTATTAATTTTCTTACAATTTAGGTTATACTATATATTATACAGACTTAACTAATCTTTTATTTTTGTTTACTAATCTTCCAAAGAGGCTGTGCCAAAGAAGATCTTAGCGTTCATGAATGTGCCGGACTTGACAAGAGAGAACATAGCCAGCCATTTACAGGTTTGATATCTCTTTTCAAAAATAATTTTTGATTTTAATGTTTTAAATTATGTAAAAAGTCTATTATATTCACTTGAATTAGACAAAAATATTTCATTCTTTAATTATACACAAAATCTACAAGTTTTAAGTTTATTTGCTCTCTGAACCTATCCTTAACATTGTTTAACGAAGGTTTAAAACTATAGATTAATTATAGTGTATATTGTATTTTTTTTACAGCAATTGTATATCTTTCTATAACTTAAAATTGTTTGCTATGTTATTCAGAAATATAGGATATTCTTGAAGAAAGTCGCGAAACAAGGTTTGATGAGCATTAAGCCAGGTAGAGGCATGGAATCGATGTTTCGATATACTCATATCAAAGATCCCTACTTCAACCATAGTACAACCTCTACTTCTTGGTATGACACGAGTCTTAACAATAGATCATTCTATTCCAAATCCGGACACGGGTTTGGGCAGTCGAGACTCTTGTCTGACACACGTGCGCCAGATAGTTTTAACCCGATGCCTCACAACTACATGAACGGGTCATCGTCTACTTATGAGCCGCACCGTAGTGAATCTGGATCAGACTTCACGCTACCCATCCAAAGCAACATCAGTCTCCTTAACCAAGCATCTCAAAACGAGGAAAGAAGAAGCTTTTATGAACCACATGAGATGGCCAACAAAGTCAGCCAAACATCTCAAGTTCATGGATTCGGACAACTTGGGCCATCGTCAACTATTGGTAATAATTTCAACACTAACATGATGAGTAGCTTTGGAAGTTTTACTCCAAATCAACCAGGACTTAGCCATGTCTCCTACGGGATGCAATCGTTCTTAAACAACGAGAACACTACATATAACCTTCAACCCCATGCAAACGCAACTACACATCAAAATCTTGAGCTGGACAAGACTAATGAGCTTCCTTACAACTTTCAACTCGATCAAAACAAGGTATATATATGTTTTACCAAACTTTTGTAGTGGTTTATATACTTATTTTGATATTGTGTATTTAAAATTTGGTTTGTGCGCATGCATGCAGCAACAACATATAGGAGAAGAGGCTTCCACCAAATTTGATCTATCATCAAATTTTTCAGCTGAACTGAATCAGATTCTATCTCTTGAAGATGATGGTGACATGACCTCTGTGAATGTAAATCAGGTATTTTAAATAATATAAATAAGAGATCTTAGCAATTACACTATTTATTAAAAAACTATTATGTCATCATAACTTATATATAATATATGACTTTCGTTGTGAAGGGAGAAACCTCCAACACTTTTACTGCTCTAGAGATCCATCCTCCAAGTTTTACCATGAACCCTAATGAGAATCAGGTACCTATAACTTTATAAAATATTTCTATCTAGCTATGATAATGATTATATTAATGAAATTTTTTTTAATTATATTCTAAAATTTGGACTCGATTTATTAGGACCAAGATGTTAACCAAGATATTAGCAATTTGTTGTTCGTGGACACGCAGGTAAATGATATAATAACGTTCATAAAATTATAAAATATTATTTGTATATAGTTTTATTTGAAGTTTATGATTTATTTTTTTGGTTAATTTTGTTCTTCAATAGGTTGAACAAGACTTCATATACTCTCTGTTCAACACTGACATGAATTGAAAAGGGGTTGGTTCTTCAAGCTGTTATTCTCAATGGGAGGTGAAGAAACAAAACCTGGTGATACCTAGCTAATAGATTTCTAAGAATACATATAAATAGATCATAGAAGTATGGGTTTTGTTATGTAATATATTTCGAAGTGTTGGTTATTATGTCTTTTCAGCAAGTGAATTAAGTGTAGGATGTTATGGGAACTTTTAAATATATAATAACAAGAATTTCTATTTGGGGTCTAGATAAATGTCATTTTATGTGTTACTTATATATATATTGTGTTCGAACGATGAAGTAGTATAATGATTTCAAAAGAGGACATATATATATATATATATATATATATATTTGTATATATATAACTTCAAATTTAAGAAAACTTTGTCGAGTGCATCATTTTCTATCACTTTCACCTAATAATTAAAAAAATCTCTCAAAATTTACTATCTACAATGGTTTTGGGTAGAATAGTGTTAACATAAGTGAATAAATGCGATTAGGTTCAAATTCTTATTATCACATTATCCACTTTTACATTTGCACGTGAAGAAGAAAAAATAAAGAGAAAGTTGAAAATTTTTCACTGTTGATTTTAATTCTTCCAAATAAATTGAGAATGCTGGCCATTCGGTAGGAAAAGCCACTATCTTCACCACATCTAAACTAGGTTTGAACCTGTAGTACACCGGAAGGCGGTTTTTTAATTATAATCACATACGATTAACATTGAACATCGATTAATGATTATGCAATACCTGTTAAAAGCTGTTAAGTAGCGGTTTCAAATTCAATAAAATACAAATATGAGGTTTTTGATGAAATTTGTGCAAATGGGGTATTTTTCCTCCCGTCAAAAAAGTTGGGTATCAAAACGTCCAATTAAAACTAGATGAGGTTTTTCAGGTTTTTTCGGGGTTTTTCCGTAAAACTTTCATATCGTTTATAGAATATGTAACATCTTTAACAGCAGTTAATCACATGTTCGAACTCACCAACAATTAAAATAAAGTATATTTAAATGAGATATTTCTCTTCCAAAAAAATACAGTTATTAAATGTCTTGTAAAAAAATATGGAGTATTTTTCAGGTTTCCCCTATAACTTGGAACAAAAATTCTATTTTTTCTTCAAAATTTTGATTGTTACGGCGGTTCGAGTGTAGCAAGTCGTCTTTTTTATTTACCATTCATAGAACCATCTATTGTTCTTAACGATGCAAACCAAAAACGTAGAAAAATCCGCTGCATACCAACTGCAAACCATTTTTACATTGAAATAAATCGAGTCTCCAACATTTTCTTGTTCATATCAAAAATAAAGTGGACTCGAACAGCTGACGGATTAGTCTGCACTAACCGCAACAGCCGTTCAGAGCCAAAACCTCTAAATTATGAAATATCTAAACTATTTTAGTTCTTAATCTAAATTACCCATAATAACTTTCAACATTTTAGTCATCAGTGATTTCATTTACATTTTGACTCACCTTGTTAATATATTTATATATTAATTCAGATTTCATATTACAAAATACTTCAATTTCAAAATACATTTGATTGTAGTTTAAATATATAAAATTGATCGTAATTTGTCGTGTATATATGACCGTATAGTTTAATGTATACATGGAAAGGAGCGGTGAGGAGAGAGAGAGATCACGTGAGCTTTCTTATTCACCACACATGTTTCTTCTTTACTCTTTTTGCCAATTGGCTAAAACAACTACCAAATTATCAATGGCAATCTCGTAAATTTCTCAACTTTCAATTTCCACTGTCTTCTTCTTCTTCTTCTTCTTCCTCGGTCTTATCGTCGTCGACAAATACAAACAAACCAAATCCTTTGATTCTCTCTCTCTTATAAAACACATAAACCCTTTAATCATATTCCCCTAAAAACCAAAACCCATCTCTCAACTTTCGAAATTTACCCAGAAATGTTGAAGCTTTCGTGTAATGTAACTGACCACTTACACAGCTTTTTCTCCGATCCTCGCCGGGTTTTTGTTCCGGTTCATCGGCGTACCTTTACGGAGAAACCCATCTCTTGTTTTCAGCTAAAGAAGGAACCTTTACGGGCAATTCTCTCAGCTGATCAAGGAAACAGTAGCAGCCTCCGTGTTGCTGATTCTGTCTCCGATGCGCCTCCGGCGGATCGTCTCCGATTTGGTCGGTTGATGGAAGATGGGTTTTCGTATAAGGAGAAGTTCATTGTTAGAAGCTATGAAGTTGGGATTAACAAAACTGCCACTGTTGAGACAATTGCTAATCTTTTGCAGGTTTTGGTTCTTTTGGGGATTTTGTTTTAAACTTTTGCAGGATTTGGTTCTTTGTTCAGTGTTTATGGTCTCTCTTGGGTCATGTGATTGATGTTTTAAGTGTGGATTTGTGTAGGAAGTGGCATGTAACCATGTTCAGAAAGTTGGATTTTCGACTGATGGGTTTGCTACAACACTTACTATGAGGAAATTGCATCTTATTTGGGTTACTGCAAGAATGCATATTGAGATTTACAAGTATCCAGCTTGGTAAGGGTTTGTTTTGCCTCTTTGGGTTTGAGGGTTTTGTGGTTTGAGTTGGAAAGTGTTAGATTGTTTTGTTTTGGTTATAGGAGTGATGTGGTTGAGATTGAGACTTGGTGTCAGAGTGAAGGAAGGATTGGAACTAGACGTGATTGGGTTTTAAAGGACTGTGCTAGTGGGGAAGTTATTGGACGTGCTACAAGGTTTTTGCTTTTTCAACTTGTCATACTCTTATCATTTGTTTTGGATGCATATAGTGTTAGTTTTATAAATTGGTTGTGTACATACCAGCATATAAGTGGTAATTAAGCTATATGCGTATTATGCGATTTTACTCAACTATTGTTATGTGACAAATGTTTCAGCAAGTGGGTGATGATGAACCAAGACACAAGACGGCTTCAGAGAGTTACAGATGAAGTTCGGGATGAGTACTTGGTTTTCTGTCCTCGAGAACCAAGGTAAAGAATCATCGTTTCCAGACATTTTCTTATGGCCAGTTAAAACATTATCGTTTTATCGACATGAAATTCTGAACTAGCCTTTCTCTGTGTTTATGTAGACTAGCATTTCCAGAGGAGAACAATAGCAGCTTAAAGAAAATCCCAAAACTGGAAGATCCAGCTCAGTATTCTATGCTTGGGCTTAAGCCTAGACGAGCTGATCTAGACATGAACCAGCATGTAAATAATGTTACCTACATTGGATGGGTCCTTGAGGTGAGTAACTAAGTATATGTCACTAGACCTCAGGTTATTTATTGATTGGCCAACTAATAATTTTGACCTTGGTCCCTGGTAATGGCAGAGCATACCTCAAGAAATCATAGACACCCACGAGCTTAAAGTTATAACTCTAGATTACAGAAGAGAATGCCAGCAAGATGACATTGTAGATTCACTTACCACATCTGAAACTCCCAACGAGGCGGTCTCAAAGCTTACTGGGACCAACGGATCAACCACGTCAAGCAAACAAGAACACAATGAGAGCCAATTCTTGCATATCTTGAGGTTGTCAGAAAATGGTCAGGAGATCAATCGTGGGAGAACCCAGTGGAGAAAGAAGTCCTCAAGATGAGTTTTTTTTTTCACTTCTATTGTCTAGTGAAGTAATTTTGCTTCACTTTTGTAGTTGTATTGTATCCTCTTATCAGATCTCTTTTTGGGGTTAGAAGAAATTGGATTATTGGTGTAGTGAAGTATTGTTTGCACGTCTGTTCTGTGTCCTTTTATGTCCAAATTTTGGGCTTTAAGCCAAAACATTTGTTAGGTCTTAGTCTTTCTCTGCTTGTATCTTATGTTAAGCTCTGGAACTAAACGATTTGATTATCCAATATATATGTAAGTGAAGTTTATTTGATTATTGTGGCTACCAAAAGAGAGTAAACAGAAATAAACTGAACTTGGTGATGACAAAGAGATAGAGATAATGTTAAGTGATATGTCAGATCTTCTCAGTTAATGTTCCATGAAGACTCAAAGAGCTCGAAAAAGTCATCAGCTGATTTGCTGAAACTATTCATTCCCTTTAACTGCCCTGAGCCTCAGCTTCCCAAACACAACAACAAGAAATATTTTCTCGGTTGTTCAGGTTCGCAAGAACAGAGCATCAATTTCATCTGACGAGGATAGATTCTAGACGGTAACCCAGAAAAATCCCCCATCCGCATAGACAAATGAGCCTTTTCGATTGTTTTAGATTAGTGGAACTCATCTATGACCTTTATCCACAACACAAGTTCTCTACCTATTCAAAGAAACCATTGGACCATACTTGGTTCTCAAATACAAAAACTGACTTGTGATACTGATGTTTAAGACAAACAGACTAAATTAGTAAAAGTGATCAACTTTAGCTTACGATTATCCAACGTTGATCGTGTCATCACGGTTAGTTACCAACTAACGCACAATTTGGATGTTTTGGCTACACATCTTACATCGACTTCTCTAGTCTGATCCTACAGCCAGTTGGTACAACATGGTCTAGTCAAACCAAACCCATGGACAGAGTACAAAACTCTTTGTACCAAATCAGGACAAGGAAAATTTGGACTTTTGAGGCTAGTAAATCTCTGAAAAGAGAGACAGGAAGACTTATACTGCTTTGTTCTTCGAATCTGCTTCTTCATCTCGCTTCTTCTTGTGCCGAGTAACATACTTCTGGTACTCTTCAAGCTCTTTCTCCAGCTTCTCTATGAACTCACTGGTATGTTCAAGCGATTGCTCATACCGATATTTCTCCAAAGCCTACCATTTTCATTTACTTTTGTCAGAACAAGAAACACACAGCCAACAAAAACTATCTGGTTTTATCAATACCTTATCTTTAGAGAGGGTATCAACAGGAGACATAACTTCCGGTCTCACGTAATTTTTCCCACGGTACAAAACTATGGTATTGTTAGGTTTGACATCAATCACAATGCCTTTACTCAACCGAGCAAGCTCTTCTGCATACTCATGAACCTGCCCCGGTTTGTTGCAGGGTTTGCAAATAACTTTAACAGTCTCATGCTTTTTCCAGTGAAGGTGCAAATTCAGAACCACGCCTCCAAACACTCCTCGTCTCCCGACAAGAACAAAGTTCTTTCTCTTCTCACCTGTACGTTTTAGGTAATGCTGCTCTTCTTCAGTCAAAATTTCTGGATCATAGACCTCCGCTGGTGATTTCGGAACATCGTATTTCCTCAGTTTCTCAATCAACCATTCTTCTTTCCTCTTGGCCTGCACAAACCAACCATATCAACAAAATATGAATAAACTTCAGAGCTACATTGACTAACACAAATGAACATGAAACTGTAATCAATACTAATCAAAACCTTTTCAAGCTTATATCGAATTCTAACTTCAGGATTCGGCGAATTCATCTTCTTTTTCGCCTTAAGACGATAAAACCTCAACTCATTCACTATAGACTTTTTTGACATTTTAGCCTTTCTCCATTTCTTCTCTTGCCTTGTAGGCACAACACTGTTACCACCACTGACATTGTTGAAAGCAAACCTCACCACATTATCATCTGTTCTTAGCTCTATAGTTGAATTACTCATGTAACGTCTATTAAACACACCATCATAAGCAAATAGATTCTGCTTCTGAGTTGAATCACATGGAACTTGTAGAAAAGGTCTTGACTTTACATAAATGGAGTAATTAGAGAACTGATTCTGAAGCAAGAAGAGTCCACAAGTCCTGCCAAGACAAACCCAGAAGTCTATAAGAATACACACAAGTAAAGCTAAACACTTTATGGATTCTACTGCAACAAAAAAAAAGACACAAAATTGCAGACAAGTACCATTTGGGACTTCTGAGAAATCGATGAGTGAGCAAAGCTAACATAACATCCTTTTGATTGACTTGTGAGAGAAATAATCGGAATTGACCCGTTGGTTTAACTCGGCTGGGTAAGGAAACAAGAATCTGATAAGCGAAGTCCTCAGAAACAGAGGATCTAGTCTCAGAGTCTCTTCGTCTCTGTCTCGGGGGTTCTTGTTTTCACGAAATTGAGTATAACTGAGAAATAATAGATCTAAGAACCTTTAGATGGATAAATCTTCGTCGCCGGAAAAAAACTATAGTCGGAAAACTAAGAATTCACGGCGGCGGTGATATCGTGCACGGTGACGAAGAGAGAGCGACATATTTGTTCAGGGTTTTAAGCCTTTTAGGAATCAGGATGATAACGATTTAGTAAAACCGGTTGGTTTAATATGAAAAATGTCGGTTCAATTATTTTATTTTGTTTGTTTTGCTGCATTTTGTATTTTCAAACTACATTAGATTATTGATTTTCTGTCTAATAATTAATATATGATATTGAAGTTTTTCATTGGTATTAATGTTTTTTTTAAAAGAAAAAAGATTAATGGTAAAAGAGTAATCAATAAATTTAAATTAAAATTTAAATCTTCCATCCCTCGCGATGTTCATGCCGCCGTCCAGGATATACCTGTGAGTATTACCGATGATATGAACCGAATGCTCCTGGAGACAATCTCTCCAGAGGAAATTAGGAAAGCTTTCTTTTCTCTTAACCCAGAAAAGACCCCTGGGCCCGACGGATTGACAGCGCTATTTTACCAAAAATTTTGGGACATTGTTGGTGGCGACCTGATCAAACTTGTCCAAGATTTTTTCTCCTCGGAATCCTTTGACAAGTCCTTGAATGCGACCAACATATGTCTCATCCCTAAGACGGAGCGTCCACGTTCGATGACTGAATTTCGCCCAATTAGCCTATGTAACGTAAGTTACAAAGTCATTTCCAAGGTTCTTAGCATGCGGCTTAAGAAACTACTTCCGGATCTTATATTCGAGACTCAATCGGCCTTTGTGTCAGGACGACTTATCACTGACAATATTCTGATTGCTCAGGAAAATTTCCATGCATTACGTACCAATTCGTCTTGTCGGAAGCATTTTATGGCTATTAAGACAGACATGAGTAAGGCGTATGATCGGGTGGAATGGTCCTTCCTTGAGGCCTTGATGACCAAAATGGGGTTTGCTCCTAAATGGATTAACCTGATTATGTTCTATATAAAATCCATTTCGTACAAAGTTCTCATTAATGGTTCGCCAAGAGGCCACATTCAACCTTCTAGAGGTATTCGACAAGGCGACCCGATTTCGCCATTTCTCTTCATTCTATGCACGGAAGCTTTAGTCGCACAACTAACTGAAGCGGAATGGACTAGACGAATTCAAGGGCTACAAGTAGCGCGGGCAAGTCTGTCGACTTCCCATCTCCTTTTTGCGGATGATAGCTTGTTCTTTTGCCGGGCAACTCCAGATCAAGGCCAAGCAATTTTGGAGATTATCCGCTGTTATGGCGAGGCCTCTGGGCAAAAACTAAATGAGGCAAAATCTTCAATTATGTTCGGACATGAAATTGACTCTCATACTCGGAATATTATCAAGAACACTCTTAATATTCATTTAGAGGGTGGGATGGGTACCTATCTTGGGTTACCGGAAAAGATACATGGCTCAAAGACCCAAGTCTTTTCCTTTGTTCAAGATCGCCTCCAGAGCCGTATCAATACTTGGTCGATAAAGTTCTTGTCCAAAGGGGGCAAAGAGGTTTTAATCAAATCAGTTGCTCAAGCCCTTCCGACATATGTAATGTCGTGCTTCCTACTGCCCAAGGCTATTCAATCAAAGCTCAGTAGTGCTATCTCCAATTTTTGGTGGAGAACCAAAGAGGATAGTAAAGGCCTCCACTGGTTAGCTTGGGAGAAACTTTGTACCCAATTCTCAGAAGGTGGTCTAGGATTTCGGACCCTGGAGGAATTTAATCTAGCTCTACTAGCTAAGCAAATGTGGAGACTCTTAAGGTTTCCAAACTCCCTGTTAAGTAGGGTAATGCGGGGCCGATATTACCGTTTCAGTGATCCCCTCGAAATTGTGAAGGTCAATCGTCCCTCTTATGGTTGGAGAAGCCTTTTTGCTGCCAAACCACTTCTAGTCTCTGGTCTGAGGAAAACTATTGGGTCCGGGATGATTACCCGAGTCTGGAAGGACCCCTGGATTCCAACAATCCCTCCTCGACCGGCTAAGAGTATTCTTGACACTCGCGACCCGCATCTCTATGTCAACGATCTACTGATACGAGATACACAAAACTGGAACTTACCCTGCCTGCGAGAATTGGTGGCTCCGAAGGATATTCCGCTTATTTTGGGAATTAGGCCTAGCCGAACCTACCTGAGTGATAACTATAGTTGGGTTCATACTAAGTCAGGAAACTATACTGTCAAATCAGGATATTGGGCTGCTAAAGCCCTAAGTCGACCATCTTGTGACCTCCCTTCTCAGGGACCAAGTGTTACGGCACTTCAGGCACAAGTTTGGAAAACCAAAACCACACGGAAGATTAAACACTTCCTTTGGCAATGTTTATCAGGTTGTTTGGCCACTTGCCAACGCCTGCACTACCGTCATATTGGAAGGGACAAATGCTGCCCCCAGTGTGGAGCTGAAGAAGAAACGATTAACCATCTTCTTTTTGAATGCCCCCAGGCTCGTTAGGCTTGGGCCCTCTCTCCCATCCCGACCTCTGGGAATCACTTCCCAAATTCTTCTCTATTCTCTAATTTTGACTTCCTTTTCTGGAGAGGTCAAGAGAAGGGTATAGATATCACAACATTACAAGCCTTCCCATGGATCCTATGGTTCATTTGGAAGGCCCGTAATCGTTTTGTTTTTGAGAATCTCCGGGTTCCACCGGATGAAACTATTTGCCTTGCCTTGCAAGAGGAGGATGTCTGGCGAAAGGCTACTGCAAAAGTCTTGGACCCAGACTCGTCCCTAGTTGGCCACGCTAACCCTCCAATGATCATTCCTACTGAATTGGAATGTCATTGTGATGCCTCCTGGACCCCTTCTGATCCTCTGAGTGGAATGGGGTGGGTGCTGACTGATGCTCTCTCCGTCAAGCATTTAGGCCTAAGAAGTATTCGACGGAGCTTATTCCCCCTCCACGCCGAGTTTGACGCCCTTCTCTGGGCTATGGAATGTATGATTAAACTAGACCAAACTTCTGTAAGCTTCGCCTCAGATTGCTCTGACCTTATTGCTTTAGTAGAAAACCCCAAGGATTGGCCAACTTTTGCTGCAGAAATCGCCTCCTTCAAGTCTCTTCAAGTTAGTTTTCCGACTTTCCGCCTTCATTTTCTCCCTCGTCTTTCCAATCTCCGGGCTGACCTCCTCGCTAAGAAAGCTCGCGCCCGAGACTGCATCTTCTCTCATATGAGCACTTCGGCCCCCAGTTGGCTCTCCCTAGCGGAGAGTATCTTCCCGATAGTGTCACAGATCCTTTGTTTATTTTGTCGAACAAAAAAAAAAAAAAAATCATAAATAACTATTAATTTCCAAATATAAAATAAAATAGAAAATATATTTTGGGATGTCTCTCATAGGCCATAGCTCGAAAAGATTGGTACAATTAGGTCTTATTTTTTTCTTTACTTTCTAAAATAATATACTTTTTTAACGTTGTTTCACTCATTCCTATCTTTGCAAAATTCATTGGAAAAATATCATAAGAAGCATGAACTTTGCGTTTTTGTTGAAAAAAAACATAAACTATGTATCTGATAAAATATATATTTAACTTGGAGTGACTTTTTAATTAAATCGTAGGGGGTGTATTGAAAGTGGAATTTCAAGTGATTTCTAAAAAGTTTACAAATCCGGTATTATTCAATCATGGATTTTAAAAATTCTTATGAAATCCAGTGTTATTGAACTAATCATTTTAAAATCCACCGTAAAATCCACTGTTATTGAAAACAGTTTGTGGATTTCATTTTAAATGATTTCAGGGGATTTCAAAGGATTTCAAGAAACTTCTTTAGTTAAAAATACAAGAATCCAAATCTCATAGTTTTAGGTGGAATTTGAAATGATTTTACATAAATCATATGAAATTCTCTAAAATCATCAAAATCTCAATAAAACTCAAATCTCTTAAAATATTACTTTGAATACACCCCCGGTAAACTCTTGTTGATTCTTGTTGATTTCGCAAATAAGACACATCTTAAATCAACATATTAATTAAACCGAAATAAGTTGGTGTTAAATAGATTTTCGTTAAACTTCAAAAATATGTCGTTTTATATTTTTAAAAAAATAATAAAAACAAACAATGGTGGGGCTCTAACCCTTTACCCCTAATAAAAATCAACGTACCCATAACCAACTAGGTTTTAATGTTTTAAATCTGAGTAGTCGCCAGAGCTGGGGCTTGGAATCCATCCGAATAGTCGTCGGAAATTGATTGTCCTCTCCTTAACAATGTTAAAATGTTTTTATTTTATTTTTATTTTGTATATAAAACGACTTCGTTCTGAAGTTTAACGGAAATCTATTTAACATTGACTTAATTTCTTTTAATTAATCTGCCAGTTAACTTAAAGTGTGCCTTATTTGGCAAAGTCAACAAGAGTTTACGAGTTAATTAAAAAATCACTCAAAGTTAGATACGGTATATATTTCAACAGATACAGAGTTCATGTTTTTTTTTTCAACGAAAACACAAAGTCCATGCTTTTTATGACATTTTCTCATAATTCATTCTATCAAGTTTACTATTAATTTTCATTCTTTTCGAAACACAATTCCCATATATATATATATATATATATATATATATATATAACCTCTAAATTTAAGAGAATCTATATCTCATACAATTGCATCCACTCAGTTGTTTTTTGGAATGCCAAAAATCAAATCACAAAAGACTTCCGTAAAAGCTATTAATGTATAAACTCCTTTTAAGTGAATATTAAAATCAATTTCTATAAAATCTAATATCTCCTAAATCTTCTTTATTTTCAGTATTTTTTCCAAAAAAATCTTATCCCTCCCCGTGAAGACAAAATAACATATGTATCACCCAAATCATTACATATGTTAGTAACCAAAGCTATCTCCCTGAAGTTGGACATATATTGTGTTCAATTATATTTTCTTTCACATGAAGTAGTGGGTGGTTCTTCATATTATGTACGTCTTTACTTTAAGAAAATAATAACAACCGGTAAAATATTAACATGTAGGGCTGTATCTGCAATTGGCCAGATTTGGTGATTAACACATAGCCTTTGAGAGTTCTACATTTTTCGTTGTGTGCCTCTTCTCTAAAAATCTCTTTTTTTCTAATTAGATATCGTATTGAAGTTAATGTGGATAATGATTGCCAAAGTACCCATTTGTTATTTCCGACAAGTTGCATCTAACTTGGCTATAAAAAATTTAAGAAAAACTAATTACTTTAATATTTTAACTTAGTTCCAAAAGTTTTCATACAGAACGTAGCCAAGAATCATGACTGCGGACAAATTATTCCCTAAGAAATCCATAATATAGTTGGAAGAGAGTTCATATTCTACATCGAAGCAGGAAAATACAATTTCACTGCTAAACATCAAAGTTTTACCATCACATAAATGGTCATACGTCCACTAGTGAAGTAATAAAAAGTTTGGTACAAAGCAAAAGGTTATTCAAAGGGAATGTGTGACAAATGCTAGAGTTTTATGCTTGTCAACTACAAAAGATTATTAGAAGGTACGAGTCTCAAAAGATCTGAATGGTTACTTCAACAATACGATGTAGATGCATATATGGCAATAGAACAAGAAAAGATGGACTGATACATGTGAAACCAAAAAACTTTAAAAAATTGATGTGTACAACAACATATGCGATGCTACTGGTAGAGGGAACAATGACGCCAAGAAATTGGGATGCAAAATAACACTAGTACACTACCATCAACTTTTACATGAGGCCCGCGAAATACGACAGAAAATTACACAGATGCAATGGCCAATAAAAGGTGAAATAATGCCTTCCAGAAAAGAACAACTTTCCTTTATGAATAAATTCATATATGGCCAATTGCCTAATTACAATTTGGTGCAGGAAGCTGTTTGATCTCAATGTAAGATCTTAGAAGATAACTCTCGTACATCTCTTGATCATGTACTCCTAGCTCCTCAATTGTTTTTTGTCCAACCGCAGCTCCACAATCTTGATCAGGACATGAGATTACTGTTAAGTTATTTTCTAGAGAATAAAAATGTTCTTTAAGATATCCTCTCCAACAAGTTTTGCAAAACTTGTGGCCGCAATACGGTGTGGAGATGAAACAATCATCATCATACCCTTCTTCATCATTCTCATCATCATCTTCCTCATCATCTTCTTCCTCGTCCTCATCCTCGTCCTCATCCTCGTCCTCATCGTCATCCCCATCCCCATCCTCATCCCCATCCCCATCCCCATCCTCATCCCCGTCCCCATCCTTATCTTCATCCTCATCCTCATCATCATCGTGATTCTTATTTTCATTGTCATCTTCATCGTCATCGTCCTCGTCCGTATCCTCATCCTCACCACCATTAACATCACCATGACCATGACCATCACTATCACCTTGACCGTCACCGTCATCATTATCATTGTTAAACTCAATAAACGTTTCTTCACTCTTAGAGCAAATACCACATGAAGCATTTGATAAATCTAGATTAGAATCAACCCTAACTAATTCTAAACCTAATTCTGCCAATAATTCCTCCCTTTTTCCACCAAAACGTTCAGCAAAAAGAAGCGAGTCCCATCCAAGATGCATGAGAAGTATGGTCGCTTCAGATTTTTGTAAATTGAAGGTTCTGGATATTTTATAGATTTGTTCATACATATCTTCCTTAATTTCATTTCTCGTGTAGGTTACTTTTTCATCGTACTCCATTATTTCTTTAAAAGAAAAAAAGAATTAGAATTACAAATCGATTAATTACTTAAGAAAGAAAGATAAACTTGTAAAAAAGCAGACTTAAGGCTTACTAGTAGATTAAGCTTCAACAACAAAATTGAAAGAAAGGTGAAGAGGTATTTCTATACTCCTTTTGTTGGGATATTGAGCTAGAAACTTATTTTGGTGTGCTATTATTTATAGTTTTCTAATTTGTTTTTTGGTTAAGAAGTTTTTTATAGGTACTTAATTTTGCTATAAAATAGTGATTTATATTAGTTACAATATCCAATAAATTTAATGTCTAGGTTAATCTTTTTCTGTTTAGTGACCAATCTATAACAAGTTTATTTAATTTAATATAATCTTTCCAAACAAAGATGTGGATGAAGTTAGATAAAGGACATTATTTTCTTAAAAAGATACAAGACTATGAAGAAACTTTGTCTTGAAAGTAGATATTAGAAAAGGAGTCTCATATAATTAATAGAGGAAAATATTTTTGATAAAATCCTAAAATCTTTGAAGAAAATAAATTAAAAATTTATGTTACAAGCTTCTTGTTTCCTATTTTTTTTTCACTAAAATGTTTTATAGAGATTTTTAAAATTAAAAATCTCATATTTATTGAATTGGTGATTTGTTAATCTCAAATCTATTCTTATTGAATTTAAAAGTTACTTCAAATACTCCAAACTAATTTATAATCTGTTGTTATTAAATCAAAATTTTAATACATTAACTAAAGGATAATTTCATTTGTAAATTAATTCAAAACAGCATTATATAAATTAAACTATTCTTTAAAGAATTTTCCTTAAAAAATATATATTATGGATAATTTAGATATGTTATCTAATCTTATTTTATCAAGTATGATTTCGAAGATAGTATTGACATGATTGTGGCATGTATCAAATCTCTATAAGATGTTGACATGTGTTATAACATATAATTTATTTAATGAGATAGGAAAACTAGTTATTTTTAAAAATACATAAACTTAATTTCAAGTTTATATCCAAAATCATAACTTTTCTTTTCTTAAACAAAAATACAACTAACAAAAAAAAAGTTATAAATTTATGTTGAGTCGTGGTCAATCAAATTTTGACATGCATCAGAAAACATACTTTATTTAGGATTGATATTAACCAAAACCAAAAAATATTGAAATTCAAACTAATATAACTTATTGAAAATAAATTGAATTGGATAAATTGAATTATAGTTTTTTCTATCCGGAAGTAGAAACACATTATCGAAAAGGTAATAAGGTTAAAGAAATGAATTTTCGATTACTTAATGAAAATATTAGTAATGTGTTTGTAGAATATCGATTGGTTCTTCTAAAAACATTAGCATCTTTGTATGTTTTTCATCTCTAGTCACTCTTTTCTCTATAACCACATCAATCTCTATACTAAAAATAAAGATGATCAAATTTGAAACTATATTTTTTTTTTTTAAATGATTAGAGAAAAAATCAAAACAAAAGAAAGAAAAAAATTAAAAACGAAGAAAAAAATGTAGAAACTGAAGCAAACGGAAAACCCTAACCCATAGGAGTAGGATCAAGGCTCTGCTCTGATACCATGATAAATTAATGAGAGTAAAGAACACAAAAGTGTTTAACGGAAGAATTGTATTTAGACTCTCATGAAAATAATGTTACAACTTACAATCTCTTATATAGAGTTTTAGGATAAACATAAATGTAAATAATATATATTGTGATAATGTTAAACTTCCTAAACTCAATATTAACATTTATCAATAATCTTCTAGAATAATATCTTCTCGATTTCCATATTTTGGAGTTGACATCTCGACCGTCGATCTTGGTCAATCTCCGGTCTCTATCTCCCAATAAACGGTAATAATAATAATAAAGTCATATCTACTACAACCCTAAATCATCTCTGAACTCTCCAACTCTCTATGTTTGATAACCTTATGCCTCCAGTTTACACTATCACCTTTTTCTACACTAGTGATGATTTGATATCGCACGAACATGCTTCCCACAAATTCAAGACTGCTCCATCTAAAACCTTGACAAGATTCTGCCCTTTTAGCTTGTAGCCTCAACGGAGTCACTATCGACTGTGATGAAGAAGGAGAGGTCTTTGTCGATCTTCATGTCAATAATTGTCCTCTCTCTCGGATTTTTCAGTCTCCGAATTTTGAATGCCTCTAACTTTTGCTTCCTCTAGTTTCTGATGCCACTCATACATGGCAATTGTTGTTGGTGAAGGCGACATACATCCAATGTGGTGGAATTGCCATCTGACTATATGCATCTCTCAAATTTTTCTTCAGGCTCGGACTACGCACAACAAGAGAAGAGAGAGAGATTTGGTGGCGAAAAACCGAGTATGCTACCTCAGAGCTTTGCTTACCAGCCTATGAGGCTTTTAATGATCTAGTGGAAGATCAAGCCAGTAAGCAAACAAGTGTTATGGTTTGTGTTTTCAGCACCTAAGGTCAAAGAGCTCAAGAAAGTAGCTGCTAGTTCAAACGCCGACCCACATGGGTCTAGAACAAGAAAATAGCTCCTAGAGCAAACATGGGTCTAGAGCATAACTTCCCTTATCTTGAGAAAATTTTGGCTTAACTAGATAGCTTCCGTCCCAAGATATCTTCCATATTATCGGTAAACCTAATGTTTTCAACTATGACATTTAAAGGAAAATGTGAGGTGCGGAAGCTGTTAATAAAACAACATGACCCGTTTTTTTTTTAAAATAAAATTAAGCATCTCATACTACTTAATTAATTCAAACCATAACCAGCAACTAACTTAAACCAACTCAATTAAAATAAATAAATTCATTCCATAACACACCAATAATCCAACAAGCAAACATTCAGCAATCCTAACGGGTCCTAACCAGAATTCAGCAGATAATAAATTAAACATAAATCAATACCACACAACTCGATCCAAGAGCATCCTCTTCTTCGTCACCACGATTCGACGATCACACTTTATAAATATCTGCACCACAAAAAAAAAAGGAGATGCATTAGTATTATCACAAATACTAGACTACTAGGGGAGAACCCGTGCTACTGCACGGATGACTTCTCTTTGAAAAGTTAATATATAAATTATAATTGTATTTATTTTTTAAATATATATTTATTTTAAATTGTGTTTACTTCCCATATTGTAAGTGATTGATAAATCAGATGTTTTTATTTCCAAACTGTACTGGCATGTTTGACTGGTTAATCTGCGACTACGAAACTGGATAGTTTTCCGTTTTTGGTTTTGTACAAATAACCGGTAATCTTATGACTGAAAAACTATAAAAATTGTCGTTAACTTACGACCACATGAACCAATTGGACCGGCCATATTTTAGAAGTCATAATATTTTTATGTTTTCTCAAACCATAATACATACGATTAAAATTGGTTACCATAAACTCTTGATGTATTATTAGTGCTCTTTTGGTTTAATCTGAATTTTAAAAATTTAAGCAATTTATTATTATTGTTAGACTACATATTTTGTGTAACATGATATGGTTTTTTTCCTTTTCTATTTATAAAACTGCATAATCTATATAAAATCAATAAAACTTTTAATCAATTGACTGTGGTCGAACCCGGTTAGCTTAGTGACCAGATGACTCGGTAGGTAATCCGGTTTAAATTCCTATTTGAGTTCAAAAACATTACATATATTAGGTAGAGATATTTTAGGAAAATAGGTAGAGATATTTTAGGTAAAGATATTTTAGGAAACTCAAAACTAAATATAGAAATGATATAATCTGCTGGAGAAATATATGATTTACTATCCATACCCAAAGATCCGAAAATGATATATCCGATTAAGTGTATTTTATTTCAATGAAAACTTTAGTGTAAATCTGATGGGTACACAGTATAGGTACATTCAAGCAAGACAAAAAGCAAAAATACACAAACAAATACCAAAGCACAATCAAACATATAAAACATAAAGCTAACGGCTCCCAGCTGGAACAGATATCGAACGACCCCGACTCTACAAAACCTTTGGAATCGATCTTCGTGATATCGATTTCCCTACCACTAAACTCAAACCATATACGAAACCTAACACATCAGGCATACAATACAAAATATCCACATATCCAATCCCCAACTGCACCTATACATTCAAAAAAGGCATCAAAGCATCTCACGAAGCTCATATTAGTCATGATCACGCACTCATCTCTGATTTGGATTGATTAGGAAAAACGAAAGCTCCACGATAACCTCCCTTACACCTATATCCACAAAATATCCTTCTCCTCTTCTTGACAACATCAAAACCAACCTTTTGCTTCTCTAAACTGACCCCCAAAGTATCCCTTTTGCTCCCGATAAAATGTATAAATGGAGAAAAATATATAATTTTATCCATTTTAACTATATTTTAGATGATTTAACAAATGTATATCTGTTTTTGAACGTTTTACAATTGATCGCCAGCCATAAAATGTTTATATTGGTTTATTGATACAAACATACTGTCTTGGATCCCAAATTAGCTTTACAAATCAGAAAATTTAGATTTCTTACAAGATGATATATGAGTTGAAACTGGTACATACCTATAGAGTTTTTTGTACCAAATTATCATGCTACATAGTTGAAAGAAATTATAAGTATCTATACAAATAGAATGAGCCATTTCTCATGGAAATATATCATTATAGTTATCCTTGGCGGTCACACCGGCTAGTTTTGGAACATCCAGCTAAATACTCATTAACATTCTCCTTAGGCTTCCCAGCAGATCCTGGGGACTGGCATCCTTCTGGAGGATTAGGACGCAGACATGGATTAAGCACTCTTGGATCTAAATATTTACGACCACCAGCAGCTAATGTTGGCTTCATCATTACAAAAATACTTAATTAACATAAAACATAACACCTGAGCCTTCATCTTTTCTTGATACTTTTCTTTTTTTTCCTTAGTTTATATGTTTTTATGAATTACAAAGTGAGTAGTTTTTAAAAAAATATGTGCAAATTGCTTTATATGTATTGAAGGAAAAATATATAGTTATAGCTTTTAATCACCACATGCAATCTAAATTTGTTAAGTTTTGTAGATGAAGGAGAGACCAAAAACAAGTTAACAGTTTCTTGAAAAATGTATAATCTGGAACCACTAATTTGAGAGGTAAATTTTTTGTTGTCAAATTTAGTAAAACCTATATTTAAATCCATTTTTTCCCAAACAATATCAAGGAAAAAAACAGTAGAAAATTAAGACTTGCATAATATGAATATGGATACTCCAAAAAATAGCTAAAAATAGCCACCTTCTTGAGACCACAGTCAATATCTTGTATTGACCTCGAAATTTTAATTATATGAATTTATTAGAAATTAAAAATTCTGTAAAGATTTCTTTATTCAGTTAAAATGTTTGAGTTACGTATTTAAAAATATAGCGAGTACAAGACCAAGAGAAAACTTATGTATATATAAAGAAAATGTACATTATGTATACATAATTTTTCAGAACGAACATGATTCATAATGTACATTTTCTTTAAATGAGCCATAACGTACAAATAAACGTAACGCTTGATATGTTAATATTTTTTTTTCTCTTTACTAAATCATCCAACTTTTTAACTATGAGTATTAAATCACTTGAACCGTACAATCTTCTTCTTGTTTTGTTAAACAACTATATATGTATGGGAGTCGGATTCCACGTACGTGATCTCGGGACTAAGAACCTATTCACCGTTTGCGAACTCGAACTGAATTGTATTCTTTGCTTAGGGAGAATGAGTAAAGACTTTTATTGATTATTTTTTCGTTCTCTTCCCCTGTTTATACAGTCTAACGCGATAGCTGAGGTGCGATCTCCGTTCCGCGGAGTCCACGATTCTCATTTCATTCCTCTTTGACTGCGAGCTCTTTCCTTTACGATCTAATAGCTGTCGTAACGCATAGCTCGTTCCCTCCATGCCTCTCCGTTGGGCCTCAACTCTTAACGGACTTGATCCAGACCGGGCTTGGACCGGAGGCTTATTTTGGCACCAACAACATACATTAATTGTTTAAGTACATCTACAACAACATCTTAAAACATACATCATAATCAATGTTTATCTCTTTTAATTTATGAATCATACATTATACTAGAGAATTAAGATTAACCAACTCTAAACCAATATGTCAACATTATCATATATATAAGCAAAAGCTGTAATTTATCAATCATTTATTTGACTTATTAATATCATTGGTTCCATTTACATTCGCTAGGAGGAACATGGAACCTAGCCCGATCAGAACAATAATCATAGATCATGTACTTTTGTCTCACATTTTCGTAAGCTTTCTGGTCGGAGTCGCTTAGTTTACTATAACTCTCACAACCACTGTTGGGGACACAAGCATAATTGTTAAAACCTTGGAAATTTGCCTTAAAAGGACCATTAGACCAATTAATCTTGGCTTTACCACCGTCCGTTGCCCAGCTTTCACCGTTCCATAAGCTAACCACAACTTGCATAGGCTTTGATGGATACTTCATGCCTCCACTTGTGTTGTTCTTGAACACTCTTATGGGGATCTTGTCCACATAAAGCCTATAGTTAAATTAAATCATCATATGGTGGTTTGTAACATGTATAGAGAAGTGATCAGAGGAAATAATCAGATCAAAATATTATTTTTCTATATACCTTTTTCTAGATATATCCTCATATTTCTTTCTTTTCAAGAAGATTTTTTTTCTTTCATGTAAATCTTTTAAATAAGAAAAAAATATACAAATAATGAAGCTTAACATTAATCTATATGAATAGCTATAATTCATATTTTTTATAAGATTTATTGAAATTTGGGTTTATATTTTTTTCATATTCAAAATTATTATAATATATATTATATATCTAAACACCATATAATTTTATTTGTAAATAAAATTCATAAATTATGAAATAAAATGTTAGAAATCATTTAGTATATTTCACCTCAACTATTCAAAAACATTTATATATCATATTATTATTAGATAAGTTTGGTTTTAGCTTTTAAAATTTTTAATTTTATATAATAATTTTATATAATATTTTCCAACATCTAAAAACCAAAAGCTATAATCTATAATCTATAATCTTAAAACCTCTTAAAATCTCCTAAACATCCATGCCCTATATTTGCTAAATAGATAGGTGAAAAGATGAAGAGAGAAGAGACATACACAATCTGATATGGATTCCAGAGAATTTCATAAGTGTGGAAATCTTCAGTAGGATCGAACCAAGGAGTTATCTTTTGTTCTCTATTTCCTTTACCACTAGTAAATACATTTGTCTGTATTGTTACTAGTTTCCCTTGTTTATTTCCCAAGAACTCAAAATCAATTTCATCATGGGAGTCTCCCTTTGAAGTTAACTGTTACCAAACACACAAACACATGCAAGAATAAAAAAAAAATGTTCATGTAAAACTAATAACTGAAGAGAAAATAAAAAACGTACGTAGAAAGCAGTGACAATGCCAGAAGAATCTTTTTGAGGCAATTTGATTCTTAGTTGGAAGAATCCTGAATTGTAATGGCTTTTAGATTCAAAACCTGAGCCTGTCATTGTAAAATATGTTAACATAATGGTCTTTAAAAGAACATTGTTTTATTTGATAAAAGTTTCAAATGAAACCTGAAGATTGATCCATGGAGAGCTGAACTTCTTTGCCTTGGTTTAGCTTCAAAACATTGTTTTGTCCCCATGTAACAACATAGTTCTCATCGAAACCTACATCGTTTTGGTTGATTTCTCTAACTCCATGAGCCATAGCATCAACCCTAATGATCAAATGCAATATATAAATCAAAGTTAAGATTGAAATGTACCCCATCTTGTTGTTTTTTTAATCTTAGAGTAAAGATCTCTCATGTTTATATAACAATTGTGTATAGTAAAGGATGAGTTATGTGATTTTCTAAGTTTAGTAGGTGAATTGAAATCTTTATAAAATTATTATGATAATTATATTAACTAATCTAGGAGAGCAATTCCTCAAGGCCTCCACATTCATTACTAAGTATATAGATATGTTTAAGGGGATGCATTGAACCTTAGATTTTGAATCCTTTGAGTTTTAATGAGTTGTTATATGATTTGATGATTTTAGAGAAATTGGTATGATTTATTGTAAAATTATTTAAAATCTTACCTAAAAAATTGAGATATGAATTTCTAATGTTTAAGTAATGAAATCCTCTAAAATCTTTCAATATTATTAAAAGAAAATCTCCAATTATTTTTTCCAATAACAATAGATTTTCAAATAACTAGTTCAATAACATTGAAACTAATGAATCCTTTTAATATATATAATTTAATAACTGAAAATTTTTGATTGAATAAAAATTAAATTTTTATTACAAATAACTGAAATAATGAAACAAATAGTGAAAATATTAAAAATATATATACAAGTATCTAGATATTACAAAAAATAAAAATAATGTGTTTTTAGATAAGTCTAAATAAATTTTGGAGATTAGAAACTTTAAATATAATAATCGAAAGAAAAAAAGTAATAAGGAAAAAGTATTTAATGAAATATAAATAAGGCCGAAATTTTATTATATTATCAAGGGCCGCAAGCTCATGCTTCATGGGCTTGGCCTTTATGCCGGCTCTGTCACGAATACCAAATAATTAAACACTAAAGATGATGTTGAAAGACAAAAGGAAGACACTAAATGGACCAATTTATAGAATTGACATTTTGTTTTATACATGTATCTTTTCTCTTATGCATTCATGTGACACTCATATATAAAGAGAGTTAGCCAAATTTCATATATAAGATAAGTTATTTGTATATAGTATTTATGTATATTATTTGCCTTTAGTAAAAGTATATGTTTACAATTTATCATTTATTCCATTGGCACTCACTAGGAAAGACATGATGTCTAGGCTGATTAGAACAATAATCATAGTTCATATACTTTGCTCTCACATTCTCCAATTCCTTCTGTTGATTTGCACTTAACCTATTATAAGTCCTAGTGTTCCACCAGTACCTCGCCGAACCACAATCTTTCCCATTATCACTCTGACCATCTAGGCGACAACCATGTTCCGCGAAGCCTTGGTATTGAGCCTTAAAAGGAGCATATGCCCAGTTAATCTTTTCCTTACCACCGTCAGTTGCCCATGCTTCACCATTCCAAACACTAGCCATAACTCGCATGGGCTTAGATGGATAGTTCATTTCATATCTTTTGTTGTTCTTGAACACTCTTATCGGGATTTTATCGACGTAAAACCTGTTAACAAACCATCCATTAAGTTTTGATTTAGGTAAAAACAAAAATAAGAAGAAGGAGAAGAGTATAAAATAAAAAACTTACACAATATGATATGGATTCCAAAGAATCCCATAAGTGTGGAAACTTGTGGTGGGATCGAACCAAAGATGAACCTTTTGTTCTCTACCTCCTTGTCCATTTGTAAACACATTTGTCTGAACTTCTATTGGTTTCCCTTGTCTATTCCCCAAGAACTCAAAGTCAATTTCATCTTGTGAGTTTCCTTCTGAAGTCAACTATTACCAATACATCAATATATATAAGTAAATTCACAATATTTTGGAAACTCCAACAAAAGAAGTTGCATTGAGTAGGATAAATGTGAACTTACATAGAAAGAAGTGACAACGCCAGCAGAATCTCTTGGAGGCAATTTGATTTTCATTTGAAACAATCCTGATCCGTAATGGCTCTTAGACTCAAAGCCAGAACCTGTTAATTAGTATTGTAGGTTATGTCAAACTATTTATTTGGATGTTATGTCTACATTAATATCATATATTGTCTTGTGATTTTTTTATTACCCATTCAAAAACCAATAAGCTATGGTCATTTAGATCACTAGTAAAAAAGCCCTATAGCCACTTTCATGTTTGCGGCGGCTATAGCCACGAATATTAAGGCGCAGCCGCAAAAATTCAAGTGGCAATAGAGATTATTTTTACTAGTGAATTATATGATATTTTGGTAAAAAAAAACAAACTTACAAACCCAGTAATATATTTATTTAAGAAAATGAGAGATGAATAACTTTGAAATCAATACACGCAAAAAATGAATTAAATATATTTTGAAAGTAGAAATAAAGCAATGAACCTGAAGCCTGATCCATGGAGAGCTGAACTTTTTTGCCTTGTTTGAGTTTCAAGATACGATCTTGTCCATACGTTACGACATAGTTCTTATCGAAATCTATACCTCCACGACCGCGAGCCCTAGCATTAGCCGTAAACATCAAGAAGAGTACCAAAACAAATTCAAATATTGAAAACATATGTTGCATAGTATTCATTTTGAATGTTAGCTTGAGTATATCTAATATCTAAGGGAGCAAAGAGCTCCTCTCTATTTATATTGAATTATGTCAAGAACTAGAGGGTTACAGTTTTAGGTAATTTCATGATTCAAAGTCATCCTTGTTTAGTCTTCTTACATTTGAACGAAAATTTTAGTCAATATGATGAATTTAAATAGTAATATTTACTATTTATTTGTAATCCAAATTGAGACTCTTCTTACCTATAATGGCATTTCATAATCTTACTTTTAGTCAACATTGTTAAATAATAGTTTTATAATCTTACTTTTAGTCAACATTCTTAAATAATAGTTTTAAATATTTTTACCTATAATAACATTTCCCTGTGCTAACAAAGTCCATATTTGTTGTAGTGTATCTTGCGCTATTTTTTTCATGTGACTTAATTATATATGCTTATACTTAATTTAGACCTAAGTTTTTTTCTGTCTATCTTTAATTAATTATATCAATGTACATTTTTATTTTATTGTAATTTAAAATTGGTTTTGTGTGGTAAGAGGTTTACTACGAGCAAATATTAATATGATAGCTAGTATCGTCATATTATAAGAGACAAATCCATAAAACCCAATTTTCACATATGATATATGAATAAATCTAAGACGACTGATACTAGATGTGTGTGAACCGAGTCATGCAACAAATACAAATCGTGTGTTACGTTTCGGGTGTAATAGACTACTAAATAACTAATAACAATATTGATGAAATAGAACTTAGAATTAGAAGTAGGCAAGGCAGTGAGGCACTAGTAAGATATATTCACAAAGTACTTAAAGAAAACAAGATTCAGATCAAGTCTTGTTGCAAATTGCAATAGAATAGTCTCAAGGTATTTGATTATTACACCAAAATCTTCTTAGCTTCTCTTAAGTATGTATGTGTTTCTACTTTCTATCAATTGGTTTATGTGTAAATTTTCAAAATGCACCCAAATTATCGATATATTGGGGTTTTTTTTCTTGTTAACATGAAATATATATGCGATTCGAATTCGGATAGTAACAAACAACGACTCTAGCACAAATTTTACGCTAATAACATTGATCGAATAAAAATTCTAACAATTAGTGAATTCGGATTAAAACCATATACTATAGTTACATTTGATTATATCGACATTCACTAGGAAGAATAGAAAACCTAGCTTGGTCAGAACAATAGTCATAGTTCATATATTTCTCTCTTACATTTTTATAAACCTTCTGCTCATAGACACTTAGCCATCTATACCTCATGGTGTTCCACCAATACATCGATGAACCGCAAGATTCAGAAACATTTCTCGGCTCATCCACATGACAGCCGGATTCGGAGAAACCTTGGAAATGTGCTTTGAAAGGAGCATAGGTCCAATTAATCTTGGTTTTACCACCATCTGTTGCCCAATTTTCACCGTTCCACAAGCTACTCACTACTTGCATAGGCTTCGATGGATAGCTCATGCCATCTCTTGTGTTGTTCTTGAACACTCTTATTGGGATATTATCCACGTAAAACCTGGTATCAAATCATCTTTGTCATTACATATATATATAAATCAAAACTATATATCAATAATCATTTGATATACTTACACTATATGGTATGGATTCCATAGAATGCCATAAGTGTGGAAGTCAATGGTTGGATCAAACCAAAGACTAAATCTTTGTTCTCTGTTTCCTCTACCTTGAGTATACACATTTGTTTGTAATGTTATTGGTTTGCCTTCTATGTTTCCCAAGAACTCAAAGTCAACCTCGTCTTGGGTGTCTCCTTTAGAAGTCAACTATAACCAAATTCACAAATATCAAATATGTAAATAACAAAGTATTAACCAATGTTAAATGTGAAAGAATATAACAAATACGAACGTAAAAGGCAGTGACAACGCCAGCAGAATTGTTTCCAACCACTTTGATTCTCATTTGGAAAAAACCTGATCCGTAATGGTTCTTGGACTCAAAGCCAGAACCTGTACGTGTTGTAAAATCAGTACATGCATGCCAATATCATAAAAATACTTTGAAATATTTTTGATTATTTTTAATTTAATTATAAAATGGTTGAAAATTCATCGGAAACTAAAAGAATTTTCGTCGAAAATTTTGCAAAAAACTTCCGATAATTTGTTTTTGCGAATTTCCGACGATAATTTTCTCAACGATTTCTGCCGAATGTAGATTCCGACCAAAAATTTTAAACGAAATTTATTTTATCGAAATTCGTCGAGATATACCATTTCCGACCAATACCATCGTCGGTAATTAGCATATTTTCTTGTAGTGCGAAACTAAAAATAAAGAAGATCAAAGAACCTGAATAATAATCCATGGAGAGCTCAACATCTTTGCCTTGGTTAGATTTCAAGACATGATCTTGTCCCCATGTAACCACATAGTTCTCATCAAAACCAGTTTCTTGATTTATATCAATTCCTCTCAGAACTCCATGAACCCTAGTAGCATCAGCCTTAACGATCAACAACATTGCCGAAACAAAACCAAAGATTAAAATATAACCCATCTTTATTGGTTGTCTTGAGTACTTCTCTCGTGAAACAATATATATATCTCGTTTCTATAATTTCTTGACCAAACAAATGATATATCATTTTGGTATAAACGTATTTATTGGCATAGATACTAGAGTTATGGGTGTGTTCACGCGACTACCCCCATGCACCTATATGTGTTATCTTAGCATTGAAGGGTTACAGATTTGTTAATGCATTGACAATGACAATTTACAAGATGCAAAAATGAAAATACACAAGACCAAAGAGTGAGATAATCTTTGTATATCCACAAAGTAACTTTATATACTTAGAGAGCATTTAAGATAATGTTTATTGTTCCGCAGAAGGATTTAGAACACTAATCATGAAGAAGAACAAAAGCAGTTTTGAGACACACAAGTACAACAAAACTTAACAAGTTAGATAGGTGAAGAGTTTACACATTTCTATACAACCTTCTTCTCTTCTATAATCCCAAACTCCTCGTGGGCAAATACCGAATTTGTATCGAAAAAATTAGAGTCTAAGCTGGTAGCTGCAGCTTTTTATTGTTTTTCCAGCTGTGAATATGATCAATAGTATAAGTCAAGAGCTCTGGTTTTGTTTCATGAACAAAGAGACCGATGATGGAAGTATTTGTTACCTTTGGGAGTAGTAGAAGAAGAAATCGGCGTAAAGCAATGTTTGAACGAGCCCGGAGATCCATGCTACGAAATAACACAACATATGTCACTCGATTTCAGTTAAAGGCGAAAGAAACTAAAAAAACTGTGATTCTTGAGCAAGTCATGATGTTATGCGGTAAAAAGTTCACTAATCTAAGTAGGCTAGGCTCAAACATATTAACAGATGCTATATAATGTGCACAACTAGGGTCTAGACAAAGAACTATGAGAGAGGTAAGTAGTCATACTTATCCAGTGAACAAAGTGTGGTTCAGTGAAGTAACGGTAGATCCAGTTAAGAATGTACAATCCTCGGTATCCCCTGCAACAACACGACACAAATTGTACATCAAATACGAAACTTAGAAGGCAACTAAAATGTAAAGACACAAGTTTCCAGAGGAAACGACATTCTAAGAAACAAAACCGATAGAAATGAAAGTAGTCAATAGAAAGTTATGTATACCCGAGGAGAAATACGTATTGTCCTGTCAAGTTATCGATATTTCTAGTCCTCTGCAGCAAAACAAGCTGAGGAAGTATAGCAACAGCTTCCAAGTACAATGAAAAAGTCCACAGGACCTAATACCATATAGAACAATGAGAATCACAACAACACCTAAAGACACTAATAAAAACTGTTTCGGCGAGCAAGCGAGAAACAAACCTCAAGAAATGTAAACTTTTCATGAATCAAAAGAGCCAAAAGCAAGCAAGGAAGCACAAGGAACCAATGACGAAACGTATCTTGTTCCCTATCATAACTCCTATGAACAGTCTTATGATACTTCATATACAAAACTATTGAAAACGAACTACCTAAGAACACTAACTTCATCAGAGTGTTGTAGATTGAATAGAAACTCGTGAAGATATCTAAGTATCGAGTCGCGAAGACAATGGCGTAAAGCTCTTGAGTCTTTAGTGAAACACCTGTGAATGTCAAAACACGAATTCGAGTTTGAGTTTGAATACAAAATCAATCGAAGATTTGAATTCTGATTTTGGAATTGGACATTACCGGCGCAGGATTTGATTGTGTGGATCTTGAGAAGTAAGACGAGGACACTAGCTAGGTGAGTCATATCACCAGCTAATCGGAAAATGTTCATCTTGTTCTTCGCCGGGGATTGAGAAATTTGATCGATTAGGGTTTAAGATCGTTTGTAGTTGTCTTCTCCGGCGACGGCGACGGCGAGACGAAGAGAGGTTTATGGTAGATCTCGTTTCCGATTCTGTTTTTGTTTTTTCCTGGGAAAAGAGAAAACAAACTGATGAGAAAATTTTAAGGCCCAGGCCCAAATTTTATTTTGGTTATGGGCCAAGTTTGGTAAACCGAAAGCTGATTGTTTGGTTACGGGTAATGTCGGTTATTCTAAAACAAGATCAAACCAACTCTAACATAGATCAGATGATCCTATGAATTAAAGTGTTAATTTGCGAACTACACAAGTTTTAAAAAATAATAAATGGAAATGGTATGTTTATTATTTATAATTAGGAAAGTGATCCATTTTTACAGTTTCACTAGGATTTACCCCGTGCTACACCACGGGTCGATAATTTAATATATTTGTTTGATTTATCATTTTCGTAGTTGGTCTACATACTCTAGTTTTATACGTATATATATCATTTTAATTTTATATAATTTTATGAATTTGTATATTAAGTAAACTCATAGATATATGTGGTTAATCCGCGATACACTTCCCAAAAAAAAAAAAATTGCAGTACACCGCGGGACGATTTGTTGTAAATAAAGATTTATATTTTAACTTAACCCGTAAAAAAAAATTAATATAGAAAACCTGTAATAATCATATTTATCTATCTTAATATTTTTGAACTACATTTTGTACTAAAATTTATTTTGGATTATAACCTTTTATTTTGTAATATTTGCATAATCAAACCCTTGCCATTTGAATAAATAACAAAACTATAGACCGTTTATTGTTTGAGTTATATACGTCCGTTTTCAAAAATTTAAATTGCAAAATGTGTGGAAAAAAATTTGTATTTTTATTATAAATATATTTTATGTAATAATATAAATTAAAAGAAAATAAGATTACATTAATATATTGGAGAGATATTCAATTTATTAGAAAGTGATATTTTAGGAAAGCTTTTTGATGTAATAAATATTTTTTTCCAATTTTACGATTTGTTTGTGATATAATTACAAAATTTACTTTTAAGTTTTGTTATTTATTCAATTGGCAAGGGTTTGATTATGCAAATATTATCAAAATAAAAGGTTATAAACCTAAATAGATTTTAGTACCAAATGTACTTCAAAAATGTATATATAGATATTACTTACTTGTGTTCGTATTCTCAATTTTGTTGTTCGTATTCTGCATATTTTTGTTAGTTTTTCATACCTAAGTATTTTATGTTTATTGCAACATATTTAAGTGGTCGTATTCTATATCATGTTCGCTTTATCTCGTGTTTTTGACTATCCATCGTGTGTTCGTAGTCTATATCTATCATACAATTCATTGTGTATCTATTTTCCCAATTATAAATAGTCTAAACTTCTTATTATGTTTTTAACATGCACATATTGCATCCATTATTAAATTGGAAGTTCAAATTTTTGTCATCGAAATGAAAACTAACCTATAACTCATGTATTAAAATCTTGTATTGTGGTATTGTAACTATCAAAATCTTTAAAATATTTAAGGTTAAAAACAACCATTTTTCCGAAAATAATTTTCAGTTAAAACATTCATTTTAATATGAATGTCTTAAACATCTATAAAAGCAGGGATAATCAATACTGAACAGGGAGAGCGAGGACCGCCAGATCGCTTGAACTGATTGTATACTTAGTGCGAGCGAGGTTTTTTGTCAAATTTTTTCACATTATAAAAACAGTCATAATAATTAGCATTAAAATGAATTATCAAAAGAAATTTAGAAACATATCAAAATAACCAATGGAGATGATCCTAATACGCTACAAGCTGAAATATCTTGGAAATACTCATGTAATTTTAGAGCTAGGCTGATTTGATTTTATATCTTTTTTTTGTCATCTATTTGATTTTATATCTTTTTGAGAAAAACTATATTGTTCGAGTAATGAATAATTTTAATTTTTGTACAGTAAGTTATTTTTAATTTTCAGAAAAAATACAACGATAACCAAATTGGAGTTCATGATTTTGGCTATTTGGATTATCTTGATAATATTAATTAATAAACAATCCCACACCCAATAAAATGCATTCTCTTTCACAAAATCCTAAAATCACCAAATTACATGGAAAAAACTAAGAAAATGATCTCATTATTCTATCGATAAGATGCTGACATGTATTGAATTATTATTTTCTGTTTTTATAGTAGTATAAAAACTAATTAAGAAAAGAATATATCATTTGCATGGTTAAATCTATTATTCCAAAATGAAAAAGAAAAATTAACAAAACCGAAAATATATTTTTATTTAATTTTCTATTGTATGTGTGTTCTCAATTAGATTTTGACATGTGTAGAAAACAAATATAACAAGTTAAAAAAAAATGTAACGCCCCGACCTCCATCTCTCAAGTGGGCCCCATGTTGACCACCAACCCATGGGTCCACCTCTCTTAATGGGCCTCACGTCCTCTCACTTGCCCATGAGCTCATAATATATGACGGTTGGTTTACTACGTACAGGAGGCTTAAATACTTGTTTACCGACCCTACAAATCACCATATGATCTTTCCATGTGTTTTGGCCTCACTCACACAGCTCTGACAATCACTTCACGGAAGGTCACCCATCCTTTGACTACTTCAGCATAAGCACGCTTAACTGTGGAGTTCTCTCATGACCTTTGACCGAAAAGATAAGTGCACTTTGGTGACATAGGAGGCCAAATCAATTCATTTAAACCCTTCCGCAACCGGAGTCTCACAATTCTCCCCCATTAACAAACTGCAACGTCCTCGTTGCGTACAACAATCTTCACCCCCTGACAGTGTGAGCCCCACTTGTAACACTCTGACAGCCATCTCTCCAGTGGGTCCCATGTTCACCAACAGCCCATGGGCTCATCTCTCTTAATGGGCCTCACGTCCTCTTACTAGGCCCATAAGCCCATCAATATCCGACGGTCGGTTTGCTACGTCCGGGAGGCTTAAATACTTCTTTACCGACTTTACAAATCACCACATGATCTTTCCCTGTATTTTGGCCTCACTCACACAGTTTCTAACAATCATTTCTCGGAAGGTCACTCATCCTTTGATTACTCCAGCATAAGCACGCTTAGCTGTAGAGGTTTCTCATGACTTTTGACCGAAAAGATAAATGTACTTTGGTGACATAGGTGGCCAAATTAATTCATTTAAACCTTTCCGCAACTAGGTTCTCACAAAAATATGAGTTATTTGACATAATTTTAATTAGATACAAATTGTATTTTCATTATAATATAATATATTTTATTTGTAAGTAAAAACACGAAAACTTGAAAAAATAATGAACTTAGAAAAAATAAATTGTTGAATACGTTATGAGAATATGTATTAGTCTAGTTCTACATGTTTTGATTGTAAGATTTTTATGCACGTAATTTATTTTAAAACAAAAACAATTTGGAGCACATACCAAAATAATATGTCGGTTTGGTATTATAAAAGAGAATTATGGTTTAGTTATAATTAAAACGGAATTATATTTTTGTTTGGGTTTATAGAAGAGTGTTTAGGTTTAAAAACTATGATTTAAGCTGGCCAACTACGACTTCGAGCGAGAAGTAACAAAACTAAATTAATATTATAATTAACCTCCAAATAATGAGGTTAACGAACTTTTGATTCTTTTGATTTTGAGGTTAACGAACTTATAATTAACCTCCAAATAACCTCCATTCTTTTGATTTTTCTCCACATAGTCAACGAACTTCAACACAAAGAAAAAAATTCTAAATGCTAACTAGTTGTGAATATGTGAATATGTGAGCTTACTCTCTTGTTCAGCTTCTAATGAACATTGTTGTGAAGGTTCATCGTTTGAGATTCACAAAACAAACAAGTGAAGGAAACAATAGAAAACACTTGAATAATAATAATATACAACAGAAGAAGCTATAAGCTAGAAAATATCAAGAACTTGTAAAATGGTAGTGTTACATAGTGGACAGTTCCCTCTTTGTACCCAAAGCTCTCTCGAACACAATCTGCAAAACGTATGTCCACACGGTATAAAAGCCGCACCTTTACTCCTTATCATACACACACAACAACTCAACTCCACCGTCGCCGTCCCCGTCACCCCAACCGCCTCTCCTCCTCCACAACCACCATTTCTTCCCTCCACTTCCGCCTCCGCCTCCACCTCCACCGCCACCGCTTCTCTCTCGCCGACATCGTACATTTGTCCATCATTATCCTCCAACAACTCCATTAGTGACATCCTCGGCGGCTGCACTTCCTATGATAAACAAATTCGAAACTTAGATAATGTTTTATTTGAAGAGCTAAGAGGTTTTTGGCCAAAACCATACATTTTCTCAAGTTCGAGACCAAAGAATATGTTATATGGTTTCGTCTCAAGCGTTACTGGAACGACTAAGAGTTTAACAGTCTAACTAACTGATTAACAACCATTCTAATTACTTTAACAGACTAATTAACTGATTAACAACTTTAACCGTCTACCAAACTGATTAACTAATGTAACTAACTAATACATATATCAATACCTCTCTCTCTCCGGCCAACACGGTGCTTAACCGACGCCTGCCTTCTCGCTCGGCCGCCTCATCTCCTCCATTACTACTCCGGTTAGTCTCCGAGTTAGAGAGGAGGTAACCAAGACGGTTTAACCGGTGACTATCACTATCCACATTACGGATAGGACTATCCAATACAGGAATAGGATTAGACGAGATCCAACCAGTAGAGGTGCGTTTAAGACGGAGCTTATCTCGGAAAAGTTTCCAAGCGGTTTTATCACGGCGGCGCTCTCTTCTCATCACGTCATGTAAACTACCATTAGAGTGGTTCCTCGTCGGAGACGGCGGCGCAGTTAATGATCGGAAACTACTAGTTTCAGCCATGAGAATATCTTCTAGTGTCACCGAGCTCCGACCATTCTCCACCGTTGACATACGGTCTAGTAACGTCACTCTTAACCTATCTCCACCATCCATTTGAATCATCGTGTTTAATCAACGGTCCGTAATAGAAACGTAACCTGTGTGATACACAAAGAAGAACCCTCAAAATCCACTAAGTCCAAGATTTTCTCGGGAAAAATCAACAAAATCAAGAAGTCTGAGATTTTTTCCTGAGAAATTTTTTTAAAAATCAAGAAACTCAAGAAGTCTAAGATTTTCTCGGGAAAAGTTATCAATCCACAAATTCGAATGTTTATACCTCCTTGAAGCACAAATTTTCCTGAGAAAATTACAAAAAAAAAACAAGAAAATCAAGAAGTCTGAGAATTTTTCCTGAGAAAATTTTTAAAAATCAAGAAAATCAAGAAGTCTGAAATTTTCTCGGGAAAATAAAAAAAGAGTGAGAATTTGTCAATTACAAAAACTTAAAGATAACAAGAATCTGCAAAGTTGAAATGTAAAACTTACTCAAAACACAAATTTTCCTGAGAAAACTCAAAAAAAAATCAAGAAAATCAAGAAGTCATCAAGAAGTCTGAGATTTTCTCGGGAAAATAAAGAAAGAGTAAGAATTTGTCAATTAGAAAAGCTTAAAGATAACAAAAAAAATCACAAATTAATCGGTTACAAAACAACAATTTTCCTGAGAAAATGGAAGAAAAAAAATCAAGAAAATCAAGAAGTATGAGATTTTCTCAGGAAAATAAAGAAAGAGTGACAAATTTGTCAAGAAAACCTTAAGCTAACAAGAATCAACAAACTCATCGATTACAAAACCACAAATTTTCCCGAGAAAATGAGAGAAAAAAAAAAAAAAACCGTCGGCAAAAGACAGAGGACACGTTTTCCGAGAAAGTGTCTGAGAAAATAGTAAGTGACTGAGAAAAAAACAGATCGACATGGTTTATATATAAGAAACATTGGATACCTTAACCTTCTTCTCCGACAACTTCGTTTCTATATGCACTAGAATCCGGAAAAAAATCGAGAGCAGATCTGTAATCAATCACATAAGTTTTATATATTATAAATCAATCTTCATATACACTTTACTTTATACGAATCTGACAAAAATAAAATTCTATGCACAGTAGTGCTTTTATATAAAGATAGGGTAGAAGAAGAATATTTACGAGTCAAAAAGGACTAAAAACAAAAATTAAAAGTAAAAGATGAATGATGAATGATCACTTTAGTTTTTGTTTATGTGACTTGTGTGAATCTATCTCTACTACTTTTGAAAGAGTGGGAGACAAAGAGTTTTAGAACGAGCAGAGGAGATAAGTAAGTGTGATTTTCCGTATTTGCCCTTTCATATTTGAAAGTCCTAGTTGTTATTCCATGGAAACTATTTTCGAAATGCGTTTTCCGTTTTCAAAACGTTTTAGAAACAAAAAATTTTGGAAACTCGGAAACTATTACGGAAACACAGTTTCTAAGTTTTTTTTAATTTAGGAACACGGTAGAAAATCGTGTTTTCCATTTTGGAAACCCGACAAAATATTTTACTTTTAGTTAGAAACTCAATAAACAAATATTTTGATTTATGATCTATAGAGTGATTATTTTTATACGTTTAAAACCTGATTAATTTAATTAAATAGACATATACACAATAATATGTGATATATAAATATCTAAATTTATGGATTTTAGTGTTCTAATATTTATCTTTTAGTTAAACTATTTAGTTTATATATTTAAGATTAAAGTGTTATTTCAAAAAAAAATTCTTAATATACTTTGGATGTTTAATGTTAATATTATATTTATATATATTAGCGTTTTCAAAACCTTTCCATATCTTAATTTCATAAAAACACGTTTCTCGTTTCCAAAACGTTTTGTTTCCGAGTATCCGTTTCCATGCAACATAGGTAGTGAATCAAATAGTCTAAGGTGTTTTGGTTTTATTCGATTTGGTTCGGTTTTTTGGTTAATTCGGGTAACAAATTTGATCCTCATTCCGGTATTTTTGTTGGGTTTAGTTCGATTCGGTTTTGAATATTTTTGGTTTGGTTATGTGTACTCAAAATATTAAGGGTAAAATCTAATACTTTATACTTTGTTCTACAATAGATGATTTTTTGAACAAATGCACACAAATTAAGAAATTTTTAATTTTTAATAATTTAAAGATAAAAACATCATTTAATATGAACCTAAACACAATTTAACCAATAAAAAAATAATCTGCAGAATATAAATTGTTAAAACCAATAAATTTATAATCAATTTTGCATACATTTGAAAGAAAATTATCTATTATAGATAAAAAAAATCTGAAAGATCATCTTTATAGGAATGGAGGGAATATTGAATTTTTTAAAAAATGTATTTTGTTAACAAATTTAACTTTAAAAGCTCAGATGTTTTAGGTATTTTTAAATATTTTGTTTAATTCGGTCTAAAAATATCTTCTATTTTTGAGTTTATATTTGTTAGTTGGGTTATATTAAATCTAAATATAATTAAAATTTTGGTATACAAATTCTATTTTGGTTACTCATCCGATTGTCGATTCGGTTCGTTTTGGTTTTAATTTTTCAATATTATAAATTTAGTATCCATTTTTTTTTCGATTTCAATTTTCTTTTTTTTGGTTTGGCTCGGTTTTTTGGTTCCGATTATTTTGCCCAAGCCTAGAAATCTAGAATCAAAGGTTGAATATATGGGTATATTAGGCAATCCAATAGCTTCCTTGTCTTTTCTGTACGTGGACAAGTTTGTTTCTCTTAATTCAAAACAAATGTACTTTGAGTTTGTTTAGTTCCGGTAAATTAATGTACTTTGGTCTCTTTTACTTTTGTAACTTCTTAAAACTAGTTTTTCGATTTTGGAATTGGACTTTCATAGTTAATTAGGTAGATAGTAGTTGTTAGAGACGTTAAACAAATTGCAAAATCGGTGTTTAGGTTACTGATTAAAACCAGAACCGTCTCATGGTTGGAGAGCTACTTCATTCATCGAATTAAAAAAACATAAATAAAGATCTTTGATGTATTCCAATTTTTGAATTTGTAGTACAATAATTCAATTTTGAGTTTTTAAAATGTTTTCAATTCAAAAGTGTTTTTGATGACCTAACACATTAATGGCCGTAACAGAGATATTGGTCCACAACACTTTTTATATTTGTTATTGTCTCCATAATGATAAATGTGATGTAAGAGAAAGAAACTTTCAAGTTTTGTTTTATGAGTTTTTGTTTTCTCATCTTCGTTGCTTTCCCAAACAGCTTTGGTTCCTATAGTAGTAGTAGAATAGAATACAAGAAACTGGAACAACCAACACATCTAGGCCTGCGACTTCGAGTTAGGTCGGATAATACGGGTTGGGTAATTCAGGTACTCCGGTAGTTCGGAATCTGATAAACGTTTCAGAAAATAACCGAATTACATAACGAGTCGGGTCAGTTTAGGTATCGGGTTTTTCAGTTATTGTTTTTTCCTTACCGAAATGAACCGAATGTTTAAGATTTTTGGTTAGATTAGTAAAATCGGATCGAAAATCTTAGTTAAGTGGGGTAATTTCGGACAAATTTGGGTAATTCGGTTATACCGGTCAGTTATTTTGGTTAATTTTGGGTAATACGGGTAATTCGGGTAACCGATCGGTTCGGTCGAACCAAACCAACCCAAACCGGTAACCGACTGGAATTTATTAATCCTTCTGATCGGTTATCTCTGGTTAACCGAAACCGAACCGAAAACCGAAAATCACGGTTTGGTATTTTCTGGTCGGTTACTATTCCCAGGGCTAAACACATCATTGTACAAGGATATGCACAACCATGACCATATGAAATTGAAATCAAGAATTGAGGATACTCCAAAGCATTTTGATACCGAAAACTCGAAAACAAAAGATCAACACATTCCATTGGATATATTTGATGTGTAGGAAAAAGTTCATAAAGCCAACATCATATGGCCAAAGATAAGAATCACACTTGAAGACTGAACACAACTCTTGAAAACCTTCCCACCCACACTATAGAAGTGACTCGAATGGTCAACCAATTATAACATATACTTGCAATATCCAAAAAAGCTCCTATCACTGCAAACATATAAAAAGTTCACAGTTTCTTGATTTTACCTGGTCATGGTTCCTTTCTAAGCCGCCTTCTCCAACCTATCTATTAACATTACTAGTTTTCACATCCCAAATTGACAATATGAAACAAAATCTAATTGGCTCAACACAAACTTCTAGAGAGAAATAAACCTAAGTTATCAACAACTTTAATATGAACCTCAAAAATGAATGAACTCACATCAACCTTATTTGATACTCACACAATCACGAATCAAATTGAAACTAAACGTCCTGCTCAAGTGATGCTAGCAAATCCACTAGAACTCAAAAGTAAAAATTACGATCCTTAAGAGCTAGATCGAGACTTGCACTCACGCATCTCCATTTTAACAACTGTAATAAGCTCTAACACTCAACCTTCTCTTTGAGATCAAGAAACTTAACATTAAACCAACTGTAAAAAGAGACAAACGTATCTCATGATCATAAGAATCAGCCTACACACCAAGTGCTAATAGCTCAATCGGTAAAGATCTCTGGCAAATGCTTAGAGGTCGCTGGTTCGAGTAGCGCTTGGGACGAGACCATATAACATGTTTTGGTCTCGGGCCTGAGGAGATGTATGGGTTTTGGCCCAGAACCTCTTTGATTATTCAAAAAAAAAGGAATCAACCTACACTAGTCCTGGTTGTCCTGGTTTAGCTAAAGATCATAAGAAACAACTATCCTCCAATCTAGCTAATATATCAACGTTACCAAATTCACATCCCAAAAAATTTACAAAAAATATTAAATTTGAAATAATTTACAAAAAATTCAACGTTACCAGATAGAGAAGAGACGCAGATAGAGTTTACAAAAAAAAATGAAAATTGAAATAATGGGCCTAATGGGCCTAACATTAACTGCCTACAGCAGAAAATGCAAAATTGTCCGATTAGAGGATCTAACAGATCAACGGTCAACCTTGTATTATAAACGCGTTTCGCTTCAAGACGCAACGGAAAAAAAGTTTATAAAAAAATTAGAATTAATGGGCTGTATTGGGCCTAACTTTAGTTTTATTAGGCCTAATATTAACCGCCTATAGTGAAAGATGCAGGACCGTTCGATTATAACATATTACCAAATCAACGGTCAAATCTTGGTTTTAATCCTTTATAAACGCGTTTCAAGACGCAACGATAAAAAAAAACTCTCTTCTTTTATTTATTTTTCTTAAGAATTCTCTTTGATCAATCTGAGATTTGTTTCAAATAATTCTTAGATTAGTAAGCTTCTTTCGATTTCTATATATCGTGAATTGAGTTTTAGGGTTTAGGGTTTTGATTTGGTAACATCGTTATGGAGATTTTGGTTAGAACCCGTCCTAAGCAACAAAAAAAGTTCCCTTTTTTTAATAAGGTTTCAAAGCTGTTCTTGATTGGAACTTTTTTTTAGTTTTTGATTGTCTTTTTTTTTCTTTTCAATAACCCAAAAAAGATTCAGGGGCAGACACTAACTAATGTATCGTGTTCTGTCAGATTCTATTAGGGGACAAAACTGTGAAAGATGGGCATGTTTGGAGATCTGTTGATCAGTTTCGATTTTTTGGATGGGAATAAGTCTGAAGACAAAGACTGGCTAAAATAAAAGTTCACACTTTCAGAGAAATCTTAAGACAAAGAAACCTTAATAGAGCTACAGCTTAAAGAAGCCTTAAAATACAACCAATAGCTTCAAAGAACATTTACATGAAATGAATACTAATCAATTTTTATTTTCCTCAGGTTTTGTGCTTCTAAAGGCGTTCAAGTTGATTGATTTCGAGGAGATTTCAAGTGTAGCAGACTTCTGGAATAGGTATGTATTATCTCTGTCTTGGTGCTTCTATGTATTATCTCTGTCATGGTGCTTCTCTGTATTATCACTGTCTTGGTGCTTCTATGTATCATAGGGTCTCTCATTTTAGTCGCTTATAGAAACTTATTTTGACGTAGTTGGGACTTATGCATATTATGATTATATTGTAGTTTTCTTGGAACCTCGACAGTATATTTTGTGTTATGCTCAAAACTTAGTGATTCTTCTACTCATGTGAATGACATTTTAGAATTCTACACCATACACGATAGAAAGGTAGATTTTACTTATGGTTATGGGAACATACCATTGTGTATAAAATACTTAGTATCTCTCTGTTTTGGTGCTTCTGTGTAACATATAGCTTCTCATGTTTATGAAATGGATTCATCTTGTAGTCTCTTTTATATATTTACTAGTTTAGTACCCGTCCGATGGACGGGTTATCTTTATTTAAAATTAAATTAAAATTAAAATTTATTATAACATATAGAAAATAAATTTCCAAATTGCTTTTAAAAAAAATAAGAGAAATTAATTTCATTTGGAAAGAGATTTTATTTGATTTGAAGTATCAATAAAACGTATATATATATCTCTTAAAATTCGTTATTAAATGTTAATTATAAAAATCTAGTAATGTCAAATTGACAATCACCAAAACATTTAGTAGCTATTTGGGAGGTATTCACCATTACTCATAATATTGCTAAAATATTTTTAAAAATCTTAATTTAGCAATTATCCTCTAAAACATGATTATATCATTTTGTAAAAAAAATTATTTCTTAACTTTCCATTTTTCAAAAAATCATTCTCAGACTATGAAAGTTAATTAATTATTATTTAATATGATGGTAAAGTTTTTTCAAATTAACATCAATCTAAAATATGATGTTAAATACAAATATAGTCATTTGTAAATAAATTCATATAAACAACGCAAATAAACATAAAGATTCTAAAATAAATTATAGCATCGTTGAGGAAAACATTAAAAATCTTTCAAATACGAATTATAAAAACTACATATTTTCTTTAAAAATATTTTAAAATTACTATATTTCGATTTATATTGAACTTTGTTATCTTTAATTTAAGCTAAAAATATTCATTTCGATAATATTTTATTCTCCCTTATGTTTTAGACAATGAAATTGCTCAATGGCATAATACATTCATACATAAATTAAAAATTAAACAAATATAACATATTATAAAATAAAATCATGAATAAAATTATGTATTTAGTTAAACTCAAAATCTAATTTATTTGTAAACTGTAAATCCTAATTCTCGTTTATGAACCCAAACTGATAAATAACCTTGTTTAATTGTAAAACCTAAATCTCACTTTTCTTTAATAAACCCAACCGATAAATAATCTTGTTTAATTATAAAATTTAAACTATAATGCTGATTTATAAACTCAACATATAACCCTTATAATTGTAAAACCTACAACTGGCAAAACCAAAAATTAGGTTAATAGTTGAAAGAGAATTTTTGAGAAATACTCCTTTTGGTGTACCCCATTTTAAAAATACCCCTTTTCCAATACCACTTTTTAAAAATACCTCTCTTTCTAATTTTATCAAAATGTCACTATAAAATTTGAAATTTCTCAAAAACATATGTGTAAACTTATATTTTTAGACACAAATTATCTTCTTTTTTTTTGTCAACAAATTATCTTTATATGTGTGTAAATTTAGATATATATATATGTTTCATAAATACTGTATAAATACCTTTTAAAAAGCTTTTATAAACCATTTAAAGACCTTATAAAAACCTTTTAAAAACCCTATAAAAACCTTATGAATGCCGTTTAAAACCTTTTAAAACCTTATAAATATTTGGATTTAGTCTTCCTATAGTAATGATGATCTTAATGTACCTTATCAACCATATAAAGGTTTATAATATTTCATATTTGAAAAAGGGTATTTTTGAAAATGGATAGAAAAGAAGGGTATTTTTAAAAAGGGATACACCAAAAGGGGTATTTCTCAAAAATTCCATTTTAAAAATATCCTTTTTCAAATATAAAAAATTGTAAACTTTTATATAGTTTATAAGTTACATCCAGATCATTACTACTATTGGGAGACTTAGTACAAATATTTATAAAGTTTAAAAAAGGTTCTAAATGGCATTTATAAGACTTTTATAAGGTTTAAAAAGTTTTTATATGTTTTTTAAATAATTTTTAAAAAACTTTTAAAAGGTATTTATATAGTATTTAAATTTACACGCATAGAAAGATAATTTTTGTCTAAATATATAAGCTTACACATTTTTTATATATAAATATCAAATTTTTTACTTTTTAATTATCAAAAATACCCTTTTTCCATACCACTTTTTAAAAATACCCCTATTTCAAACTTTATAAAAAAACCACTTTAAATGTTTAAATTTATACAAATATGTGTGAAAACTTATAAATATACACACAAATTACCTTTATATATGTTTAAATTAATATATATCTTTCATAAAGAGCGTAAAATAACTTATAAATACCTTTTAAAAACCTTATAAACCCTTTTAAAAACTACTTAAAAACCTTATAAAAACAATTTAAAACCTTTTAAAACATTATAAAATATTTGTATCAAATTTCCAAATAGTAGTTATTATATAGAAGTACCTTATAAACCATATAAAATTTTATAATTTTTCATATTTAAACATGGATATTTTTGAAAATGGATAGATTAAGGAGGTATTTTTGAAAAGGGGTACAGCAAAAGGGTTATTTCTCAAAAATTCTCTTTAATTTTTTATAATTATTTTTAATGTTGTTTAAAAATTCTATTTGTATCTTAATATTAACAAAATTAGATATAATATGTTGCGACATCTTATGTTTATACTTGACACTTATCATGATCACGTGAGTTAGTAAATTTAAAAACCCAGCTTCGACATATAATCTCGTTTAATTGTTAAACTTTTTTTTCATTAAAATAAAATTATATTAGATAATTATGAAAATCGTAATTTAATTGATCAGTTAGCCATGTAGGCGGATTCAAAAAATCAGAATAAAAAGAGACCAAATCGTTAAACTTAAACCATAATTTTAATTTATAAAGATAAACCATAATTCTTATTTATCATTTATATACCCAAACCAAAAAATAACCTTAATTGTAAAATTAAAGTTTAAACCTTAATCCTCTTCTGTAAACAAAAACCGCCATATATTCTTGTTAATTATAAATTTTAAATCTCTATCTTATTAATAAACCAAATTGACATAACTGAAATTAGGTTATTTTTTAATTTTATTAATAATTTTTAATATATAATTCTTTATAATATTTATTTTATATATTTCCTTTTTCGATAGGGTTAATAATATTTATATTTTATCCGAATATTAACAAAATTAGTTATGACACGTGTCAAAATCTTATCGTTTATAATTGACACGTGTCACGATCTTGTTAATGGCTGATTTTGAAAACCAAGGTTTATATAATAAGATTTTGGATATTAATGAGACTCCTGCAGATGATGGTAGTAAATTTCTTGAATCTCGAATGTATATATGTTTTGCACTATGAGACACATCAATATACGACGACATGCACAACCAGCACCATAGGAAATTGAAATCAAGACTTGAGGACAATCCAAAGCATTTTATTACCGAGAACTCGAAAAGCAAAAGAACGAAGCATCAACACATTTCACTGAATATAAGACGTATAACAAAAAGTTCATATGCCAAGATTAGAATCACACTCGAAGACTTTAACACAACTCTTGAAAACCTCCCCCACCCACGATATCGAATCAACTCGGATGATCAACCAATAAATAACATATAATTACAAATATCAGAGAAACCCCTACTGCATGATCAGTCTTATTTCTTGATTTTTCCACCAACGCGAAGGGCGTGGTCATGGTTCCCTCCTCCCATTGATTGTCCTGCCTTTCTAGCCGCCTTCTCCTGCAATGCTCTCGCGTCTCTACACACACGAAAAGGTAAAAAAACAATAGAAACCCAACAATCATCCAATCTATCAAAATTACCAGTTTCACTTTCTATATCGAGAATATAAGCTATGTGATAAGGCATAGGTTGTGGTTTATGCATATAATTCATAAATGAATCTACGAAACTCACATATGTCTACTCTGACACTCACAATCACAAATCAAATTGAAACTAAACAGTCCAATCAAGTGATGCTAGCCATCCACTAGATCTCATAACTACAGATTACAATCCTCAAGGAACTAGATCGAGACTCGGGTTGATCCATCTCTGTTAACGATCCTACCAAGCTCTAACACTCAAACTCCTCATAGAGATCAAGACACTCTATAAGACACTTCATTCAACTTCTCAAATCAGCTTAAACCAGTCCTAGTTTAGCTCAAGATCATAAAAAAACAACACTCATCCAATCAATCTATCAACATATCAACAATACATCTAATTAGTTTCAGCTCAACATACTTAGACAATACAAACCTAAATCATATCAACAAAACTTTACCTTCAAGACCTCACTAACTTTAAAGAGCTCCCTTAAATTTCATGTCACGATATTAACTATATTGTGATTTATGTATTCAATTCACCAACACAGAACATCGAAAACGAATCTAAACTAACATCAATCTCTTCCAACACTCACACTGAAAAACACTAGCAGTACTCAAGAACTTGTCTTATATTCCAAGAAACTCAAACCGTTAAAACCAATTGCACTAATCTCAAACATAGGATTAAACTTCTCAAACAAGTTCTTGTTTACCTCAAGATTCCAAAAACCAGAGATTATATAATTAGTTACCTTTCACGACGTTGTTCAGGAGTTAATCCATCGTTCTTAGGTTGCTTAGGTTTATGATTACCTCTAGCTTGAGCTCTTTCACGATCACGTTCTCTTTGGTTACCACGTTTGCTTCAATTAAAGCCAAACAAAAAAATAATATCACAGAACATTAAAAAATAAAAACCTAAACTTTTATCTCCCTATGTAATAAAAATGAACAGATCAAAGAAAAGGATATGTGCCATTGTTGATGAACAGACACAGAGACAAGATCAGACAAGAACAAGTTAAGGGTTCCCTGGAAACATAATCCCACCGAAGAAGGAAACGATTAATTGAACAATTCTGAAATTGAAAAGAAAAGATTAAAGAAGATTTGTGTTTTTTTTACCTGCAGAGAAGAAGAGAGTAGGGTTTGGTAATGGTGAGATCGTGAGGAGATGATGATGATGATGATGATGATACGAAGAAGATGTGATCATCATTTTTATAGATAGAGAGAGAGCAGAGAGGACAGAGAGGACAGGGGAGTGGAATAAATTTTGGAAGAGTCGAGAAGCTCTGCAGAGAGATTCTCATTTTGTTTTTTTTTTTGTCCAAAATGTTTTTTTTTTTCTTAATTCTAATTTGGTAAACGATTTCTTTTTATTAATGCCTTCCTAAAAACTATGTAAAAACAGATTAAAGTGGAGTGAGAAAAAGTCATTTCATTTCTTAATTTACAAGTTAGTTTGCAAACTTGAAAATTGAGAGATAATGGTTTACAAAAAAAAAAAAAAAAAAAAAAAAAAAAATTGAGAGATAATCTTGAAGATTGAAAAATTTGAGGAATTTAATGTTCATTTTAATATTTATAGAATTAAACAATTATTTTTTTATATCATAAAAGTGGCCATTTGTGAATACTGTTAATTGCAAACTATTGGGCCTGGGCCTGAATATTGTCCTCTTGCGGCCCTTTTGCAGTTTGCAAACAATATTCAGTTTGCAATTTGCTATCACTATAAACCAAAATCTGGCCGGTTTATAGAGTCACGGGTTAATGGCAATTTTTTTGGTTTTTAAGATTACCAGTTATCAGCATTAAACTCAAATCGAGAAAGTATCTAATGTTCGGGGTAAATTAATCAGTCGAACCAACCAGACATGTTTAAAACTAAAAACATCTTATTTGCTAAACATTTACGATATGAAAAAATAAACACTATCTTAAATAAATACAATTTTATTAACGTCTCGAAAAAATATCATCCGAGAGGTAAGCACGAGCTATCCTTTAGTTAGATATTAAAATCGTTACAAATCAGTTGATGCAAGTCTGCAACCACATATGTTGATGTACAAAATCTATGCCCGAAATAAACTCTCAAACATCAACCCTATTGGCTAAATAATGAGCTACACAATTATAATCACGGTTAACAAAATTCTTATTTTATTAAGGAGCTACACAATTATAATCACGGTTAACAAAATTCTTATTTTATTTTGGTTCCTGTACATGAACCTCAAATAAATCTAAAATTTTAAAAAATTGTAAAAGCTTGAAAATTTTCACAATTCCATAAATATATAACTATTTTAGTTATTTTGATAATAAAAAAACAACTGATATATTCGAATTATAATCTTGAGTACTTAGTTTATATGAACTTTAAATTTGCATTATCAATCGTAATTTTATATTAAAAGAAAAAAATAGATTATTCTTCAAATCCCGTATTAAACGTCATTTTAGTTAAAATAAACAAATAAAATAAAAATATATTGATTCATACAAAACACATGCCACCGACATCGGTTCCTATATCTTCAAAATCAGAACAGTAACAACGAAACATTGATTCATTAATTAAATTTATTACAAATTTTTCAAAAATCAAAACCCTTCATGGATCTCTTCAAATCAGATTCACCCACCACAGCTTCGTCTTCTTCTCCATGGAGCTTCGGTACTCTAATCAAAACCCTAACGACAAGATCCGAATCCGTAATCGGATCCTACCGCCGCGATTTCGAGGAATTCGGATCCGAATTGAAGAAAGAAACTTCAATAATCCGCCACGTGGCTTCGAAATTACCCGATTCACTCGAGATCGGCGCCTCCGTCGCGTCAGAGTCGTTAGAATCCGTCGGTCAAGTCATCGACGATATCGGAGCCTCCGTGTGGAAATCAACGGCTAGGATGATTTCTCAAGGTAAGTTGTCTCTGAAACCACTGGATCGTAGCCGTACACGTGGCGTATCTGTGAAACCTTACAGTCGTTTTGAGATGATGTTACTTGCGATACAATCTGATAAAGGCACGTTTGTTAAAGAGCCTGATGATTTAGTTGATTTTGAGAATTGGGGTTTAGGGTTTAAGTTAGATGAGAAGAGGGATGAGATTTTTGGTTTGTTTGATGAGAAGAAAGGTTTTAAAGAGATGTATGATGAGATTGTTCCTGTTGAAGTTGATGATGAGAGTTTTTGGAAGAGGTATTTTTATAGAGTGTATAAGCTTGAGCTTGTGGAAGAAGCTAGGGTTAAGCTTGTGAACAGAGCTATTTCTGGTGACGAAGATGAGGATTTGAGCTGGGATCTTGATGATGATGAGGGTGATGGTGAGAGTTCGTTGAATCGTGAGATGGGTTCAGAGAATGTGGTAGAGAGCAGAGAGGTTTCGTCTAAGGATAGTGATATCTCGGTGATTTCGACTCAGCCATCGTTACCTGAGGTTGAAGATCTTGGGTGGGATAAGATGGAAGAAGATATCAAGAGCAATGAGGATAAGAGTTTGGATGAGAAATCTGATTGGCGAAGACGGGTTAGTGTAGCAGCAGCGGGTGAAGAAGAGGATTTAACTTGGGATATTGAAGATGAAGATGAAGATGACTCTGTTAAACAATAAACAAGCATTGCACAAAAGCCATGTTTTATAGAAAAGGTAAGATTTAGTTTGAGGCTACTGAAACAAGCATTGCGCAAAAGCCTTTTATACATGTTTTTATTTGCACATAAAACGCATATGAAACGATAAAATGATTTGTATAGTAATTTTTTACCAGTGAATTAGATCGAATTTGTGATTTAAGTTTTAACTTTCAAACTTGAAAAGGAGATTTCAAAGTTAAGGAGAAGTGACTACTTCATAATTTCAGATTTCAGAAAAGTTTCAAAAAACAAATAGAGCTAATTAGACAACTAGCAGCAGTAAGAGAGTCTTGAGTCTTATACTACTAACTACTAGTCTTCTCTTATCCATTGCTGAGACCGAGTGAGTTCCTGCAAAATCACCAAAAAGACATTTTCGAACTTATCAGGTTCACTTGGTTTGATTTATATCAGTCCTGTCCTCAAAAGACATCAAATCACCAACGTCTAGCAACTCTATGTTGTGACCATTGTGAGATATCACCCGATACTTAAGTAACTTAGCAATGAAGACATTTGTCCAAAAAAAAGCAATGAACACATGAAGAGAGACTAAAGAGCTAGCAATGCATTAAGATGGCATGACGAATAGATACTGATCTGATCCGGGTGCAGGAAAACAAAACAAAGGCTGCAGAGACTAAAGCCTAAAAAAGAGATAGAAAGAGGACTAAAAAGGCGAATCGAAGAAAATAACAATCAAAATGTAGAGTTGAAGACAGAAAAGACGAGACTTTTAGAATTATATAAAGACTGCAGAGACTAGAAGCAATGATGCAAAGGTTGAGTATAGTGAAATGAGTGCAGAAACTGTCAAAGAAGAAAAATGCGGAAATTAAAGACAGAGACTTAGAAATACCACAATACAAACAAGTTTTGTACCTCTAGTTGCAGCTAGACCTCAGTGACCAGTTTCCGAGAATCTACATGGAAACAAATAAAGTTAGTTAGATAACCAATATTCACCATTCAACAAATATGAAAACGTTATAAGAACCAGATTACCAAGTGACTCAAGAAAGTCGAGTTCTTCAAACATCTCCTTTAAGGTAGGAAGTGGTGCTTCAGACTGGAAGGAAGTCTGCAACCACTGTTGCGAGCATATCACAGCTTCGGTAATGTAAGGAGTCAAAGAACTTCTATAAGGGTCCAAGATTCGACCACTAGTACAAAAAGCGGACTCAGGAGCAAAAGAAGACATTTGAATTGCAAGAACATCCCTAGCCAATTCTGACAAGACTGGGTAGTTCCAACTTTTACGCTTCCACCATGACAAAACATCGTAATCTGATCCTAAACTCTGTCGCTCAACTGGTTCTATCAGGTAGTTTTCCAGCTCCTTACCTGCTTGTTCTTCTCTCATTTTCTTAAGCATCATCTCGTACAAAGAATCAGTTCTTATAAACAATTCATTATCTGGTAAATCAGACACAACAATTGATTGCTTAGAATCGCCATGATCGCTTTGGTTTGCAGCAGCATCCTCTTGAGATTGTTTATCCAGCATTGTAATATACTCTTCATATAGATGACGCATCACAGTATTAATTGATGATGTAAGATGATTAGCTTCCAAGCTATCTTTACCATGGAGCATTTCAAAGCAAAGTGAAGAAAACTTCATTTTCTTTCTTGGATCAAACACACTAGCAACAATCACAAGTGGATTTATATTGATCAATCCATCCCAGTACTTCTCAAACTTGTCCCTCATACTTTTTGCTTGTTTCTGTACTTCTTCATCGTCGTTGTTACTTAATTCAATTAGATTCCAGTCAATATTGGCAATGTCATTGTGACCATTTGAAGAAGCTTCTGATTTATGTTTTGAATATCCCACGGTACAATGGAAAAAGATTCTGAGAAATCCTACCAACCTTTCCAATTCATCCCAAGTAGCTGAAATTGGCGGTCCAACCCGTTTTTTTCCAGTCTCCTTCTCTGTTTCAAGAAAATACTCACCATAGAGCTTGTCCTCATCTAACATCTTCTCAAAAGCTACCCTTAACTTAAGTGCAGCCTTCAACATAAGATACGTTGAATCCCACCGAGTAATGCTGTCTAATGACAAGCTACTTTTAGTAACATTTCCTGTCTCTGCACACAACTCGAATGACTTCAACCTTGTAAAGGATGACTGCACATACTTCACCGCATTCCGAACAGCAGCAATACTATCACTTGCACGCTCGATACTTTCTTTTACAATCAGATTCACAATGTGCGCACAACAACGCATATGCAGAAACTCACCATCTTTAACTAATGCGTTAGCTCCCTTCAACCTCATAGCCTCCTTAAATAAGGTCAGAGCCTTATCATTACTCTCGGTATTATTAACTGTGACTGTGAAAACTTTCTCAATTCCCCATTCATCTAAACATTCAATAAGGTTCCTTGCAATTGTCTCTCCTTCCTTATCTGTAACAGGCTTAAAGCTAAGGATCCTCTTCTGCAATTCCCAATTCACATCAATCCAGAAAGCTGTTACAATCATGTAACTACATAAAGTAGTAGGAGCTTCCCATATATCAACAGTGAGAGAGACTCTCTTCTTACCATCACTAAACAACTTCTTCAAAGAAGCCTTCTCTTGCAAAAACATTGCAACAATATCACTAGTAGCTTTCCGTGTTGATACATCATCCTCGTACACAGGGATTACATTATGACAGAACCTCTTAAACCCCTCGGACTCAACAAAGGAAAATGGCAGCCCATTAAGAACAACCATCTCACTGACTGATCTTTTAAAACCATCTGGATCATACTTAATGGGTTTGAGATTATCATCACTACTATCATCATCACTATCACAACAACGACCATTTCTCTTTCTATCATGTTTGATTCGAGTAAAGTGTTGCCATATATCAGAACTGTGAGCAATCTTCTTCCTTGATTTTGGTGGGAAATCAGAACTTGATCTTTCTGTTTCTGTCCTTTTCTTCCCCACACTTGTCTCAACTTGAACTCCTTCTTCTCCTCCTCCTTGAACCTCTTCATTAAGCAAGTCATTGTTGCTTTCATGACGAGAAACCGAAGACATTATCTACAAAAGACACATTTTTTTTCCATCAATACGAATCTAACACCAAAACAGGAGACTCATACTCATCAATCACACAAAAGCGTGTACTTTACACAAGGATCAACACAAGGACTAAACAACTAAAAAGTTTCCTAATTTCAATTGTCAATAGCAAGAAGATTCACAATCACGTTTAAATCAAACATCAGAACTCCACAAAACTAAAAAGAATCAAAATGTTCAACTCGTAAGACTCATTCACAAACTCGTAGTTATAGTTGAATGAACTGAGAAAGAACAAAACTTTTTTTAAAGTAATAGTCTTTGAACCCATGACCAAGGGAACCCATGAGTCCATGACCAAATCGATTGTGAAGAAACGTAAAATCGAACAAACATCAACGGAAAAACCAAACCTTTACCACGGAGATGAGAATCGGACAACTGTCTCCGTCGGAGTGGAAATGAAACGCCGCAAGTTTTGATATTTAGAGAAACCCAAAAAATCTTAAAATCAGGTTTAAATATTTCAGCTGTTAGGTTAAAACCGAAAAAACCGAACCGAACCGAACCGAAATAGACTGAAACTGAACTAAAAGTTAACAGTTGCCGATCGGTTCGCATCCATAACCCGAAGTCAAATCGAATTTAACGAACTTCGGTTCGGTTCGGTTCGGTTCGGGTCGGTTAGGTTCTTCGATTAAGGACATCAAATAATTTTGAATTGCATGCATGTTGAGATTGGTCGTAACAATTTTCATTGGTGTTACAATTTATAGTTTTGTAAAGTTAATACGATTTACCAATATTAACAAAAGCTCATTTTTTCTACAACAATTATTAGTCATTAGAATTTGATATATGTGAACCCGAAAGGCATAGAGTCGGATGCATATATTTATTATGTCTGGGCACAAAATCAAGTATGACTATAAAATATTAAACAAGTATATAACTATATATATTATATATATATATGTATATATATTTTGGGTGAAACATAACTATATATATTTTAGATAACGTTAAATTATGTTTTGCATCTTTAATATATGTTAAGATTTGAAATCGAAAATATGAACCATATTTTTTTGAAAGTATTGTTTCCTTTGGTTTATAATTAGTTATATTAGCTATATACTGATTTTTTTAACCAAAAAAAAAGCTATATACAGATTTATTAATTAGAAACTTACAGAGTCGTAAATTTAAAATTCACTATAAAATGAAAACATTTTTTTCAAACATAATTAAATTTACTTATCTGATCGAGTCGCACAAATATAATCTATAAATCTAATAAATTTATACTATATTAAAAAGCGATAGCCTTGTATATCAATATTTAACCGTTCAATCCTAATTAGCCGTATCATTAGTTAAAAATAACATTATTGAAATCATAAAGTTTTACTATATTAAAAGGAAAAAATGTATACATAAATAAGAGAAATGTAAACTTTTGGAAAATTATGAAAACAAGAAAATGTCAAAAAAATTCCTATAATATATATAAAAAATATAAATTATTTAAAATGAGAAAATAACATTAAACTGAGGCAAGTAAATATAAAGTTTTGTTGTTCAATACAACATTTACAAAAGTCAAAGTCGTAAGCTTGTAAGACCGTCTACATATAATACAAATTAAGTTCAATAACTTAGAAAAAGTAAGGAAATGCGTAGCTAGAATCATTAATTTTGAGAGAGGATATATAAGTGACCTTAGACCACTTTCAACAAAAGGGTGTAAGAAACGATTTTAAAATAAGAGACTTAAGAACCCCATTTTGTACCACAAAAACATGACATATGTTTTTAAATTTTAATGATCAATTTAGTTTTATAAAATAAAATTTAAAAGCATAATTAAATAATATTAGAAATATCAGTATTTTATTCATTAAAGACCCAAAACAATTTTTCACCATTGGTGATGCTCTTACTAGTTTTGGCAACAACATTTAAAGGGACATGGAATACAAAGAGAACCACACTCTCCACCTTTAAACCCAGCTTTAATACAGTAGTTCTTACATTCATCCCCTCCATAACACCGAGTATCGCAGTGATCAATTGAGAATTTTTTGGTCCCTATCGCTATACAAGTCCACATAATGTATATGTTAAATATAATCAATATAAACATGTGTAAATTTTAAAAATTTAATAATAAGATAGTTATATAAATCTAGATAATAGAATTTTAATAAAACTTTTGTATGCAGGTCTACACATATGCATAGAAACAAAAACATGGTCATTACCAAATTTACACACACACATATACTCCATCCCTTCATTTTTCTATGTAAATTTTAAATGTATTTAATGATTTTTTGACCAATCATATTATACATCATATTTTCCTATTGGTTGAATTCATTGTATTTAATGATGTTTTACTGGAAACAAAAATTATATGTTTTCTTAATATATGTATAACAACCTTAAACATCACTTAAAAATAATTGGAGGGAGTACTAACTTTCAGAATAACTAAAAAAAACTTAAATCATACCTGAAGCCCAAACAGTGTGCTTAGACAACGAAATTGCGAGTATTATTACAAGGAAACAAGTCACCAAAGTTTTCGTACTACCCATAGTTTTAATATTTTTTTATGAACTCTATTAAGCAATTCAAATGTTTTTATTTGTTTGTATATATGTTAGAGATTGGCTCTATTTATATAGATTTTGGTCTTTAATTTTTTTATTAATTGATTTCCCCTTTTTTCAAAGTTTTATTGTTTGGCAAAAAATTCATTGACATTTATATTTATGATCATAATGGGAACTTAAATTTCAAAAAACTTTGACACTTATGTGTTTGTATATAGTCAAAGACAATTTCTTGGATATATTATCATTATGATCAATAAATATCTTAAGTTAAATGCAAGATTTAATTTCCTAATTTAATATTATTAAAATTTGTTATATTTAGGTATATGCTATAAATTTGATCTGATTTCAAAATTGATATTAAAAAAAATTGGAAATTGAAAATTAGATATTAGCCATAAAATTGTTAATTTATTCTCTCTTTTTTTCTGGAAAAATGTCAAAAGCATTAATTTACCAAAATTGATAGAAAAAATATTAAATTTACTTGTGATGGATTAAATTTCTAAATTTAATTACTTTTCAAATTAATCATGAATGTTCATTGATGTTCTAAAACTAGTTACAAACATTCATTGGTTTTTTCAAATACCACGACTTGAATTACAGGCGCATTGAGAAGGAGCAAGTGGGCTAGTGGTTCTCATCTATTTTGCTTTCTCACCAGATCCGGGTTCAAGCTCCGTCCGTCTCAAGAGAAACTTATAATTTGTAATGATGTCAAAAGAAAAAAAAAATACAAGCGCACCAATTTAATGGTTTTATTATTTATTACTCCCTCTGTTTCATTATAAGTGATGTTTTAGCCTTAAAAAGTTGTTTCATTTTAAGTGATGTTTTCAATTTTCTATGCAAGTATTTAATCTATTTAATAAATTTTGATCAATCATATTATACATCATATTTTCTCATTGGTTGAATTAATTTTATTTAACGGAATTTTTATAGAAAAGAGAAAAATAATATGTTTTCTTAATATGTGTGTAACAACCTTAAACATCACTTAAAATGAAACAGAGAGAATACATATTTTCTTATAATATAAATAGTAAAATAAAAACTAGTTGACTTAGTTGGAAAGTCATTTAACGGCTTAATTTTAGTTAATTCTATCAAGTATTAACATTGTTGTGCTTGTGCCTTACTTGGTAAAGTCAACGGAAGTTATTAATTTATTTGGAAAATCAATAAAAATTAGATATTTAATTTACCATAAGTAAAAATTTTGTTCTTTGCAATTTAATTTTTGAATTCATACTTTTCTTTACATTCTCCCATATTTTGTTTGTTAAAGGTAAAATCATTATTTTGTATACATATTATTAATAATAAATTTTATGATATAAAATTCAAGAACATAGTTACTTGTTGCAATAAATATTTTTCTTATTTAAAGGCATTTGTTTATTTAAAAGTTACAATTGAGTCCAAAAATAAAACATTATAGTATTTCTTCATATTATATGATAATATAAAGAGAATTATTGAGAAACGCCCCTTTTACTGTACCCCTTTTTAGAATACCCCTCTTTTCTATCTATTATAAAAAACACCCCTTTTTAGAATACCCCTCTTTTCTATCTATTATAAAAAATACCCCTTTTCAAATATGAAAAATTATAAACTTGTATATGGTTGATAAGGTACATCAAGATCATCATTACTAATAGGAGACTAAATCCAAATATATATAAAGTTCTAAAAAACTCTAAATGGCATTTATAAGGTTTTTATAAGGTTTTTAACACACATATAAAGATAATTTGTGTCTATAAATATAAACTTACACATAATTTAGGATGGTCATCACAAAACATCTGAACTTGACAATCATTCTGCATATACACTGGTAAAGAACCTCATGCCATCCTTTTCATCCTTAAAGAAATCTACAACTAAGTTTGATAGCATTGACTAAACAATCCAGTTAAAAAACTTCGGTCACCATCTTTGCTGAAACCTTATACATGACATTATCATCAACTTCACAAAGAGATCGTCCATTGTTCCAATCGATTGAAAAATCTCAGGATCCATTACCATTTTATTTTCACTCCCCACAAGCTGAATAATTCAATTCTACTGACGAGTTTCAAACAACCAAAGCTTGAGATACACAAATGCAACCATACTATATCTCTAAGTTTGTTACACACTAAATCAAATGTGAAATCACCTTACAAAATTAGATCCTAGGGTATTTCTTATAAACCTTTGGGTAAGACTAATTTCCTTTTATATTTAATTCAATCCATGTAACTAATGATATATTAAGTAAGGATATATTTTTATAATTTAAAATTTTTGATTTAAAAAAATAGCCAAATATGATTTCAGAATAACAAAGATAAAAGATTTAAGAAGTTGACAACTGTTAAAATTGACAAAAACAAAATAGAAAAACAAATTTTAAAATAAAAGGCATAGCAAACCTAGAACATAGTACCAACTCTTAGTCTAGAAATGATAATTATTCAGTTTCAACCAATCTTTATCTATACCAAGCAACGACAGATCAACATGATCTTCTCTAGCAAATGTTTCATTAGGAGGTGGCTCTTGGCGAACATCATTGTTGGCCAACTCAATAAGAACTGTTGCTTCATCTCTCTTCTCAGCTAACTGTTCGACTTGCACCTCAAATGGAAGCACCGGTGGATCACGAAGAGGAGAAAACTGCATGGAACCTAGCATTTCCCTACCAAGTATGATTCTATCTCTTGAAAAAGATAGTAATTCATTTATCTCATTTAAGTTAAAATCATCAATTCTACAACCTTGTTGTAGTTGTATCATCAACTGATCAATGACATATTCCTTACACTTTTCTTGATTTTTCTTCAGTTTTTCTTGAACTTTGTTTATCTTCTCCTTCAAAAATGATTCGAGACATGCATCTCTCTTTTTTTGCTCAAACTTGGGTAAGCTGAAGAAATTGTCTAAGAGGCCACGAGCCGTCTCAACAGATGGCCACACCATTGGCTCAGCGTCATTAGGGCTGAAAATGATGAGACAAGCCAATATATCACACAATATGGTTAGCTCTTTTACTTTTTTTAGTACTCCTTCGCTTCTTCTCCTAAAAAATATGGCTCTTGCTTTGTTATTCTCTACCCATGCAAGTTTTACCTTTACCATGGTCACAAATTGATTTCAATCTCTCACTTTTTTGATATGATTGTTGCTGGATATGTGTTGAAAGACTCGCGAATTCACTTAAATAGAGTTGAGATAAAACCATAAGATTTTGGAAACTGAAACTAGTCAAAGGTGGATGATTTTTTATGTATATAAAATAAATTACTATTCAATGATTTTTAGATAGGGTATATGAAATAATTACTATTTTTTGAATTTAATGAAAAAATTGTTTCCAATTAGTAAATATAAATTTCTTAAAATTGAATTCAAATATTAATTAAATTTTTACCAAAATATATTAGATTTAATTTTGTTTGTATTAATTATTCTCTTAGACCAAATTAGTAGACCAATACTAAAATCCGAATTAAATCATCAACATGTTTGCATAATTATTTAGTATTATTTGATAATTATTTTAGAAACTAAATGTTGACTATATATTTCCTTCTATATAAGAATCTTAAGATTTTCATTATTAAAAAAAAAAGTAAAAATAATTATTTTACCATATTTGTATGAAATTGCTTATTAAATTAATTATATGTTTAAGAATTTTAAATTAGTTTATCACCAAAAGTGTTACTTAGATTGCAAAATGAAATTTGTTTTCTTATAAAGTCTAAAACAACACTAATTTAAATAAAGATAAGAATATATAATATGAAATATTTTCTCGTTTTATATGTTTATTGATTATTATTTTTAATTGTTGTTGAAACCAAAGACCATCAACCAGCTCTCTTATGTGCTATGCCACTCTTTGCAACATTCTCCTCGAACCCATGATTACTAAACTGTTTTGTAACATCATCTTCATTTTTTTCAAGTTTATAGCTACCAACAAGAACTTGTCACAAGCCTTTCGAAATCTTGTAATAGCCTCCACCAATAAGGGATTAGGCTGCACGCTGGTCTACACTGTCAAAAGTTTGGGATTCATATTTTCCATTTACATTCATATTTTCTCTGTTTTTAGAAATACTAGGCCACATGGGAAAGTGCAAATTTAAAATAACTAACATTGTTAGTGGAAAGTTGGTTATAATCCTCTAATTGCACTTTTTTTATTTAATTTATGAATTTATTTTCTTTGGTTTTTCTCTATTCTGCTATATAAGATTTGTAGAGTGCGAAAAAAAAATTCTTACAATTTCGTCTTTTTCATCTAAATATATTTTTCTATTGGTATCACTGCATTTCAATTAATATTGAGAGCCAAAAGAATTCAACATTTTATGCCCTTTTGTTTGCCTTATTTGAAAAACAAAGCTGTTATCGAAAGTTTGAAATGAACTTCTAGCTAATGTCCTTAAAAGAATAAAGGAGATTCATGTCTTTTCCTTTTACAAAATCTAAGAAACTTTATTGACACAATACATGTTTCAAACACCAACATATTATTAGTCTCATAAAACCAATGAGACACCTCTACAATAACAACCAAATCCAACATAATATTATAGGAACATAAAAAAATACTAAAAGAAACATCAATGAGAAATAATATGCATGCTACAATTTAAGAAAAAAGGTTTACAATAAATCTATGGCCACGTTACAATATTTTTCCGAGTTTTTATATTTTTTTAAGTTAAAATTTTGAATTTTCGAAATTGAAATCAATCACACTCTTGCTTCACATCTTCTGATTGTATCATTTGAAATTAAGAAATAATGCCTAACATAAATCAGTCAAATCCTTCAACCCCAAGGGATCCAAATTAATCAAATAATGATTTTGTTACAAATACATAAATAAATTCAATGAAAATAAAAGAACAATGTTAACAAGATATATGAATCTAGATTTGTCGAGTCTTAATCAAATAATCAATATTAGAAGTTATTCACGAAAAAGAAAATTTCAAATCATTATATTATCAAAATTTACAATAAGTAATAAGAGAAGCAGGGTGAGAGTAAAAATCAGTAAATAAAATAGTCTATATTTAGATGAAGATGATTCAGTCAACATCGATTAGTAAATCGAAAAAACAATACTCAAATTTTCTAAAACTCAGAGGTGTGAAACAATACTCAGAGAAACAAAAACTCTTTTCAAGGTACATAGAAATCTATATATAAAAACAAAGAGGTGTGAAAAATAACATGTGCGAAAACTTAAAGCTAGGGGTACGATGAATAATTGTTGGGTATAAAACCTTGTAACTTCTGAAATCATTAACAAAATATAAAGCGTTAGAGGATATAACTAAAATAATATATATATATATATATATATATATATATATATAGATAGTGAGATTTGGCTGGAAAATATGGAAAAAATAATATCAAGAACGTGGTGGGAGAGAACACATATCGATACATAGATAGCACTACAAGTTTAATAAAGTACTATCATCACCCAAAAGTCTCTCTCATAAGACTAGTCAATAGTCATATAGATTTCTCAGCAGCTCTATCTCTAGAACTCTCATAACACTTCAGTTACTCAAACACTGTCGGTAACTCAATGGATTCGCAAAAGGAACAGAAGTTCATATCACTTGTTACTGACATAATATTTCTCTTCAGCTCTACAGATTTGGATTCCACACTAAAGTCAAAGATCGTATCTTTCTTTACTCAACTGATCTCTGAAGACAACACTGACTCGCCTTACGACAAGAGCCATCTCGCTCAGCAAATACACTCTCCCAAGCCAAAGGTGCAGTTCTTATCAGTCGTTGATCAAATGTATAGGAGCTTTTTCTATAAGGGTTTGAATCCGGAGTTGAAAGTTGTAGTATCCCTTATTACTCAAGTAATCTCTCTTGTGCTCAGTTCTATAGATTTAGATTTGAAGTTGCAGTCAAAGCCGGAGTGGGAGATGATATCACTAATCAAGAAAGTAATATCTCTCTTTAACTCCAAACCGGATTCGGAGTTGGAGCTTGTATCACTCATTTCACAGTTTATGCATCTCGGCATCTCGGTGGAATTAGATTCAGAGCTGACACAAGAATCTGATCTTTTGTCGCTCATTCGCCAACTAGTGTCTCTCAAGCCGGTGGAAGAGATCACAACACTCATCAGAAAGATCATCTCTCGCTTCAAATCTTTGAACTGGCAGCCCAAGAAGTTTTTGTTTTTAAGCCCTCAAGCTGTAGTTAAACTTCGAGGAGGCAAATTTTGCGCAACACAAGAGAATCTCCATGGGATGAAGCAAAAAGGAGAATGTAGTTCAACTTTTTTTCAGTTTTGGAGATCCACAAGAAAAGACTGTTTTTACTGTTTAAGTTGCAATGGAGAAGGACATGATGAAGGATATGAGATGGCTCCTGTTGATGTTAAGCACCCTCTTCATCCGAAACATTCCCTTCAGCTCGTATGGTATAAGTTGTGGCGATACCAAAAAGAAAAGAGAAAATGCTTTTGTTGTGATGTGGATCTCGAAAAGATATTCTATTACTGCGCAGCTTGCGATTATGCTATGAACATGGCGTGTACAGACGAAACACCAATGTTATATGTAGACCATCCCAAAAGGCATGAGCATACACTAGCTTTGTTTCCAAGACAACAGGCTTTCTTAATTTGCAATGTATGCGCCTTGGCTGATGCAAGCTCTCCTATCTACATGTGTCCCCCTTGTGATTTTGTGGTCCATCTTAGGTGTATTAGCTTACCACGTCTCATAAGGATATCTCGCCATCCCCATCGTATCTCTTTTACAACTTCTTTTGACCAAGGAGATTGGTTGTGTGGTGTTTGTCGCACAAGGATAGACAATGATTATGGGGGATACTTTTGCACCAAAGACGGATGTTCTTATGCGGCTCATTCAAGATGTGCTACACAAACAAATGTGTGGGATGGCATAGAGCTAGAGGGAGTGCCAGAAGAAATCGAAGAAGAACTTGAACCGTTTGTTAGGATAAGCCATGGAGTCATACAACATTTCAGCCATGAACATCATCATCTTAAACTTGATGAGAACATTGGAGGAGTTTACGACGAGAATAAGCAGTGTCAAGCATGCATCACACCCATCTATTTTGGTAACTTCTACTCTTGTATGCAATGTGACTTCATTCTCCACGAAAAATGCGCGAATCTCTCTCGAAAAATGCATCATCCGATACATCCACATATGCTCACTCTAGTGGTAGGATATGACAAAGTTGAGTACTTTGGTAATCGATGTACAGCTTGTGATGTAGTGTGCATAGGTGGTTTATCATATGAGTGCAGTAAAGAAGAATGTGGTCGTTTTAAGCTACATGTACAATGTGCCACAATTTCAGAGCCGTTACGCCATGAAAGCCATGTGCATCCTTTATTCCTAACATCTAAACCAGGGGAGCAAAGAACATGTGGGGTTTGCCAAGAAAATGAGAATGAAACATTCAATTGCATCAAGGAATGTGGCTTTGCTTTGTGCTTTGCATGTGCTACTATACCTCACAAGGTAAGGTATATAAGCATGATAAGCATATGCTCACTCTTTCCTATGAAGACGAAACAATCACTACGAAGTACTGGTGCGAAATTTGCGAGGGAGAACTGAACCCGAAGGAGCGGTTTTATAAGTGTGATGAGTATTGTTGTGTCACCATTCACATTGAATGTTTAATCGGGACGGAGTTGTATATGAAGCTCGGTTCGTCGTTGTTCTGGAGCGGTTTATGGATAGATGTTCTGCCAAACAATCAGCATATGACTCGGCCTTTTTGCTTTAATTGTAATAAGCGTTGTTCACATAGAACAGTTTTGCAGAATTCTGAACTAAGATTATGTTCTAGAGACTGTGTATGTGCTATGATTCCACCTTGAAGAACACTTAATGAAAATATAAATGTCCTATTTCTGTTATTTTGATGATATATAGAGCTACTATGATCGATGAACTTGTCAAGTTTCTCATAATATGCAAATCTATTTTTAAAACTCTAAAAACTATGCACAACGATACTACATTCTACTTATGATCATCGAAATTTATTTGTATAAGTTAAAAAACTAACAAAACATCTCTTTTTTTTTTTTTTTTTTTTTTTGAAAAATTGTTAAATTTAGTTCAAAAAAGAACCAACAGTTTTACAAGCTTAATCAACTGAAGTCTTCCACCATAGGACAAAGGATGTGATGTCCAGGATTGAAAATGTTGGCGAATCTGATGTAGAAGAGGTTCGTAATCTGCAAGTGATCAGAGGAAGACCCAAATACCGAACCAGTAAGAACCTTCTGAAAAACAGGAACTGAGCTAGCATGTTGTTTAGAGAGAGGAAGTTGTCACTCCAGCAAGGTATAGTGATGACTTCTCCAAGCCGAAACCTATACATCCCTTCGGGTCCGAGATCAGAACGTTCTCAAATGCTACTTGAACTGGCGACCTCTAAGCTTTTGCGAGAGATCTTTACCAATTGAGGTATTAGCACTTGGTAAGTACACATAGATTTTTGCATTTTGAATACTCAATATATATAGAGAAATACTCTAAAATAGCATTTAGACAAAATTTATGGACAATTATAATATACATTTCACAAAAATCTAAAAATAGCATTAACTTACATAATTACAATATTTTAAATTCTTTTAAGGTTTGAGTTGAATATTCATGAAATGTATCTTATAATTTGTCCATAAAACTTAAACAATATACATTTCACAAAAATTATATAATTTTAGAAGGTTAGTTTTAAAGATATAATATTATTTGCGAAATGTATGCATTTAAACAATATACATTTCACAAAAATTATCTAATTTTTGGAAGGTTAATTTTAAATATAATATTAAATATCTTGCTTTAATTGTTCCAAAAGTAAATCTCTTTAAGAGCATGTCCAATGAGTGTTTTTTATTTAACGTTCTTAGCATTTTTCTAACACTAATTTGTGTACTTTTCAAACATAAAAAGTTTTTAAAATTATCCACCTCCAATGGTAAAACTCTAATTGAAGTTCTTAAAAAAAATTGAAAACTTAATTTTTATAAAACATGAAAATTATTAGATTTTATAAAATTTGTAAGACGTAATCCCTATATAGTAAAAAAGAAGTACAAAATAGAATATGGGTCGGGTCAAAATTAAAAAATTAACTCGAATTTAACAATTAGATACTTCAAAATTGGATATTAAATTGGGTTTGGATACATACATCGGATACTTTCTATATCTAATTTTAAAATTATATTATATCCATAACTAATTTTATGATTTCCTAATTAATCTCTAACTAATCAATTATTCTTCTTCTTTAACTTTTATTTGATATTATTTTTAATTTATGATATTATACTATATAATAAAAATAATTAATAAAAATTTAATTTTTGTTTTACATATGTTGCAATTTGAATTTTTCAAAACGAAAATATAATACTCAACACACTCGGTTAAATATTTTGGACAATGATTTAAAACCATTGTTTCATGAGCATATTTTAAAGTTTCAAATGTTTCAAAATACTATAATTAAAAGGTTCAAATATATTAAAAATTAGAATTTAAAATACTAAAAATATTATTTTTGGAGACATAGGTGTAATTTTGGGGACATAAGATAAAATATATTATATATTAAACTATGTAATTTTTGATAGTTTGCGGGCAGTTTGTTAAAATCACAATTATAATGGTAAAGCGAGTTATGAATAATGTTTTTTAAAAAATGAATTCTGTTATGGGTTGGTCCTTAAAAAAAAAATATTGTAAATATGTAATTTTTTCATATATTCCTACTTCTACTACAAAAACGGTCAAATTGAATAATTTGTCGATATATATTCTTTCGTGTTGTTAAATTTTCACTGTTTTTTTTATTGTATCAAAACTCAATGTATTGTTATTTACTAGCTTTTCCGTTTATTATTTTATTTAAATTTATTACACAAATATATGATTCACCGTAATCAACTGCATTGCAATAAAATTAAAATATAACATATTTTAATCCGTTAAAAGTTATATATTTGTAATTATTTCTCCCGCGCTGTAGCGCGGATCCGAACCTGTAACGCGGATCCAATTGAGGTCAAACACTCTCTTCATCCAAAACATTCTCTCCAACTTGTCTTCTGGGTTGATAAGAAATATTATATGGAGAAATGTTATTGTTGTGATAAACATCTCGAAGATATATTTTATTATTGTTCGCCATGCGATTTTGCTATGAAGATAGCATGTGTGGAGAAACAACCACTCTTGTCAGTACACCATCTCAAGTGGCACGAGCATACACTTTCTCTATTTCCAAGACACACTTCTTTAACTTGCGACGCATGCGCCTTGACCCATTCGACCTGTCATTTCTACGTATGTCCTCCTTGTGACTTTGTGATCCATCAAAGTTGCATTAGCTTACCGCGGGTCATAAGAATATCTCGTCATCCCCATCGAATATCCTTTACCCCTTCTTTCGACCAACGAGACTGGTTTTGTAGCATATGTCGTCAGAAGATCGACAATCGTTATGGAGGTTATTCTTGCTTCAACGGAAGTTGTTCCTATGCAGCACATTCAAGATGTGCCACACAGAGCAATGTGTGGGATGGCATAGACCTTGAGGGAGTGCCAGAAGAAATCGAAGAAGAAAATGAGCCATTTGTGATAATAAGCAATGGAATCATTCAACATTTTAGCCATGGACAACATCATCTCAGACTTGAAGATAGCGTATGGGGAGATTATGACGAGAGTAAGCTGTGTCAATCATGCATCACACCAGTATATTTCGGTAACTTCTACTCATGTATGCAATGCAAATTTATACTCCATGAAAAGTGTGCTAACCTCTCTCGAAAAATATATCATCCGATACATCCACACATGCTCACTCTAGTGGGAGGATATGGCAATGTGCAAATTTTAAAAGATTGTTGTTCAGCTTGTCAATGGATATGCAGAGGTGCTTTCGTCTACGAGTGCAAAAAACAAGGATGTCGTAGTTTTAGGCTAAACGTGCAGTGTGCCACAATTTCGGAACCATTAGTCTATAAAGGTCATATGCATCCTTTATTCCTAACATCCAAGCCACTGGAGGGAAGAAAGTGTTCGGTTTGCGAAAATTATACGATGACATTCAATTGCATTGAGTGTGCGTGTGACTTTGCTTTGTGTTTTAGATGTGCTACTATACCTCAAAATGTGAGGTATAAGCATGATGAGCACATGCTCACTCTTTCTTATGGGGAGGAGACAATAAAGAACTGGTGTGAAGCTTGCGAGAAAAGTATAAATCCAAAGAAGGGGTTTTACAAGTGTGATGAGTATTGTTGTGTCACTTTACACATCAAATGTCTGCTTGGGAATGAGTTATATATAAATCCTGGTTATTCATCATATGCCAGCAATGGTGAAAAGGTACTTGTTATGCCCAACAATCAACATATGTCTCGACCTCTTTGCTCCCATTGTAAGAAGCGTTGTTTACGAAAACTGGTTTTCAAAGTTTCTAGATTTATATTTTGTTGTAGAAATTGTGTATCTGATCATATGTATTTATCTCTATGAAATAGTTTGATGGTTATTGTGTTCTGGTTGGTTGTAAAAGAATTTGTATTTTGTTAAAGAAGGATGAGTGAATATCTCAGGTATATATATATATATATCTATCTCAGCCTCACTAGACATGAATGAGGCAAATCTTTATTCCTCTCAGCTTAAGGGCAAGCTGTTTTCGAATAGGGGAGTGTTGATAAGCTAATGGAAGTTGGTAGAGTTAGACTTTAGTCCATTAGAGGCTTTGCCATTAGTGTTATTGACCGAGTATAATTAGAAGTGTAAGGATCATTGCGAGAGCATCTTGCATGATCACTGTGGTTGTTTAGAGCTTGCGTGCTCTGCTCTTAGGGAGACGAGAATGGAGAATTGTAACTCAAGCTTATCAATTAGGTTTGTGAGTTGTATTGTGATTGAGAAGAGATCATAGAAGAGAGTTTGTATCTTCAATAGTGTCTAGTAATCGTGGGATTGTTAAAGTTTTGGCAAAGTTGATGTCCACCACTCTTGCCTCGTTAGAGGCTCTACTCTTCCTTGCGTTGGTCTCATTGCATAGAAAATAAGAAGATGAAGTCGCTGTGGAATCTAAGAAATGTCACAGTTCAAAACACAAAACAGTTGCTCTATGAAAAGTCAATTGAGCAAGTGAGTTTGTATATTCTTTAAAGTCCACAATATAGGCCATATGTTTTGGTTGGCTTGGTACTATATTTGATATTTTTATATGATTTTACATCTTTCTTTGTATCAATATAGAGTAGTAACAAGAAGAGCTAATCTTTGGTCGAGTAGCGACTGCGAATGTAGAAAAACAAAGCCGTGGATGCAGCCACCACATAAGGGAAGATCGTCCATATTCCCTACACAATTATTGGAACCAAAAACTTAAAACTTGTGTGAAACTGTGAAAGCAATTTACATTAACTCTCTCTTACTCTCTACTTACTACTGCAGTTGCTACTGTTGCAAGAGCAAACATAGGCCGTTCTCTAAGTAGAAACCCAATCACCAGCTGAAACATATTTTTTTTAGAATCGGATTCACATTGTCACAACGAATCAAAATCGAATATAAAGAAAAGCAGATAAACCTGAAGTGGAAGAGTAATCAAGCCGCCACAACAAACTCCTGCAAAGAAACACTCTGGAGATATTCCCTGTAAAGGTTTCATGTATGGTTAACCATATGCTACATATTGAATCAACTCCGCGGCTACACACTTACAAGAGCCCCGGCGAAGAACGCTGTAGGATTCCTCATTCCCAAAGAAAATCTTTCCACTGCATTCAACACAGTATAAAGTCAATCATCACACATTCTAGAGAAATCTTTTCCACTGCATTCAGTTTCATACTACTTACCAAAACCTGAGAGGTTGCCATACTTTTCGACAGCCTTAGTAATGCTCAGCGCTTTCTCTTTACCTATACCAAGCTTTATACAATGCAAAAAAAATGTAGAAAACAAATCAGCTTTTGGATACACACTTTAGTTGGGAAATAACAAGAATTGATTTCACCTAAGGGAAGTAACCTTTGAACAAACATCGTCCGAAGCTCCACTTTGTCTAAAGAGCTTCCCTAGATAGAACGGTATCATATCGCTTAAACAAACTCCCCTGTATTGGTTTATATTTTCCAAGTTGGCAACAAAAACACAGAAAGAACAAAAGCTGAATGATGAACTTTATGAACCATAGGGACTATGTTGTTTATAAACCAAGATATATTGCTTTACCAGTAAACCCATGACACAGTAGATAATATATAAGGAGCATTCCGAGAGAAAGACTCAACAAACGATTGCCACGTCCCATCCAAAGTTAACATCCGAGCCAACGTTATACCAACCTAACTAGAAGCATGTTAATGAAGCAGAACCTCAAAACAAAGATGAAACAAAAGTACCAGCATATGACACAAACCCATATATTTAGCGCCTCTTCGCTAACAAAAAGCCCGAACCCGGCTGCCATTAGCAACCAAAAGTAAACCCATCTGCAAAAACAAAGACACTAGAAAGCAACTAAAAGGGTCTTTCATAAACACACAATCTGGTTCATAAGTTAAAAAACTAAAGGTAGTTCCGCGGCTAACCCCGGTGCATTTCCTGGTATCATGAACTTATTCCCAAAGACATTAAACGTAAAGCCTTCTAAAGATGATGATGAAGCTTTGGCCAAACTCTTAACCTCCTCAAGAGGTGAACCACCACTAGACCCTTTCAAGGTTACACATATTACTGTAACAATCAAAGCCAATCCTAACCCTATACCTAACTTTGCTATGAATGGGACTCTCTTTTCAGTTTTTTCGTTTCTAAGCATCTCATCTCCGTTATCTCGAGGCTCTGCAGAGTCATTATTTCCGACATTTCCTTTCTGAAAGCTTCTTACTTTGATCCTGCCATAGTAAGAACATCAAAACTCTAAGCCAATATGTTCAAGAACCATACGTCTACACACAAAAAACAGATTCCAATCAAATTACTCAGTTTCTTAACATTTTTCAGACTGTTTCAAACTTTTCTTTGCTTCTAAAGGAAAATTCAAGATTCCCATTTTTTTTTCAAGATAATCAAAATTACACAGTAAGAGTTCTTCAAGATTCCATAATCATATCTATCAAGAAGTATAAGAACCTGTAAGGAGGAGGCTTGAAGAGCCGAGAGAGCGAGAAAGATCCATACAAAACTCTGGAGCCATCGAAGACAACAGAGTTAGGTTTTGAAAGTATTAAGGAAAAGTTATTCACAGGAACAGCTATGGAAGACAACATTCTTGGGATTTTGGTTCCAACGAGACCTTGTCTGAATTATAAAGTCTCTCTGTGATTCCAAGACCGTCGATTTATTGGAACGTTCTGTACCAGAATTTTTCGTAAATTATAAAAATAAAAATATTGACCAATAAATAAAAAAGATAAAATATTATTTTTAACAATTGCCAAATATACAAAATATCATAGAATAATTTTACGAACTGATTACTTGTATTTGTATGTGTTTTTCAGATGTTTTTCTTTACCTTAAAAAGCGTAAAAACTTTTTTCCAAATCACTATATTTTGTTGTTGTTATTTTAGCTACTAAATCATCAAAAAATCAGTTAAAACGATAAATTAGTAACATTATTAATACCTAATTATAAAAGGTAGATGCATTTAAATGTGTTTTATAGTTTTTTTTTGGTAGAATGTGTTTTATAGTTACCAGTATACCACCATAAATAAATTGAATAGAATAAATTAATGTTGAAAATTTTCGTTTATTAATTCTGCAAATATAATCAATACTTCCTCCGTTTCACAAGGATATCAATATTCCCTCCGTTTCACAAAGAGTGTCTAACTAGAGATTTTTTTTTATTTTACAAAGAGTGTTATTCTACAATTCCAGTGTAACTTTTACCCTAAATTTACAAAGAGTGTCACTCTACAATTCACTTTTACCTAAACTCAAAAGTAATTTTCATTGAATTTAAATCATTAATTTCTTACTAAATAGGGGTAAATATGTATAATTGTATAGTTTCTTAATATGTGTGAATTGTGTCAAAATGACACTTTTTATGAAACAGAATATGAAAATGGGAAATTCCCATAACATTGTACCAAAATAAAACAACTATAATATTAACCACATGTTAATATATATAATTGATATATATATGGTCATATATTCTCTTATTCTTCTATACTTAGCACAACTAATGGTTCGAATGGTGACAGTGGTTGAAGCGGACAGAACGGCAGATGGAATGGACCTTTTTTATTCTGTATTCATCAATTATAGATTGCAGTGGCGCGGATCTAAAAACTAAGGGTTCAAATGGTGGTAGCAGTTAAAGCGGACAAAACCACAGATGAAATGGACCGCTTTTTATTACCAATCATCAATTATGAACCGCAGTGGTGCAGATCTAAAAAACTAAAAGAAAACCGCTACAGACCAACCACGAACCAACTTTACATACAAATAGAATCGGTTCGCAGTGGTTTATGGTCCACCTTAAAAATACAGCGGTCTAATCCATTGATAGATTTGTCCATTGTGACCATGGTAACCATTCAGACCGTAAAAGAAAACCGCTGCAGACTAACCATAGACCATTTTTACATAAAATAAAATCAATCTACCACAGTTTATAGTCCACTCTATAAAATAGAGCGGTTTAATCCGATGATAGATTTGTCCATTTACCATTCAGATCGTAAAAAAAAACTGCTATAAACTAACCATAAACTATTTTTACATACAAATAAAATCAATTTATAACACTATAATCTGTTTTATAAAATAGAGCAGTTTAATACGCTAATAGATTTGTCTATTGTGACTATGATAACTATTCATACCCTTAATATTTTTTTTCTTTGCTTAATCTACTAAAACTACCTTACTCTATTTGTTTTTGTCACGTGGATCCATCATTTTGATTATCTGGACAACTTCTGAACTAAGCGACAAAATAATTACCGACTCTTTTTTTCTTTCTTTGTCTTCATTTTTTTCTTCTGTTTAACTAAGAAAACCAAACACAACAACGAACCTAAAGATTCTCTTTGTCCGAACTCCAAAGCTCCGTTCTCTTTCTGTTCTCCTTCGACTTCTCTCTCTCAGGTGTTTATACTTTCTGACCTCAGCTTCATCTCTATCCTCCTTCTCTTTATCTTTTCTCTTTTCACCTTTGTCTTGTTTATGTTCTTGACTTTTTTCTTCTGAACTAAGCAATTAACTTTTTGACTTTGTAAAAATTTTATTCTCTTTACCTATTGCCAGATTCAAATCTTGTTTAAGGTTTCATTAACTCTTCTTGAAATCTTCTATTCTATAGTCTATACGAGCTAATAACCCTTTTCTTGATTTTCTTGATTTTCTTGATTTAGGTTTCTATTGACAGATCTCAAGAATATTTTGGCAAAGTGGTTTTAGAGTATATTGATTGAGAGAGGAACAACAAATAAAAATGGACTACCGGGAAAGTTATAGATTGACATTTTATGGTATTTTGGTTGCGTTTATGGAATTAGCATTTGCTTATTGTCTTCTATGTGTATCGGCTTTTGTATTTATCACATCCAAGTTGCTACTGTATTTGCCTTGTCCTTGTTCTGGAGTTCTTGGGTACCAAAACAGTGATCTCTGCATCCAGAAACTTCTCTTTGATTGGCCATTCAGAATCATACTTAAAGTGCAGAAGCTAGCTACCACTAGGCCAAGACTTTTGCATCATCAAGAACAAGAACAAGAAGATAAGAGTTTGGTTGTTGATAAAGATAAGAACTTGGAACTTATGGATAAAGTGAAGTTGTTGGAAGCAGCTGTTGAGGAAGAGAGAGTAGCTAAAGCTGCTTTAATGGTGGAATTAGAGAAAGAAAGAGCTGCTTCAGCATCAGCAGCTGATGAAGCTATGGCTATGATTCTGAGGCTACAAGCAGATAAAGCTTCGCTTGAGATGGAAGGGAAGCAATATGAGAGAATGATTGATGAGAAGTTTGCTTATGATGAGGAAGAGATGAATATACTCAAGGAGATTCTTTTCAAAAGGGAGAGAGAGAAGCATTTTCTAGAGAAAGAACTTGAGACTTACAAGCACATTGATGATGATGATGATCAAGAAACGGAAAATGATAGTTTCGAAGAGAAGAAAGCAGCAAGCGATGTGGTTGAGGATAGAGAACCGATAATGTATGATGTTCATGTAATTGAGGATAACAGTAATGCTAAGGTGAGAGATGATGATGTTGCAGAACACAAAGAGATGAAGCAAATGGAAGATATAATGAACCAACTTCGAGAGATAGTCAAGGATCATGACTCAGGTAATTCACCTACTTCATCATCTCCCATAAGTTTCTAATTCTGGTTGGTGGATTTGTCTTGATCAATGTATGTTTGTGTAGATTTAGTGTAATTCGTGAATATCAATCAATGTAGAATGTTTCAACTTTTACGTGGTATAATTTGTGAATATCATCAATACGAATCCATATGAAATAACATTATTTTGATTGAAATAAGAACCAACATAAAGGATATGTTGCAGAACAATCGAGTAAATGAATAGATACGGTTCTTTCTATGACAATAAGAGAACAAAATTTCAGATGCAAAATCGAAATCAAGACTATGCTTTAACGAAATGGGTTTAAAACTTAGAGGTGATAGACGTCAGGTGTCTTCAATACTTAACCGGGGCAAGGATATCGAGCTGTGATCCGAGGTTCTCTTCCGCAACCTTTTCTGCCTTGTTCCTGAGCTTGTTGAGTTGTTTCTTACGCTCATACATCACTTGTGACCTTTCCTTTCTCTTTGTCTCAAGTTCCTGTTAGAATCAAAAATTCCAAACATCAGTTTCAATTACTCTATTCCAACCAAAAGTGAAGCACATTATTCCAAGTTAGACACGAAAGACTCACCTTAATGGTATCGTAATGGTTCCAGCCAACCTCAGACGATAGCTGGCCTAATAAGCAGTACTTGTGGCCACTCTGAAGTCTCAAAACCCTGAATACCAAATCAGCTGATAGTTAACACATTTGAACATTATCTTTTACCAAATCATGAAACAGAACAGAACAAAGAAACAAAAGAGAACTTACTTAAGAGCATCAGGTATAACCATTCTCTTAATCTTGTCATATGGAGGTGGGATCCCCTCAAAAACCTTCAAACGAGCAAGTGCAGCAGCACCACGCTTGGTCTTGTGTGGAATCATCCTGCCACCATAACAACAAAGCATCAGTATCACCAAAACTTCATTTTTGTAAAAATGTTACATTTCTATTACTTACACAGCTAGAACATAACACAATTGCACAATTGAGCTGCCATGTCTCTTAAATACACAAACAAAACGCAATTGTACTTCAAAGGAATCAAACTGTGAACAAAACAAAACAATCACAGTTCAATCTTTGTCACATTCCCACAAACACTAAAGGGCAAAACTTTATCTTTGTAAAAATGCTACATTTCTATTACTACACAGCAAATACATAACACAATTGCACTTCAATGGAATCAAATTCTCAACTAAACAATACATTCACAAGTTCAATCTTTGTCACACTCCCAAAAACACTAAAGATCAAAACTTTATCTTAGTAAAAATGCTACATTTCTATTACAAAACACATTTTCACATCAGCCAATTCTAGTACACAAACAAAACACAATTGCACTTCAATGGAATCAAATTCTCAACTAAACAAAACATTCACAAGCTCAATCTTTGTCACACTCCCACAAACACTAAAGGGCAAAACTTTAACTTTTTAAAAATACTAAATTATTATTACTCACACACCACATATTCTCACAATTGAACTACCAATTATAGTACACAAACAAAACGCAATTATACTTCGATGGAATCAAATTCTGAACTAAACTAAACAAAACATTCACAAGTTCAATCTTTGTCACACTCCCAAAAAACAATAAAGGGCAAAACTATATCTTAGTAAAAACGCTACATTTTTATTACAAAACATATTCTCCCAACTGAACTACCAATTCTAATACACAAACAAAACGCAATTGCATTTCAATGGAATCAAATTCAGAACTAAAAAACACTAAAGGGCAAACCTTTATCTTAGTAAAAACGCTACATTTCTATTACAAAACATATTTTCACAACTTAACTACCAATTCTAGTACACAAACAAAACGCAATTGCACTTCAATGGAATCAAATTCTCAACAAAACAAAACATTCACAAGTTTAATCTTTGTCACACTCTCAGAAAACACTAAAGGGCAAAACTTTAACTTAGTAAAAATGCTACACTTCTATTACAAAACTCATTTTCACAATTGAACAACCAATTCTAGTACACAAACAAAACACAATTGCACTTCAATGGAATCAAATTCTCAACTAAACAAAACATTCACAAGCTCAATCTTTGTCACACTCCCACAAACACTAAAGGGCTAAACTTTAACTTTGTAAAAACGCTACATTTCTATTACAAAACATATTATCACAACTGAACTACCAATTCTAATACACAAACAAAACGCAATTGCATTTCAATGGAATCAAATTCAGAACTAAAAAACACTAAAGGGCAAACCTTTAACTTAGTAAAAACGCTACATTTCTATTACAAAACATATTTTCACAACTAAACTACCAACTCTCATACACAGGTACTCTCAAGACCTAACTTAGAAAGCTTTGAAATAGAATCATATTCTAAACTAATCATAAATATCCAAAAGTTCAAGTGAACTAACCCTCTAACGGTGCGCCAGAAGATCTTGGAAGGAGCACGAAAGTGAATAGGACCATGAGAAGGCTTAGTGTTCATACGTTTCCTAAGGAATCTCATGTACTTCATCTTTTGCCTTACCAAACCTCCTGAGAGACAAATCTCCTCACATCGTACGACCACCACTTTCTGTCCGTTGAGCAACTCCTTTGCAATTGAGGACGCTAGACGACCACCCATATGGTGTCTCGCGTCTACAACCACGCGCTTCGCGCATATCCCTGACCCTGACACCATCTTCTTCTTCTTCTTCTTTGGCTCTGAAAATAACTTGGGTTGCGTGGGAGATATATAACGCACAGCACAACACAAGGCTTTTAGGGTTTTTTTAGTTTTCAGAAATGGGTTTAAAGCCCAAACTCGGCCCACGAAATTGAGCATCCTGAAATGTTTTTTACGGTCGGCAAAAATGCTGACTGAGGTGTGAGCTTTGCAAAATCGGAAAATGTCATTTTAAATAATTTTCGTAGATTTAAAGCATGAACTTTTTATTGGTAGAATTATTTTAAAAAATTTTGTTAGCCTGTACCTAAATCATGAAGTTTGAGGTAGAAAAAAAAAAAAAGAAAAATCATGAAGTTTTGTTGATTTGGCCGTCAATTTGAAGGTTTTAATTAAGTTATAAACGACGTCGTCTAGTGACATAATCTTGTTAATGACTAATTAATTATGTGTGATTTTACTAAATGTTGTGTCTCATACAGTCAAATCATCAAAACTTCATAATTTAATTAGACATCAACAAAAAAGTGAAAAAAATCATTAACAAAAAAGTGAGATTTTTCACATTAAATGAAGAGTCTATGCTTTGGTTACAAGTCTCTTGAATCTAATTTAACATTATATTAAAAAAAAGTCTATGCTTTAATTATTTTCATTCGTGATTTAAATAATAGTTTTCCCATTTAATTAGTTCGAAATATTAAAAATGGGCGTTCACCTACATGTTTTTGCCGAACCTTGTAGTTTGGATTTTCGGATTTAAAAATGTAAAATCCGTGCGGATCGGATTCCAGATAAACATCTATGAAGTTTGAGCATTTTCGGGTTATATCGGATCAAACTTGAATTAAACCGAAGAAAAATTTCAATTCGGTATCAAAAGTTCACGTTGGTAGTATGCTTTGTACAAATAGATGGAAGAATAATAATACTTTTGTTCGATTAAATTTTCCCTTATATGTATTTTTTCAAGTTTTCCTAATAATTTTTAAATTTTTTACATATGAAAGTATTATTGTTCTTCCATCTATTTTCTAAGTTTTGGCTTGTCCCCTAATAAACCAAAACATATGAACTCCATCAACACATTTAAAAATGGCAACATCAAAAATATCATTCTTCATTCTTCATTGTATTAAATAACAAAGCCTCCATTAGCTCTAATAACCTGACCATTGATCCATTCACCACCATCACCAACCAAAAACCCTACAATCTCTGAAACATCCTTTGGCTCACCAATCCTACCCATAGGACAAGCCCCTGCAAGTGTCTTCACCAATTCATCACTCTTCCCTGCAAAGAACATCTCTGTCTCAACAGGCCCTGGAGCCACGCAATTCGCGGTAATCCCACTTCCCTTAAGCTCCTTGGCCAATACTTTAACCATTGTCTCAACCGCGGCCTTTGATGCAGCGTAAACACCATAACCTGGTGCAAGACCACCGACCATTGATGTAGACATCATAATGATTCTTCCACCACCTCCTCTTACAACCCTTTTAGCTGCTTCCTTGCAACACAAGAAAGATCCTCTTGTGTTGATAGTGAATGTATTCTCGAAATCTTCCAGTGTTGTCTCCGACAAAGATGGATACTTTGGATCCAAAACACCTGCACAGTTCACGACTATGTGAACTTTAGATCCGAACTCTCGTTCTGTTTGATCAAACAAGTTCTTGATCTGGTCCGGGTCTGATACATCTGCTTTAACCGCGATTGCTGACTTTGTTTTAGATGAGTCGTTTAGTTCTGAAACCAAGAGTTCTGCTTTTGATGAGCTCGAGACATAGTTGATAGTGACTCTTGCGCCAAGAGAGTGGAGATGAATCGCTATTGCACGGCCCATTCCTCTGGTGGCTCCAGTCACTATAGCTACACGTCCGGCAAGAGGAAGAGATCTTGTGTTCTGCTCCATTTCTTGTTTGTTCTAAATCTTGATATGAACAAGAACAGAGAGGATCAGATTTATAATGGTGGCACTGTTGGATTAAGACGGGACAGTTTAGTCTTTATTCACTTTAGAGTTCAGATATATACAGCCACATGGGCGGCGAGTCAAAAGCCACATTTTGATATTTGTTTTTTTGTTATACATAAGCAGTGACGTGCGTGCGTTACACTCATTTATGTGATCATCATTCTCACCACAATGACTTCTCAAATTCTCTAAGTTGCGTGACTAATGCTACTCGAATCCAGATGGCGAAACTTATTTCTCTTTACTATTGGATAAAGACGACTTGGTTTATTCAAATATTTTTATTTCCAAAAGGTTGGACAGTTCAAACAAAATTTACTTTGAGAAGTACAAAATACAACTGAGAGATGAATGTAAAATCTATATATATAAAGTTTACTTTTTCTCTCTTCTCTTTAAACCACATCATCATCCACTTCATTTTATTATTTAATTTTTAAAATTAATTATATCATTTTATCATTTAATTTTAATATTTAAACCTATGTCAATAAGTTTTTTCAAAATAAATATGAAAGGTCTTTTTTATATATTATACATTATAAAACTAAAAAAGATAATTGATTAAGAGTTAAAAAACTTACTAATTATCGATTATACTAACAAATATATAAATAATAGATTATAGTTTTAGTGAATGTTTAAAATATATATATGATTATATTTACATAATGTAAACCTAAATATAATGGGATTTAACGGGAATAAAACAAAAATTAAGAAATTTTGAGAATATAAATCTATCTAATTTATGTCTGAAAAAAATTTCTAACATAAGTGAGATAGGTTGGACCGAAACATGAATTCTTATTTTTTATAAACATATAAAAAGGTAAAAATAAAAATAATATTTCCTTAAAAGTTTCCAATATGAATTTAACTATTTGTTTCCAATACAACACATATCTTAAACTAATAAACAAAATAAAAAATTAACTATATTTCATAAAAATGAAAATTAAAATAAAACATTATTAAATGAAATAAACTAAATATAAAGTAAACTATACTAATATGTTAAATTTAAAAACTGTTCCATATGAAAAAACAAAAAATATATAAAACATAAAATCAGAAAAATATATAATAGTATATAAATGATCATTACGAGATATAAAGTACGACAAATCCAAAAAAGGAAAACGTAAAACAAAAAATAATAAATTATGACAATATATAAAGAGATAATGTAAACAACTTAAAATACAACAATCCGCCCGAAACCCACAAATCATGTTCAAATTTCATGCCAACATATAAAAGGGCCCAAAATATTAACATCTATATCTATATTTGGTAAAAAAACCTAATAGCACACGTTTCTCAATGATTCTCAACTGCACTTCCATTTACGCCCACACTTCGACTTATTATACACACTTAATTCCTCAACGACTAATGAAGCTAAAACGCAATAGTTTTTCTATACAAACACAATTTAAGTTTTAAAAAGGTAAACTATGGTATAGTGAAAAAAATAAGTAGGAAATAAAATACGAACCAATTACTCATAAACAACATAATAAACTTCTGCGCGTAGCGCGGGCAACCGACTAGTTTGTTTATAAAAAAGCCTTGGTTACATCAAATGTGTTTTTTCGGATATGTAAAAATAATTATCACTTACAGCTTAGAGAGGAGTTTAAAACAAAAATACGAGTAATCATCGTATTTTATTGTTATGTTTTTGAAGACCACAAAACTATTTTTTGTAATAGTACTAGATATATTTTAAGAATTACAGCAAAAATTCTCACTTAAAACTTTAAAAACTGTAGTTTGATAAAAATATTTTGCATAATTTTAACACTAACGTTTAAACTTTTTAAATAATAAATTGAGAACTTGCACAATTTTTTTTTTTTTTTTTTTGATTATCTTTTTATTCAAACAACCATTTTTGTTGGATTAGCTTTAGGAACAAACCCATATTGGTTTTTATTTTCTAGTCGTTAGTGTTATTAATAGATCATAAGACATGTTACAAACGGTAGAAAGATAATAATCAAATTAGATTAGTTTCATTTTTGTGGGTATATTGAGACTTTGACTCTTTTGATGACATCAAGTTCAAGCACAGCCATGAAAAGTGGTTATGAATTATGATTATGCTGATGCCATATGTATGCCTAAACAAAGTATGATTAGGTTACCTGGGGAGCGAGGAACCTGGTCAAATGGACTAATAGACAAAACATCTTACAACTATTGTAGGATTTATAGTGGCCTAATGGTTTCATGTCCATGTCCATAGCACTGTTGTATGGAAACATCTTAGAACTCTTAATTATTATTCTTAAATATTAACTAAGGGAAATATTCAATGAGCTGTAGAAAATGTAGACGACCAAGTTGTAGAAAAATGATTTGTAATTTCTTATGTGGGAAAATATTGTGTACAATAAAAATGTATATAATGTTGAAAACACGTAAACTAAATTTGTAAAACGTTTTGGTAAAAGCTTTGTTATAGTAACGAGTACATATCCCTTGGAGCTAACTCACGTTGAAACACGCCTTGGTCCTCCACGGTCTTACCAAAGGAAGGATGAAAATGGTTAAGGACGGTAGGTGAATCCGTTTTTTCACTCATAAAACTTAAGGTGGTGACAATATCACTCATTAATGGTCGAACTATTGGTTCTTCTTGCAAACACATTGCCGCCACTGCTACAGCTTGGTTCAAACATTTTTCCGGGAACTCGCCTTGGAGAAGTGGATCTGCTAGCTCCGGGAATCGATTCGGATCTCTGAATATCGGTTGTGCCTAAAACATAAATTAGAAATGGTAAGTTAAATGAACTTAAAGTTTGGGAGGGGACCGTATAGTATGCTCTGGTCTTAGGCTTGAGAAAATATACGGAACTAGGCTCAAAACCTCTTAGTTATTCAGAAAAGAAAAAAAAGTGCGCATAAAAAGCTTAACCAATTAGGTTTGAATAGGTTTTGTTGGTCCATGCAGAATCAAGAAGATTCAATGTCACTAGACAATTTAATTTTGAATACTTATATAGAAGTTAAAGAGAGTTACCCAAGTAACCAGATTTTGTTCACGACTTGGCCTCGTTGTATCGATAACTCGTCTACCGGTAATGAGTTCCAACAACACAATTCCAAAACTATAAACATCGGATTTAACCGTTAGCTGACCAGTTTTCTGATACTCGGGAGCGCAATAACCGTAAGTTCCAAGAACTCGGGAAGATACATTTTGTGTGTCACCAACCGAACCAAGTTTTGCCAAACCAAAATCGGATAGTTTTGCATCAAAATCTTCATCAAGCAATATATTCGACGACTTGAAATCTCGATATATAACTGGAGGATTCGCCTTTTCGTGGAGATACTCAAGCCCTTTCGCGGCTCCTAAGGCAATCCTTATCCGAGAGTTCCAATCCAATGGTTGTTGTTCAACTCCAACATCTAGTTCAGATGATTAAACCGGTTACTAATAATACAAAATTATAAATTTCCAATATAGGTTATACTAACATATATATCCGGTTCAGTCCCATTTTGATATATAAATAAAAGTGAACAAAAGAAACCGGTTATAGGATTGAGGACAATTTATACCAAGGAGATGATCTTCAAGGGAACCAAGAGGCATGAACTCGTAAACAAGAAGTCTTTGGTCTCCATCAAGGCAATATCCAATCAGATTGGCAAGATTGGGATGATGAAGAAGACTCAACCTAAAGATCTCTTCAAGAAACTCTCTATTCCCTTGTAATCCATTACGATCAAGTTGCTTCACAGCCACCACCTATAATCACCATTCAACAAACAAATAAGAGTCTTATCTCTGGTTTCTTCAGACACAAGGAAGAGTCTTGTCTCTGGTTTCTTCAGACACAAGCCACTGATTAATTAATAAATCAGCTCTATCTCTCTTAAAAATTTGTCTTACTTAAGTTTTACCTGTCCTGTCTTCTCTAACTTTCCTTTGTAAACCCTCCCGAACCCTCCTTCTCCAGTCAAGAACTCTTGCCTGAAGCTGGTTGCTAATTCGCGAAACGTGAAACACTCTGCCTCTATGTTGTTCGTTGATTCTTTGTTCATTGCCACCACATCTCGTGTTGTTATTTGTTGCTGATAAGGAGCAGCCATAGATGATCCTTCATTTTCTCTAGTTTTATTGTTCATCGATGGACCCAAGAAACAACTCATTTCAATAGTATAGGTTTGTAGGATCTCTCTAATACTTTATGGGTTTCACAAGAAAAACATAAAGTACGACAAAGATCCTACAAAACCTTTGTTTTGATTTATTAATCCAGACTTCAATAGTTTGATTATGAAACCAGATGGTTCTTAAGAAAGAAAAAATGTTTCTACGATGAAACAAGAACGAGAAAAAGACAACTTCATTGACGAGATGGTGACAAGGTTGTTTGTTTTGGTTATAGAACAGAGAATTTTTGCTAACGTTTTCCAATAATAATGACGATGACTTCTTCTTTTAGAATTTTCTTTTTGTTATCTATATGGTTTCTTTTAGCTTATATTAAGTGTAATAGAGATTACTAAAAGATATCTTAATAGATGCCTATATATAACTTAATCCAACTTTGGTACCCAAGCTGGCTTCATTAGGTGATTAAGGTCGCAAAAGGGATTAATTTCGGGTTAAATGTTTGATAATGCTATACCAACTTGCTCTAAATCTAATAAACATCGAATTGATTTTTGGCATATTATCATGCATATGTCCCCATATATAGTATAGATATTATATTACGTACCAGATAAAGCTAACTTCAATACTAACTTATATATAGTATAAATATATGTCTCTCTTTTTCTATACAATGTTAACTTCAAAATTTAGAAGATGGAAAGATCAAAAGATCTTAACAATTACAAAGAGGGGAAACCCAAAAAGAAAGGGAAACACAAATATATAATTAAAAATCCATGATAACTCTCTCCATCCATTACAAACTTGCATATAACTATATTGACTCATCTTTCAAACTCACCCTCAAATATTAAATTAAATTACCTAGTTTGAGATAGGGTTTGGACCACTTGGAACCTCATGAGCTTCAGCTCCAAACTCTCTTCTCCTCTTCCTTGTACGACTACCTCGAGTGTGAGCTGTTGGACGCAAATGCATAGTGGGTGAAGATGGAGTTGAAGGTTGTAAACGGAACCTCTTGGAAGGAGCCAAACTGTTCTTAGATGAGGATTCATGGAGGTGATGATGATGTATGGAACTTGTAGGACTAATGAAAAGGAAAGCTAAAAAGATGATTGTGATAATGAAACGGATGAGTTGATTGAGATGCAATGACTTGGTCCAGGTTTGATCAATTCTAGTTGCCATGCAGTTTGAAAGAAGAAAGAACCACTCCCCAAAACCTTAAGCAAGACTCAATATCCATGAACCAAAAGAGAACTCTAGGAAGAATAAGAAATGAAGAAGGAGCTTGATGAGCTAATTATGAGAGATAGAGAGAGAAAGAGAGATATTCAAATTCCCACACACACACTTTAATCTAATAATGGCATAATAAAGATGTTGTTGGAAGACATCGCATCAAGGATTGTTCAGCCTTTGAGAAAACAAAAAAGTGTGGCAGATATGTCACGAGGGGTTAAATTACGAGAGAGTCCTCTCTTTGAGTATCTTTGAAAGAGTGTGGACATATACATGGGACAGACTAGGGTTTGAATAAGATGCACTATCAGATCAGGTTTTTGCCCCTATGAATGTTTTCTAAGTTTTGGTAGGCCAAAGTGTGTGTAATGGTCAAATTAGCAAAGAATCTTGAAAGCTGAGGAAGAAAAAAGCAAAAAGAAACGACGTGAAAGAAAGAAGTTTAAAGACTTTTTTTGTAGCTTTACTTGCTTCCCTAAGAAAAATATAATGTTGACTTACTCGTAGCTTTGCCGATTATATATCCCTTGCGTGAATAAAAATATAATGTCCCATAAAATATAGTCAAATTACTTATAACTAAGATCGCCAATTCGAATAGTTTTTGCTATAATACATATAGTCATACTACTAAAAACAATTTTTATAACCATTTGAATTTTCGTGGCTATAGTAAAAAAAAATCATAAGTAAAATTTTTTTTGTAGCCACGAATATTAAGGTTCAGGCACGAAAATTCAAATGTCTATAAAGATTATAGTTTTAGACGTAAGAAGATGTGCGAACCTAAATGTAGAAATTTTTAGTTCATAAAAAAAAAAAGACAAGAGTATAGGAATTACATAAAAATTGCAAGATCAATTATTTTATTTTATTCTATGTCATTATTATTTATTTTTTCTTTGTCTATTCATTATTATCTCGTAGAAGGTTTGTTTTTTTGGTGTTATTGTAAGTATTTTTCAGTTTTTTTTTTGTGACATGGTAATTAAAAGAAAAAGAAAAAAGAATCATATTCCTCTAGCCCAACCCAAACAATGGTTTACGTTATCTTCACGTTATTACCTATATCTATATGAATATTCTCATGTGTGTATTAATCAACCTGTACATGTCTATATTAGGTGGTGGAAGCATGCATGCAGCTACATTGATTCAGTGATACCTTTAGTTCTGTCTTTGCATGATTTGTAATATTCGATTTGGAATAATAATAATAAGTGAAATAGCAAATTTACCATTGCGGGATTGATATATATACTTCATACCTGCTACCTCTTGTCTCTACATTCAACCTTTTTCCAAACTCTCACATAAATTATTAGGAATACCAAACTATAAAGTATAAATGTTTTGTATCTATGACCATGAATGGAATGAGTTTTTAAATTGGTTTCTAGCTTTTGGTTTTTGGATTGTAGTTTTTTAGAAGCTCATACATCTTCTCAGGTCCGAGATCAGAACATGTTATATGGTCTCGTCCCAAATATTCGAACTGGCGACCTCTAAGCTTTTACTAGAAATCTTTACCACTTGAGCTAATAGCACTTGATTTTTTTTTTTTTGCAAAATCTTAAAATCTTGAATGGAAGTAAATCAAATTTTTAGAAAAAATAAAGCCAAAATCTACTTAAAATCTAATAACCATTCAAGACCTATATATTGTTATTAGAGTTTAAAGTCCCACATTGCTTAGGATAAAAGATCTTTGGATAATATATAGGATATGACAATCTTTTTTTGAGCTAGATTTTGAGATCAGTTAGACCATATTACTAATAATCGTTCTTCCGTCACGTATTAATTTATATTCCGATTTTCTCCATCTAGTGATAATATGTACATATATGGATAAAAAACTGTATTATAGTTCTTTTTCAGCACGTATTAATTTGTATATCTTCGTTTTCTTGGAAAATATGTCTTGTATGTATATATATTTATCTATCTACGCATTTTCTGGCATAAACTATCCTACCAGCATGATTGTCTAATATTGGGATTAAGATGAAATCAGAACGTAAACTAAACGTCATTATTACCAAAGCACTGCCTAATATTACATTTGATTTTACTTCATGTACTCGATCTTGTAGCAATTTAAACGACACAAGAAACCAAACACATGGAAGTTGCTTCCTAGATGTTTTGTTTTGATTACCTTTATTTAGACAATTAGACTTTTTGCGTCATATATATGATAGATCACCTATTAATATGTTTAGGTTCCGAAATTTTCCTACAATTTTTGGTTCAAAAGGTCGAAATGATGGCACCTATAATTTTTAGTCAATATGGAACACAATTAAAGTTGTTAACATGGAATACAATTAAAATTGGTTACATTTCTGTAAAATATAAATTTTTATTTTTAAAACGGAATAGTTAAATTTTAAAATAATAATTATAATATTTTTTTGTCACGTTTTTTCTTCACTTGTACATTTCTGACAATCATTTTTTAGAAGATTACCGATTCTAAAACTAAAGACTCTTCAGCAAAACTTAGCTCTATATTAAGAATAACTCTCTTAAGATGTATTTAGAAAATATAGCTCAAAAAACTAAACACAAAGCTCTTATGTTTTTCTTAATGATTGTCACATTTCAACAATCATATTTATAGGACTAGAAAATTAACCTTCACTAAACCTTCTTATTAGAACTAAATAACTCCTAACTCTATTAAGATTTACATCAAGCCTCTCTTGTCCTAATCCACACTTGATTATAATATCTTAGGTTTCAAGCTATGAAGCTTATCCAACAGAAACTACTCCAACATAAGTGCATTTGATTGTAGAGTTCTTTAAGGAATTTTGACCAAAAACTAAGTGTATTTTTTATAACTTTATCTTTGTGTAAAGCTTCCCATCCAGAAGAAATAAAAAGGCAAGCTTCTATATAAGTTTGTGCATAACATGCAGAACAAAAAAGCTAATATATATGTTGGTCCAAACATATATAAGACACAGAAACACACATATTTGTATATACAAACATATCAGTACATACATCTTTATATTTTTTTTTAAATGATTGGATAGGGAAATTATTAATGTTTGTCAAAAAATTTCTAAGAGGATCTTCCAACCTAGGTCATGGTTTCTTCTAAGTATAACTTCTACCTATGTTGGCCATGCTACAAATGATTCACTAAGGTTTGGTTCAGATCCATTACAAGAAAATAGAGCAGCTCCCGACAATCAAATCGGTAAGTGACGAAATATTCCATGAAACAGCGAAAGAGACCATCACACGTAGAAGAGAAAGCTCGTGAAGTGGAGGAACCAGTAAATGAAAGGGCTACAAAGAAGGCTCATAAGGCCCAAAACGTTTGCGATGAAGGCCTAATATATAAGGACCCATTTGTTTTACTTCTCTTACTCTTCTCTCTTCCATACATTAAATCAAATTTTGACATCAATTGTTTTAAGTAAGAGTCGTCAAGCATCGAAGCTCATATGACTCCTAATATTAGAACCAAAGGCCAAGAGACTTAATAGTTCAAACTTTCCAGTAGCTCTAATAGAACGATGACCACTCGGATACTTCCGATCACGAGGACAAAAAAAAACCATTCTTGTGAATGATTGACCATCACTCTAACAAAATTCAAAAAACGGCTTCAACCTTTTCAATTCTCAATCTTTGTAACTATGTTCTTTGTGTTCTCTCTACCATAAAGAAGAATATCTATTAATAAAATTGACGTTAAAAAATGTGAGTTTATGTTTAAGTAACACATGAAGGCTACCATCTCCGGCAGAGTTTTTTTAAGCAGTTGCTGTTTATTATAAAAATAATAAATATGAGAAAAAGTAGGAGAGAAAGGGAGGAACGTTGCTTCCTTAAGAAACTTAAGAAACGTTGCTTCCTTAAGACACTTGAGAAACATTGCTTCTTTAAGACACTTGAGAAACGTTGCTCAAATACTTATCAATCATCTATTTGTTCGCTGATTAGAAAATATATACAGATATATATATATATATATATATATATATATATATTCAATTAAAAAATATTTTAATTGTTTTTTTGGAAAACTGTGGGTGTGTGTATCACTGGAAGTGGTCTACATACGCTCACATAACATCTTAAGAGAGTGTTTAAATAAAAACTGAGGTGGACACTCTCAAAAGGCTCAAATTGTCTCTTTTATTATTAGAGAGTTCTGTAAAATTAAAGTTTTCAATTTATTGATGTATGTATATGGAGTTGGAATAAATATTGTGTTTAGATAATCTATATTATCAATTGGGAAGGACAACAAGAAGCCAAACACGACCCAATTTTTTTAAAAAAATTCATGAAATATATTCCAGTTGCCAAACAGAGAGTAAAGATTGAAGATTCGATTAAATACAAAAACAACCGATCTTAAGGTCTTTTGTTGGCCGATAAATAAACCTCAAGGCCTTTTAAAATGTTCTTTAATGAATCTTCAACCTACAATTCTGAAGAAACAACATCCCAGAAGCTATGATTGTTGAATTCATAATTTGAAGAAATTAGTTCCAACTACAATTTATGAAGAAACAACATCATTGTTTGTAAGATAATATCATCGATGAGTTTAAAACAACGTTTTTCCCTGTCGGGGGAGATAAGGCAAAACGTTTTGTTGGGCCTGCCCTGTAGTTTTATATCATGTTCGGGTCTAAAACAAAACCCATTTACATTATTCCTGGACCATAAACTTATATAAGACAAAAGCTCATCTTTTATACATGTTAATGCTAATGTTTTTTCTTTTAAATAAAACACTTCTAAAATTTTAACTTTTCTAAATTTAACCATAACACATAAAATTCTACAAATATAACAGGTTTATGATGAAAAAAGGTTTTGCAAAAAAATCCCGCACGTACGACCCCTAGGCCCTAGTATATGATAAGAAATATAAATATTTAGATGTTTTTCCCCTTCTTTTTCATTGTGACAAGACTTTAAATTTTAACATTTTTCCTTCATACAAGTTGTAAACTATGAATTAATACATTTAAATAGAAATGTAACTACTTTCTACCAAAATAAAATAAAATAAAGGTAACTAGTTTATGACAAAAACACTCATAACATAACATAGACATAAATTTGTTTGTCTTTTTTGGTCAAACTATTAAGAGCGTTTCAAAATTAAAATCAAATTTACTTAATAATATTTTTGGCAGTTACATAGACATAAATTTTAGAGAAATCTAATATAATAATAATTTTGTCTGTTTTTTTTTTAATAAAAAGACAATTATTTAATATCACAAAACATGCAACTTAAGTTTCTTCGTTAGTTTTATAATAACTATATATATCATATAAAAATGAGTAAGCAACATATAGAGGTCGATTGGTAACGACTGTTACTTGTGGCTGTAGAGACTTTAACTTTAAAATTTTGGCTGCAGAGAATTTGGCTGTAGATGCTTTGACTGTTGTTGGACATAATTTTAATCATATAAATTATAGTAGATAAGTTCTATTGAAAATATGATGAAATGTATATATATAAAACAAGTGGATATTCTTTAGAAGATTCTATCAAAATGGGCCAACGACAGGAACTGGGCCGAAACGGGCCGATACGGGTCGATGCGGGCCGATACGGGCCGTAGCAAGATTAATAGACCGACTTTGTTCTGTTATGAAGCAACCTTATCTGACCACGAAAATAGGAAAAAAGGCGTGATTATCTTGTGAAGAGGCGGTTTCTTAGCCCAATCCCATGAGGATTAGCTTAAGAGGATTTCTCTATAAAAGGAGAGCTACATCGACACAATTGAAAAAAAGAAAAAGCTCAAGAGACTCTCTAAACCTTCAAGGCACACGAATCAACTCTGGAAACTTGACAAGATTTCATAGATTGTTCATTGTGCTTTGATTCTTGTAGCTGCTATTTGATATTCTAAATCAATAAAAACAATATTCGACTGTTTCTCTCGTTTTCCGTAGTCTCTAAACGAATCGATTACTTTTGTCCAAACAGCTGTAAAAACTTTTACTGTTAAAATCTGATTGGCAATGAACCGCTTTTTTAAAGTTATGTATGTTATTTTTATTATTATTATTTTATATTTCTAATAAATATAAATTATATCATAAATGAATTTATAAAATAAAAGTATTATTGAAATGGATCTTAAAAGAACAAGAAAAAATGAGAGTAATTAATTTATAAAAATAAAATATATAAAATATATTTATAAACTTGTGAAAATGTTTTAAATGTAATGGAGATATGAAAAATAAATCTTTTTAATTGATTGAATTTAAAGTCAGGTTTTTGACGCTTTAAGAAAAATGAGAAAACAAAGAAGGAAAAAAAGAAGCGACTTTTAATGCTTAAAAAAAAAAAATAAAAGCAAAAAATGTTGATTGGCAAATTAATTACTGTTAAGGCTTTAAAACCATTTTAAAGCCTTAAAAGTCATCACCAATCGCCCTCATAGTTAAAGCATAAAGAAGGTTAATAACTACAGTATTATGTTTGCATCTACGGTTGAGAGTAAACTATAGTTCATGCACCCAATTTCATTTTTTAGGATTTTAAGACCCATTAATTATTGTTTTATATAGGAAATTTATATTTGATACACTTGAGTACAATCGATTATAAATATTATAGTTTTAATGAAAAATGCCTTACCGTATATCATGGATTAAATTGTAATTCATATATCAAACATATTTATTTACCAGATTTTATATATATACTCGTTAGTCTATTAATTATAGTAGAAGATACAAAATTTTCTTTTAATGGTAAGAAATAAGACAAATGATTTTTTATTAAATCAAAAACATATTGTTGACCAAAGAAAATAGAAAAAAAAAATAGCAAACATATAAGGAAAAAAATCTTCAGAAACATAAAACAAATCTGGCCATAAATCGAATATATCAATTATATATGGTGTCTATTCTAATAAATTTTAGCAAAATTAAACCACAAAAAGGCCAAAGATATTTATATAATTCTCAAAGCATAAATCATAGAACATAAATGTCAACACCATTAATCGAAATATCTTAATATGAAAAAACTATAAAAACGATGAAATTGAAAAAGATAATAAGATTATAAATTTTGATAAGGCTAATCTCTCTTGATAATGGGGGCTCCTGCTTCCACAGCTTTGATTCTCTCTTGGATGACTTTCAGCTTCTTATCAATCACCTCAGCCGCTTTGGCCAGTTCCTCCGAACAATCAGTATCGGTGGTTAGATCACTTGTCGAAGCCATTATCCCAAGTTTCATCGCACGAGTATACGCTTTTTCTTTCTCCAACTTCTTTTCTGCATCGTGGATCATCTTGTTCATGAGATCCTTCTGGTCCATCATGTATTTGGTCTGTTTCTCCACTGGAAGCTCGCTTAACCTGTCAAGAAGAGAACGAACCTCGCTAACGTTTGGCCATACCTCAGGGCCATCCTTGTACTCGCTGTAAATGATGGCACAAGCGGGTATACCACATAGGATAGTCAATTCATTTATCTTTTTCAATAAACCATCTTTGCGTTTCCGAAAGGTAACACGGCGAGTGGAGTTGTCAGCGATCAATTGGTGTGTAACCTTTCTCCTACCCATGCTGAAAAAAATATATATAAAGAATAAGGAGAGGAGCATTTGTGTGGTTTGAGAGAGTAATGGGTAAAGTGTTATATAGAGGGTTTCTAACTTTGATTTTGAACTAGGTCCATAAAAGATGTTTCAACACATTGAAAAAGGTACTTTTTAATATAAAAACAAATTTAAGAAAGATTGTTATAGAAAAATACAAATTATATTAAAGGAAAAATGTAGCTATATATATGAAAGCTTTCTATATGAGAAGATTTATATCAAAAAACAAATTTTCATTTTATTATGTGTCTTTTGTTGGTTGGTCTAGTCAACCTCTTAAAAAAGGAGGTAATATTTTGCTTATTAATGTTCCCATATACACATGTAAAAAAGTTTGAAATATAATTTAGAAAGTTTATTTAATGAGCTGTAATGATGAGTTGTAACCAAGTTGTAATGTTAATAGAACTTATATTTATTATACTGCCAAAAAAAAAACAATTCTTAAATCATCATAGTAGAGTAAATGACATATGTCAGTAAATCTTTTAATTGGTAATCACAAAAGTCTATGTATGGACGAACCAAAAAAGTAATGTGTATATTGGTTCACCTATATATTTTAGGCTTTTATGATTATTGATTTACAAGGTGTGCATGTTTGTAAATAAATGTTTACAACACATAAAATCCTCCTCTAATTGGTCTAATGTAAAAATATTAAGGTCAAACTTTTCTACTATGATAAACATATAAGGCAAAAAATTTAATCATTTAAAATGTTTGAATTTACATTTCATTAGATCTTATCAAAACATAACATTTAACCTTAAAATTATGGGTGGGCTCAGAAAAAAATTGGGGAATTCTTATTTAGCCCATTGTAAAATTAGGATAGGAGAAGACTAAAAACTTATCTTATGAACAAATTGATAAAACATGAAAAATATGTTGGCTGTTCTTAATAATAAAATACAGTAAGATTCATGTTTAATTGTGTAAACAGGTTTTTTTTCATGTATATGAAAAACAAAGAAGATATTTAGTTCATTTCATGATTAAAAAAAATAGTCTTAATTAAACACCTTATCTCAAGTCATTTTGTAATAAATTTTATAGATACATATTTTATAATATAGTATAGACTCCAATCCCAACACAGAAAGAAAGAAAAAATACAATCGATAACAAGTACAACTCTAAGACTGTGGAAATATGTAATGAGCATAGATAGATTAATGAACGTACCGTCTCACCAAACGAGTCCTTAAAAATCTGCAAGCTATCCTGACCAATTTGGTGGACTTTTTCCTTTTGCTGTTGTGAACAATGAGAGAACATAAGACAAACATTAGATCGCCACTTAGTTAGCGTTAGTTTTATAAAGAAGAAAAATTTGCCATCAGGCTAAATCGCCTACATCTTTGGTTGAACTAGTGACAACAATACTTACAAAGATATTTTTCGTGCCATTGCTATATTTTATCTCCGGTGATGCCCAAAGAAGCAGATCTCAATTTGAGTAGAGAAAATATGGAGACATGGGGTAAAATGAAATGAATAGTAAACAATTTATTTATGTAGTTGAACACAAATTGCTTTTTGTAACGCTCTATTCATGCATGACACGTTGAGTTTTGCTTTTCTTCTTTTTACGACACGTGTTGCAATCTATTGGTATGAATTAACTTATATCTTAAATTTTGAAAGACAAAAAGATATACATATATGTTGAAATGAAATGAATGGTCTATAATATATATACCTATATGGTGAAATGAAATGAATGGTCTATAATATATTTAGTTTATTTAACAATTTGGAAAAAATATTTCTTGTAACGCATTTTTAATCTATGACACGTTGTGGTCTAGTGATATGAGTGCAGATTTTACTTTATATTATGAGTGATTCCGTCGACCATCGTTGAAGTCCCGCCGTAAAATCTTCCACCAGTTCATTGTAGGTGAAAAGATCTATAGATAGAAGAAAATAATCGATTTAAGTTTTATATTTGGTAATTAAACTTTAAAATTCTAATCTTAATTTTTTTTTTTGAAGTGTGGAAGTGGAGAGGTTTGCTTACTTTGGGATTGCCTGCAATTTAATATGAGAAAATTATAGGCTATGCCATGAACAGTAAAAAAAAGTTGTGTCCAGTGCCATTTTGCGCAACCTCTTCTCCCGCCTGCCACAAGGTCATTGTTAAAAGACCATATTACCCTTCTCACCAATGAAATATTCAAACACAATTTTTTTCTTTTCTTTTTTTATCTCTCTCTTCTTCTTCATCTTCTATTTCTTCTTCCCACAACAAACAGTTCAAGAGGACCAGATCCGATGGACAAACTTCGGCGGACCAGATCCGACATACCAGATACGGCGGACCATAGTCAATTCCGGACCATAGTCAATTCCGGTGAACCAGTTCCGTTGACCAGTTTCGGCAGACCATATTTGACGGACCACTTCCGACAGACCATAACTCCAGCAGACGAGTTCATGCAGACCACAGTCAGTTTTGATGAACTATAACTAGTTCAAGTAGACCAGATTCGGCTGACCAGTTTCGACCAACCAGAAAGGCGAGTTCCGATAGACCAGATCTGGCGGACGAGTTCAGACGGACCATAGTCAGTTCCTACGAACTTTAACCTGCTCCGGCAGAGCAGATTCCGCAGACCAAATAAACCAGTTACGATAGACTAGTTGTGGCAAACCAAATCCGGCAAATCATTTTTGGCGGACAAAAACTAGTTACGATAGATTTATTCTAGGTGACAAAAACCGGCGGACCAGTTCCAGTGACTTGATTCGGCGGACCAGCCTGACGATGAAACAAGTGATGCGGTTATTAATCTATGGACAAGATTCGGTGAACCAATTTTGGTCGACTAGTTATGGCGGATCAGATGTAGTGGACCAGATCTTGTGGACGAGTTCTCTTTTTTTTTTCTATCGCTTTTTTGTCTTTTTCTGCGAGGGCAAAATCGTCAATTCACGGCTGCACATAATAACTATTATGGTATGTTTTGAAAATCGTTGGGAAAATGGCAATTTAACATTTTTGAGTTTTGAAAAGGGCATAGCCCACAAAATTCCCATTTAATATCTTATTTAACTGGACCGCTTAGACAATAAACGCTGACCACATCTGTGAACGTTCCTGAGTCCTGAGACTGTGTAAATCAGTTTACATCACATAAATTTTATCTAAGAACATTTCAATAATCTCTCAAATTTTCAAATTTGAGATTCTTTTACTGATCTCCAACAATTTTGTTTTTTATCAAACATCTTCAAATCATCAAATTTGGTATTTATACTAGTCAAAATCCAATATATATTATATTTAGTTTGATTTTTGTCCCAATTATTTATGCGATATACAAATAAACACATGGGCATAACAAACAATACAATAAATGGGTAGAGCTTCATAAAACCCTCTTAGCAAGGCAGAGACAGTTTTCTGAACAAATCAATTTTTCCAACATGATTCAAAGTATGATTGACACAAATCATTCACCGAACATAACCTCACCAAATCATGAAGTCCGTGATCGAGAGATTGTGAAGATGTTTCCACGAAATCACTTTAGCAAGTTTTTGTAGTTTAAACAAAGCCAATTTAACCAAGCAATCTAAAAGACTAGAGGAGACCACTAGTCAACACACAATGTCCATACACGTTACAATGTAGAAATGCACTACATAATAAAAAGAAACTGCAAAATAATATAACACTATAAAAAGAAAACACTCAAAATAGCTTTGATAACAAAGTATTAAATTCTTTAATTGATAACATTAAGAGTAAAATAGTAGATCTTTGGCAAAAAAATTCGAATAGCACTTAAGACAAGATCATATAACATACTCTGGTTTCGGGCGAGAGAGGATATATGAGTTTTACCCAAAATCTCTTAATTGTTAAAATAAAATAAAAAGAGTAAAAGAGTATAAAATGTAATAGACGAGAGTTATAACTTTTCATTCTTTCATGGTAATCATTAATATTATCCCTACCTTGAAAAACATAAATAAATTTGATAATTTAGCTATTTAACTAACCTATGAACAAAAAGATATTAAAAAGCTAAACACCTTTAAGTAGTCTGAAGTTTGGATAACTATCAAATAGGCCTCTAGCAATTGGCCCCTAGTCCCTAACATTTGGCTCCTAGAGACTTAAACAATGCAATGTTAAGAATTTCGCCGAAGATTACCAAAGTACCAACACTCTCACTCTCTTTCAGTTCTCTATGGATTCTATATAAATGCATAACATGTCTCTCTCATTGTCACTCACTAGGAAAATTGAACATGACAACTTCTATGGTCTCTTCCATGCTTCTCTTTCTCATTCTCCTTCTTGTATTTCCACATATCAATAATGCTCTTGGCGCACCAATGGATCTCCAAGCATTTAGTAAGTTATTACTATTATACTATTACTAGTTAGGTTTATGTAGTTGTGTTTAAACCTGATTTTGGTTTGGTTTTTTTCGAACTAATCTTCTAACCCAAATGTTTTGGTGCAAAAGAGAGAAACCTTCCTGATCAAGTGGCGGGCAAATTCCCAAGAGTTACTTCTGGCGTAGAGGATGCTTCTCAACAGGCTATAAATGCTGTTCAAAGTATTCCGGATGTTAAGGATCTTGCTGACGATGCTAGGGATGCGGCGCAAAACAGTTTAGCGCAACACAATGCAGCACAAGACAAAAGTTCAAATGGGTTTTGGTTTTGGTGCTCTGTTTTAGTCATTTCTCTTTTCTTTAAGCTTTAGTTGAAATGAGTGTTTCTGTGTTTACTTATGGACTTAGGGTTCCATTTTTCTCTTTGTGTGTTTTCTTCCATGGCTCAGCTCAACTCATCTCACTTTTGCTTCAATGCGTTGGATGCGTTTGCGGTTTCTGTTGTTCCTCATCTATGTATATGCAGATGTTTGTGATGTTTGTCATTTCCCATTTCTATTGACCTTTTATTTATCTTCGCTTTCATTGTTTACATCGTTTTTATCAAGTACATGTATCAACGAATATGTTCTCAACTGATTTAGACAAGTCTTTGGTGCTATTACCAAATCTTTACCTTAGACACTGTCTTCATCACTAGAACTCGAGCTTTCCTCTACACCACCCGTTATAATGTTACTCTCAATGGTTGATGTAGGAGTTACAGAGGTCACAACGCCAACAGACGGATTTCGGTTAATAGTTGTCGTTGTTGCTCTGGAAGCAACCAGTCCTTGCTCCTTTATAGTTTCTCGAGCGGCTCTTTCCTTAGCTTTCTTGGCTCTTTCAAGAACCTCTTCCTGTAATCAAACGTGTTACCAAATTATTAACTCCAACGCCGTAAATGAAAACCGAATCACACAGTAACAAGACATAAGATATAATCTGTATACTCTCAAATACCTGTCGCTATTAGGCGTAATTTTGGAAACAAATCGCAGTTTTTCTAATGCCTTTCTACTAAGCTCACACACGTCAGCTACGTATTAACTAAAATTTTTGAGTAGCTTCTATAGTTCTATGGTGAATAGAGTATACAAACCAAACACAATGCCGTTCTTGGAGAGCTTAATGTCTTCAATACCATTTACACTTACGAATACATTTCACTACAAGCATTTAGGCAAACTAATCGCAGTTTTCTAATTCCGTTCTACTAAGTTTACACACCTCAGCTAAACATTTTGAGTATCTTCTACAGTTCTATGGTGAATAGAGTTTACAAAACCTAACACAATGCCGTTCTTGGAGAGCTTAATGTCTTCAATACCATTTACACTTTCGAATACACTTCCCTGTTAGCATTTAGAGAGTAAATTCGCAAACTATCACGGTTATCTAATCCCGCTCTACTAAGCTCACACACCTTCTCAGCTAAACCTTTTGAGTATCTTCTATAGTTCTATGGTAACTAGAGTTAACACAATGCTTTTTCAACACAAGATTGAACAAGAACAAGAATTGACAAAAACTAACCTGAATCTCTTGAACTTGCTTCTGTTGCTCAGCTTGAAACCTTCCAATAGTACCCAAAACTTCTCCAACAGTAGACTCAATCCTCTCATTAATAACTTCAGCTAAAGCTTTCCCCAAAAAGAAAGCATCTAACACACTCTTGTTCTCATTCTCACCTACCCACAAAACAAAGACTCCATTTTTATTCAACCAAACCCTAAAAATTCACTATAAACCCTAAAAATCGAAACTTTCAAAGAGATTGAGTCTTGAATCAGTACCATTGGTGCTTTTGTTGGAGCAATTGCATTGTAAACAAGTTCGTCTTCTTCGCGGCGGCTCTAAACCTAATCGTAACCGGCGAAACTCAAAATTGGAATTGCGGAGGATGAAGTGATGATGACGAGAGGGTTGGGTGTAGGGATTTGAAAGAGAGAAGGAGGAAGAAGATGGAATCGTGAAGCTACTCATCATCTTCTCTGGTCTCTCTCTCTCTCTTACTCTGTGGCCGTCTGAGGAAGATGAAACAGGTTTCGGGTTTTTTGACAAGGCGAAACGGATTCGAAATTATTGGGCCTTTAATGGGCCTAAACTGTATAATAGCATGTCTTTTGGGTAGGACCCGTTCTGTTTAGAAATATAAAACCCAATAAAGTTATTTAGGCTTACCCGTACTCTATCCGAACCGGTTTTTCCGGGTCGGGTTCCGGATTGGGTATTCGGGTTCAGTTTATGTTTTTAACTTAAAATTTAGTTTTATGATTAAATTTTAATAAAATATCAATATTATTTTGATTAGATAGTTTTGATTTTTGAAGGGGTTTTATCAAATAAATTAACAAAAAAAAGTTTTGTTGAGAAAAACTAGGTGACTCGACATAGTTTTTTTTAGGGTTAATTGCGTGTGGACACACTTTCAAAAGTTTAATTGCACGATGACACACTTATAAACTCATGGTACATTTTGGAAAAGTTTTTTTACTCTCTCACCCTCACTTTGACAACATATTAACTCATTTGTCATCCTAAATAAAATGCCACACAACTAAACACTTACGTTCTTTTCCTCTTCATTTTCTTCCTCCTCCTCCTTTTCGATTCTTTCCCTTTCTTCCTCTTTCCCTTTCTTCCTCTTTCTCTTTCTCATTTTTTATCTTTTTTTTATAATCACTTTATCTTGTTATTGTAACAATATTTTATATTTATTTTTGTACAATACTCAAACTTTCTATTTTTCCTATATTTGAAGATGCATTTTACTATATTTTTGGATGAATTATATTATATATATTATCCATTTTTAGTTCACCAATTATTCGCTGATAATTTGATGGTCAATTGTAATATCATTTCTGGATACATACTTGTGTTTTGATATTTTAACAACATGTGGTTACTTTTTACATGTTTTAGTATAAATGAGTGCATATGTACATGAGAACATTCCAATAAAAATGAGTGTAAATGAGTGTGTCTCTGTACATGTGAACATATGGACAATAATCATCTATCCAACGTCGAAGATGAGAGTATTAAGAATGATTGGAAGCATTTTTTGGACAGAATAGGTCATCGGTATCCAAAAAACCTCATCCACATGATCATTTTTTGGACAGAATAGGTCATCGTATGAATTATATTATGTATATTATCCATTTGTAGTTGACCATTTGGTCGCTGATAATTGGATGGTCAATTGTAATATCGTTTCTGGATATACATACTTGTGTTTGGACATTTTAACAACATGTGGTTACTTTTTACATGTTTTAGTATAAATGAGTGATTATGTACATGAGAACATTCCAATAAAAATGAGTGTAAATGAGTGTGTCTCTATACATGTGAACATATGGACAATAATCGTCTATCCAACGTTGAAAATGAGAGTATTAAGAATTATTGGAAGCATTTTTTGGACAGAATAGGTCACTACCGATTTAAATATGTAAAAACGAAAAACAAAAAATAAAAAAACTCAGAAGCACTTACCTAGATCTGTCATCCAAAGTGATTGAGAAATTAGTATATACAAGTTTAACATAAACGAGAAAACTCAGAAGCACTTACTCTATTCAAGTTTAACATAAAAGAGAAGACACTTACCGTGATTTTGTGTTCTCTATATGTTGGAGAAGACGAAACAGCTATAAACCACTAAGTTTTAGGGAAATTTAGCTTCCCTACCATCATTTTGAAAAACGTTTTTCAAAATACCATTTTTGAGGAGGTCTTGTCCCAAATAACATTTTCCTAATTTTTTGGACCACTATGCCCTTCTTCTCACTTCTCTTAAAATTGATGGGACACATACACACCTATTGAGATCTGTGACACAAAAGAAGGAAAAGATAATAACATAAAATTATAACAAAACTTTTATTTCTTTCTTTTTACTAACCAAATAAACACAAACTTTCTTTATACGATGAAAAATAAGAGTGACAAACATCGCTTTGATCGAGAAAGTGTCCATGAATAAGATTTTGTCCATCGTATATATAACTAGTTATGTCCATATACTAACTATACATATGTCCATATGTCTATCATAAACAAACATTATCTCTGCATTTTATTGGTTGGTTTGGGTTTTTAAATTATTGTTTAGGGTTTAGATTTGATAACTAAACAAAAATGATTTTGGTTTGGGTTTTTAAATATGTTGTTAGGGTTTAGATTTGATAACTAAACAAGAAAATAGACAACACCGTGGACAACAAGACCAATACCATGGACAACAAGGACAATACCGTGGACAAAACCATAGTTAAACGAAACATCATTTCAGCATTTTATTGGTTGGTTTGGGTTTTCAAATTACTGTTTAGGGTTTAGATTTGATAACTAAACAAAAATGATTTTGGTTTGGGTTTTTAAATATGTTGTTAGGGTTTAGATTTGATAACTAAACAAGAAAGATAGACAACAATGTGGACAATAAGAACAATACCATGGACAACAAGGACAATACCGTGGACAAACCATAGACAAACGAAACATCAAGAAAGTTAGACAACACCGTAGACAATAAAAACAATCCTCTGTCCACGGATTTCTCAAAACTTGTAAGAACATCTCTATCCTTCAATAAAAACTTCTCTTTATCTGTCTCTTTTTCTTCGCAATGTTCATACAAGTTTTTAATTTTGTTTTTTTCCTTTCTAACCGGAGATGTCTACATAGCTAATTAATTAAAATGTTTGTTTACCATTAATACACATGTATTGTGTTTTCCAATCAACCGTAAAGGTGTCATTAGTAAAGGTGTAAAGGTGTCAGTAAAGGTGTCAGTACACATGTAAAGGTGTCAGTACCTTTTATTTTTATTTTCTTCTTTCCTCCTTTTTGTCAATTCGATAAAGAAGATACACAAGGTTAATATAGTATATTCATGTGAAAAAATGGTATATGGGATAAGGTTTGGAAATCGTGGTATTTCCAAAAACATAAAGTATAAATCATGGTAGAATTGAAAAAATTCCCTAAGTTTTATGGGTTTATTATATTCTTGGTTAATTAAATTATATAATTAATAGTAACTAAAACATAAACGAAGTTACGCATCAAACGGACGACGACGTCGACAATTAGAAATGGACGAGACACAGTTTTACTTTATTAGGACAGTTTGTGTCTTTTTTTGGCACAAACAGTTCAAAAAGTACACAACAATTGGAAAGTGTGCCTTTCGTAACTTCTCCCCCTTAAAGTGTGTTAGGTGGTAAATCCCCCTTTTTTTTATGTCTTATTAACAATGTTCTTAAATTTTCAACAATGGTAAGCAATATATATGGCAACTAATATATTTTGGATAAAGTGTTAGAAATTGCTACTTTGTTTGTAACAAATTACTACTACAATTTAAATGAAATTCAAATGTTAGGTGTTATAGATATATACTTCATTTTCATTATTTACTTGATGTAATACGTACTTGTCAAAACAAGTTAGCTACAAATAGCCAATAATTACTGTCTTTGGTGAAAATAGGTTACTACAAACTATATAGAAATTAATTTAATAAGCACCGGAAGATGATCAGGATGATAAATATCAAAACAAAAACCATGAATTTAAAGCAAAAGTGGTGAAAACTGGAACTTGCTTATGGTAAATAATACTCCCTCTGTTTCATTATAATCGATGTTTAAGGTTTTGGCACACTAAATAATAAAACATATAATTTACCCATTTTCCATAAAAACATCATTAACTAATATGAATTCAACCAATAAGAAAATATGATGTAAAATATAATTGGTCAAAAAATATTAAATACATGAAATTTGTGCATAGGAAATTGAAAACATCACTTATACTGAAACAAAAAAAATGGGCTAAAACATCTTTTATAATAAAACAGAGGGAGTATGTCTTAATTTTATTGGCTTTTAAAATAGATCATGAAATTTCGTTTACTTTTCTAAAAAATATCACAAACATTCGTTAATTTTGCCAAATTTGGCAAAATTTTAAATTATTTGTGAGAACAATTTAACGGTTTGATAATCCATTAATATATTTTGTTAAATTGTAGAAACTTAAGTTTGCAATTTATTTACAAAATCAAATTATTGATTTTATTTCCATTAACATATTCCCTTAACATCGTGCCTTATTTGGTAAACTCAACAAATATTTGTGATAAAAATGGTTGTACGATGGTGTAGCTTGTAATAACCACATTCCTTGATACGAATCGTACATATTAGAGGTAGAAATGTTTGAATGAGATAATTCGTTTAACTCGGTTGTTCTCATTAAGAGCTAAAGTATTGACTTCAATTTGTGTGTTATATGCTCTTATGTTTCTCTATTGGGACTACAATATCTAAACTGGAGTAAAATGGACTAGCGATCACGAGTTAGCACTAAATAAATATAAAAATTTACTCCAGTTTTTGAATTTTTTGAAGAAACCCTAAGAAAAAAACTATGTTTGTATTGTAGATCAATTGTAAAACTATTTATTTATATTTTCATGTTTATATATCTAATAAACTACAAATTGAACCAAAAAAGTCTTGAGAATATAATGTATTTAGCATACAAGTTATAATGTGACTCATTAGAACTTGTTCATATGACTAGGTAAATCAATTAAGCTTGAAAATATAATTTATTTATTAATAAAAGTAATAAATTTAGTAAGTTAAGGTAAGTACACAAAAATTGGAAAATATTTTAGTGGTTTAAAACCATTGTAAGGTTTACAAATCTATGTAGAATTCATTGATTCCATGTCGAATAAACAGAATTTAAAAGGAAAAAAGTGATTTAGAAAATCATGCAAAGTGGATTTTATCAAAAAAAAATGGTCATTCTACCAGTTTCATACAAATTTAAAAATGTGAAAATAGAATTTATATCTTTGTTAATGCACTAAAATTGTCTCTCTCATAATCTAACTAATAATTAAGCTTAAAAATTGGAGATAAATTTGAGATTTGATATAAAAATCTTTATGAAACAAAAATGTATTGTAAAACATAGGGGTGGGCGTTCGGGTAACCATTCGGGTTCGGGTCGGGTTTTTCGGGTTTTTCACTATCATAGTTGGTACAAAGCAATTGAAGCTCTGATGCTATGTTCACTATCTCACCATAACACTTGTGTGCATTCAGAGTTGTAGAAGCTGAGACTACCAATGTGGCATCGTAAAAAATGATACGGAACCTATTTAACCTTTCAATTGCACGCCAATCAGCCATTGAAGGAGGTCCAATCCGTTTTGCACCATTTTCATACTCCAAGAAATGATCATTATACAGTTTGTCTTCAAGCTCCATCTTATCAAATGCTACCTTGTACTTAACTGCCCTTAACAACATCAAATATGTGGAGTTCCACCTAGTCTTTACATCTAATGGTAAACTACCCCTTGTCATCCTACCAGAGTCTACCTTAAGATCAAATGCTTCTTGCCTTCTGCCTCCTGATCTAAAATATAATATAGCATTACGAACTGCAGTCACACTATCATCTATTTTATTGAATCCGTCCCTCACAATTAAATTAATAATATGACCAGCACATCTCATATGTAAGAAATCTCCTTTCATCACTAAAGAGTCCTCAGATAGCAAAGAGAAACTGGACTCAAACAATGACAATGCATTACTATTGGCTGTTGCTTTGTCCACAGACACACAAAAGACCTTTTCTATTCCCCAGTCAGTTAGGCATTCAAGAAGGACCTTAGCAATAGTCTTACCTTTATGATCTGTGACATACTTGAATCCTATGATCAGCTTCTTTAATCGCCACTGAGCATCAATATAATGTGCTGTTATAACCATATAACTTGAACCTAAAAATATGAAGATACATTAAGCCTTACACATTAAACAAGTCTAACAAAAAAATATGAAACAAGATATTGATTAAAATAAACATTACCAGTGATCTCACAAGTCCAAATATCTGTTGTTAGTGAGACTCTTTGCTTGTTAGTTAGAAACCATTGTTTCATAGTAGCCTTCCTATCAACATAAATCTGAACAACGTCTCTTGTTGCTGTCCTTCTTGAGTGAGGCTTGTACATGTTTATCTTGATGATATACATAGAGAAACATACATATATTTAAGTTAGATATAAAATAAGTTGATAAAAAAAGAACATTACAAAAGAAAATTGTTTACCTTGTCACAATAGTGTTTCCAAGCCATGCATTCAACGAAAGATAATGGCAACCCTGCTAACACAAGTAACTCATTCGTTGCTTTTCTGAAAATACTCTCAGACACTTTTCCACTATGAAAACTCCCTTGCATATTAATAACTTGCTGAGTCGTATCTTGTCCTTCTTTCCATGCTTTGTATGACTTACATATTTCAAGATGATTCCACATGTTTTTAGTCCCTGACTTTGATGGACATGAATAATCTTTCTTGCAATGGTGACAGACACACTTGTCACGGTTTTCTCTTCTTGTGAAATGAGTCCATACATCTGACCTTGGGGGGATTATCTTCTTTGCTTTTGGTTGTTCAGAAGTAGCTCCATTTTCTTGTGTTTGTTTCCTTTTTCCCCTTTGATCCGGAGTCGGCGTAATAACTTCTTCTTGTTCATGTTCTTCATTATCTCTATTAGCTTTGTTAGGAGGAGATGATGAATCCATCTGCATATTAAAAACATACTAAATTAGAATTCTTAAAACAATAAAACATAAAACGAACATAGCAACACAAACGTGTATACGTGATGATGATTAAAAAAACAGAAACACACACAAGCATGGATTTTAATATAATTGATATAAGCATGGATTTAACGTGGATGAGAGTGGATTGATATATTATAATTGATACACACACACTAGCAAGGATTACATCATTCGTAATAATTAATAAAGAATTAGATTGGTTAGTGTTGATTCATATTGTTAGTTCTGAATTCATCTTCTGTCAAGTGTTAAGTTATTTGCTAAAAACTTCAAATCGACGAAGAAGAGGTGATTTACCTGACTTTGCCTTGAGAGACCTCGGATGGAGGAGAGTTAGCGAATGATGAGAATGATTCTTTTAGGGTCTCCAGTTTGTTAAATTGAGAATTTTCTTGATTTGGTTTGAATAGCACAATTATCGGGATATGGTAAATAGAGAGAATCAAGAGATTTAGAGGTTAGAAGAAAGGCAAGAATCGATATTATACAAAGATCCTAACATATATTATATAACATTGGATGATTTCGGATTTTTATTTGGGTGTTCGGATATACCCGATCGGGTTCGGGTACCCAATTTATTTATTATAAACATCCAACCAGATATTTGGTATGAAATATACCCAACCGAAACTGGTTACATCGGGTCGGGTTCGGTTCGGGTTTCGGGTACGGGTATTTTGCCCACCCCTAGTAAAACAACACTCTTTGTGAAATAGAAAGAGTATATTGCAAACAAAATATATTTCTTTCTATAAAAATTTCTGCATATTCGCATAACTAATGTTTGAGAGATGTAATGAAAAGAGTTATAAGTAGTACAATTATTATTTTTTCTTTTTTTTGTTAGTTTTTAACCTAATGATTAGGCCTGGGCATGATTTCCAAATCGAAGCAAAAAAGTTAAATCTGGACCAAAAATTTTGAACAAATTAATAACTTGAATAGAACTATAGTAAAAACTTTAATAAATTAAAAACATTGAGACGGTGATATTTTCTTGATATATAGAATCATTAACTGAAGATCTATATATTAATTAACCTGAAAACCAATTCGAAATCATAGAGATATATAAATTTAACGACGTAAGAATTTATAGATTTTATAATGTATATCGAATTATTTGAATTCGAGCTATGTAATACCAAAGTGACCAAAACTCATTAAGGGAAGTAAACATTTTTAAATAGCAAACTATACATAAAAAAAAACTAAAATGTACAATCTTAATTAGAATTAGTTACTTAATATTTTTATTTTATTCTTTTTTCAGAAACCAAACCAAACAAAACAAAAACACAATTTGATATTAATTCCGGACGAGATTTACTTATTAAAATATTAAAAACTAGATTTTAACATGCGATACACCAAACCAAAACAGCTTTATCCCAAATAAACCGTTTCCAAATTCCCTAAAAAAAGAACTCAAAACATAACTAGAACTGATTAACCGAATGTACATATACATATAAAAACACCATTAAACAAAAAAAAAACGCGACACCGTCAAAACAACGACGCGTCGTCGACATATACTTAACGGAGTTTACACAGCTCCTTTGCAAATCTCTAGTTTTCATCTATAATATATAAACCCCTCTCCTCACCTCTCTCATCTCTCTCTCTCTCCCTCCCTCTCCCTCTCTCTCCTCTCTCTAGATCACTCACATTCTCTCTCTGTATCAGAGAGAAGAGAAAAAGCTCTAACAATGGTCGTCCTTACAAGAACACTGTTCTCAATCTCAGCAGCTCTAGTCATAATCATATCACTCTTTGTCCATGTAAATGCGTAAGTCTTACATTGTCATCTCCCATTTGGTTTTTTGTTTCTATCGTTCGGACAAAGATTCTTATGTCCGAACAATGCAGAGTTCAAGAAACAAGGGAAACGAAACAAGAAAGCTCAAGAAACACATCAACGGTTGATAAGTGAGTTCTCTCACTTAGATTTTGATCTCAGCCGTTCGAAATTTGTTTGTCTATACGATCTTTAAAACGACGTCGCTTTGCATGTTCTTGTTTTGATAGTGAATGGCATGAACATGCTGTGAAAGACCCAGATGAAATAGCAGCAATGGTCGATACGTGAGTCTCTCTCTACTCACTCACTCACTATATACTTAACCTATTATAAAATAATATAAACCTACTTTATTAGATATATTTCGTATTAATAACGTTTTTAAGATTAGTCAAATCATATATATGTGATGCTTTAACTTTACTATATAACCTATGTAAAGTTGTTGTAGTAGACCAAGAAAAACAATTTCAACAATCTATAAAAATTTCTCTGACTTATGTAAAAGTTAAAAAAGTTAGTAATGTTGTTTTTTATAATAAGCATGCATTATTGTGATGCATAGAATTATAAGTTTTCTCAATATATGTGACTCTGCTGCTGACTGAGATGTACTTTTGTAATTTCTTAACTCTGCAAAAATAAAATAAAATAAAAAAAGAGTAACATGTGAAAACACTTCTGACAAGAAGAACAGTATTGGTTTATTGAATAAAACCACAAACCGTGATTCCCATTTATACCTTACCTTACTATTTTTCTTTCTTAAGATCCACCGACGCCTTTGTATTAATGTTTTCAATTTTACATACATTTACAATTTTACATACATACTCTCTCAAAGAGAGATGATTTTAAAAAATAAAAACATTTATGGAACAATGGCATTAGATTTTAGAATTATTTGAATATCTTCTACATATCAACTTATCGATATAAAATTTTCATCGAAAAACTATTTTTTTTTCGTTTTTTTTGTCATCACATCGAAAAACTAATTTGGGATTGAAAAAAATATAATTTATCGACGTATTAATTTATCGAATATGAATTTATAGACTTTTATTTTATACTGTATATATTTTATCATTTTATAGGCAATGAGAAATGGTATTAATTAACTATCTAAATGATTTACTTCTTTATTGATTTAATATTTTGAATATTATATTAAATGACTATTTATGATCAAACTAACAACAATTAAACTGTTTGTTCTTATTAAATTACAACTCTTTTTTAACAGCAAATTAATGTATGGATATCATAACTAGTTTTCATAATAGATAAAACAATCAAATACAACCATTATCATAATAGAAGAAATTAATGTATTATTTATTAAGACAAATAGTTAATAAAGATTAAAATCATTCTTTTTAGAAAATGTATCAGCATTACTTTATTCCTAATTTACTACTATTAAAAAAAATGCTACATGCAATATGATTAAATCCTTAAACCCAATAATCTTTCACATAAGTTTATTAGTTAACAAAGAATTTTTATTTTATTTTTTTATTTTACTGTTAATTTTCAATAAAATATTATATACATATTTGTACTATATTTTATATAAATCTGAATCTGGCACCCATAGTTTTTGCATTTAATTTCGGAATTACAGAGAAAATAAATACTACTCCAAAGGTTTCCTATATAGATCGTCTCCCATGAACATGAAAATATAAAATTCCTTTTTATACAAAAGACAACATTTAATTTTACCCACGTTGGGCCACCTCACCAAAACCTCAATTCAATGCTTCCTTATATTTTGCATTTTCCTGTCTCCTCTACTTTGACTTTCTTGTTTAACTCTCACTAGGGTGGTATCTACAAAATCCCAAAACTCACGGGGTTAATTTCAAACTTTTAAAAACTTTGTTCTCTTTTTCGTAATAACATTATTTTGCGGATACATGCAGGAGCATACGTAACAGTACGTACAGGAGAAAGCTAGGCTACTTCTCCTCTTGTTCAACAGGAAACCCGATCGATGATTGTTGGCGATGCGATAAAAAATGGCATCGCCAGAGAAAACGGCTAGCGGGTTGCGCGATTGGTTTCGGCCGTAACGCGGTCGGAGGCCGTGATGGACGTTACTACATTGTTACTGATCCATCTGATCATGACCCTGTTAATCCTAAACCTGGTACACTACGTTACGCTGTGATTCAAGACCAACCTCTATGGATTGTCTTTAAACGTGACATGGTCATTACTTTAAGACAAGAACTAATCATGAACAGCTTCAAAACCATCGATGGTCGTGGTTCGAACGTGCATATAGCTGGTGGTGCATGTATAACGATTCAGTACGTTACCAATATTATCATCCATGGGATTAATATACATGATTGTAAGAGGACTGGTAACGCTATGGTTCGGAGTTCTGAGAGTCATTATGGTTGGAGAACTATGGCTGATGGTGATGGGATCTCGATTTTTGGATCGAGTCATATTTGGATTGATCATAATTCTCTTTCGAATTGTGCTGATGGATTGATCGATGCAATTATGGGATCTACTGCTATTACCATCTCTAATAATTATATGACTCATCACAACGAGGTTAGATCACACTTTTCATTGATTCTAGTAGTTCATGTACGTTTACCAAAATTTGCGGACTAGTTAGGTCTATATATAATATATCAAATGATGTATTATTAGTTATTAGTGGTAATGATTTAGGTGGTATATATTAGTATCGGTGCAAAAGTTATGAGTGGTGATGATTTATGAATGCATTTACGCGGTCTAGGAATGGGACATTGGGACTAGAATAATTCGGGTAACATAAGCAGTATGTAATAGATGGTTTTATTTGTTTTTGAAACATAGATAAAATAGGGATAATTCCCAAACAAAAGCATGAGTTATTAAATATTTGCCAGAAAAAATGTTTTTGTTATAAAAATTGGGAGAAAAAATGTTTTTGTTATAAAAAAAATAGGCAAATTATTTTCTGAGAAATAATAAATAAGTAACGTTCTCGAAATTTTGCCTAACATGTAGTGTTTGTGATGTCAAAATAGTTACTAGAATTTATATAATTTGGGAAGAATTTTGGATATATATTTTTTTTGGTGAATAACTAAGAGGTTCTGGCCGAACCTCTAGTAATTATCAATTGTGGATATGATAATTTCTAAATTAATTATATACTCAAACGGGTGATCGGATACGCGTCTTATATCTTATCCTAAATCGATCGGCATGCCTTAGTTTAGGTTCGTGTTCTTATGATCAGAAAATTGGTTGTTCTATAGATGGCAGTGTGTTCATTATTTTGAGGTCTTTGGTTCATCTTCTAATCAAAGATTAAGTTTCCTAAATGCAAACTTAATTGTTTAGCTCATTACTCAAAAATATGCACAGTAATTTAAAAAGTTAGTGTTTTATATCTTTTTTTTCCTTGGCCTTATCTTCAAAAGCTGACAATAGATAATAATGCAGGCTATTTTGTTGGGGCATACTGATTCCTACACAAGAGACAAAATGATGCAAGTAACCATTGCGTACAACCATTTTGGAGAAGGTCTTATACAGAGAATGCCAAGGTTTGTGTCACATCATTTTCTTGGGAGTTCTTTTATTTCTTTCTATGGTTTCATATGTTTTAGAGTGTTTGTATGTTTGGTGTAATTTCAGGTGCAGGCATGGATACTTCCACGTAGTAAACAACGATTACACACATTGGGAAATGTATGCAATTGGTGGGAGTGCTAACCCTACCATCAATAGCCAAGGAAATCGGTTCCTTGCCCCGGGAAACCGTTTCGCCAAGGAGGTATTCGATAAAACCGGTTGCTCAAAGATGCATCAAGCTAGAGGATATAATTTGATCATTCTAAATAACATAATGAATGATTTAATATATATATTTTGGCAGGTGACAAAAAGGGTTAATGCAAGGGAAGGAGAATGGAACAATTGGAACTGGAGATCACAAGGAGACTTAATGCTCAATGGTGCATACTTCACTTCATCTGGAGCTGGAGCTTCTTCAAATTATGCAAGAGCCTCTAGTTTGGCTGCTAAATCATCTTCCCTTGTAGGAATGCTTACCTCTAGCTCTGGTGCTTTGAAATGCAGGATCGGTACGCTTTGTTAATTATTTGTATTTGTATAACCAAAACAGAACATATATATATATATAGAAAAATATATGGAAAAGTGTAGTATAGTGCATTGCTCTAGTAGTACTAGTATATAATATCTACAATATATATTCTTCTATCACAAACTCGTTGTTCAATCTCTGCTTGTTCCTGGTGTTTCTTCCTCATTGATATGTCTCCAAGAGAAAGGATCCCAAATGCATAGACATCAGTTCTTGATTTGCATTTCTTCATCTTGAAGAGTTTTGCTGCTTTGTAATCGTGTTTTCGACCTCGTCGGCTACATCTTGTACCATTAACTTTGTCAAGACTAAACTCATTGAGCCTTGCCAAGAAAAAGTCATCAACAAGTACATTCCCTGATCTAACATTTCCATGGATTATAGGATCACTTCTTTTCTAGTGTGAAGATAAGCCAATCCCCGCGCTATTCCAAGCACATTCTTGTGTATCCTAGCCCAATTCGAAACAAGTTTTCTTGGTTTAATTTATGCAAATCAAGAAGGTAGCCATAAGACTTAACATTAGGATCAAAGGAAAGAAGTTGGAGGCTTTCTCTTCTTGTCCACATTTTCTAAGTACAAGGAGGTTGGTTCTCTTCTGCTCCTGGTTCAAATCTCCTATGAGATGGAGAGACATTGTTTGAATCAAAACGGATACATAAAAGTTATGAAGTTAAACTTATAGATTGTAATCTTATATTCGTTAAATTTATTAAAATAAATTAGTTAGAAAATTATTGTTTATCAAATTATTAAATGAGAGAAAAATAAAATTATCTTGTTTTTGGTTTTGTCAGTCTCCTCATTGATTAAATTAAATGAGGCCTCTATAGTTTACACAAACCAAAATTTCCGTACGGGCTAAACCGGTTTTTCGACATTTCAGTTCACGTTCGATTAATCACTATAGGTTAACCGATAGATTAATCAGATTAGTTTGGTTGTTGTATCATTTTGTTTTATCGAACTGAGAAGCAACCTGATTCTTTAAACAAAATAACCAGATTAAACCAAAATTCCTAGAAAATTAATAACCAAAATCCAAAATGATTTAATCTAAATGCCATAAATTTCTTGAAAAAGTCAGTTATCCGATATATTATTCCCCTCTGAATCTGATTATCTGTGGACTACATTTATAAAACTGTTTTTATTGTCGGTTATTAATAATTTAGATTGAAAATTTATTTTAAGTTTATTTGTATCATTATATCTATTTGCTATTATCTCATGAGATAACTAATATAACATGCACTCACAAGATGGTTTTGAGTCCAATACACAATTTTAAAAAATAAAATGAATTTTCATACTTATTTTTTGTTTTGCATTATAATTTTATAAGAAATATATTCCAATATTAAAGAAATAACCCTTTTCGAATTATATAAAAATTGGAAAATTTTGAGATATACTTTTTCGGTGTATAACTTTTTTTTTTTAAATGTCTCTTTCATCTATCAATTTTCAAAAATACCTATTTTTAAATCTGAAGAATTATAAAGTTTTCTAGGGCGTATATGGTACTTCTAGATAAAAATATAATGCGGAAGACTCGACACATATATTTATAAGATTTATAAAAGTTTTTTTTAAAGGTTTACAAGGTTTTTTAAAAAGTTTTGAAAATGTATATATATATATATATTATATAATTTTCCACACTTATAAAGGTAATTTGTTTATATTTCTTTTAGCTTACACACATATTTCTATAAATTTAAAAAATTTAGTGTTTTTTTTATAAATTGGAAAAATGAGTATTAATATAGCTCTTCGCTTTCGAGAAAAGTTTTTGTTGCTACAACCATCATCAACACTACTTCTAACGAAGCTTGGACTTGTGATAACCAGTTTTTCTCTTATTGCTTGACTTGCATACTGCAACAATCATCCATTTGATAGTTTCAATTAGATACTAAGGGTTCTGATAATTTCCAATACTTCAATGTTACTATAATCATAGCAGCGATGCACCTCTCCATTATATAATTATTGTAAATTGCATAAAGAAAAATAAATCATTATGTTTATAAATTATTTTACTTAATATAACAGATTATTTTTATTTAAAATTTACTTGTAAATTAATTTCCAAATTATATTTTGGGCTTATTTTAATACTTCTGATTTCAATTTTATTGTTATCATCTATTTACTATTATATCGAAAGATGACTCATTAAATTTACGATCAAAATGATCTAAAAGTTCCCGTTTATATATATAGTAAACAGCTTAAAAGAATATATCAGAGCTTGTCATGAACTTAGTGAACTAGTTGCAAAAGATAAAGTTTAAAATTGTTAGGACAAATGTGATTGAGTGCAAGTCGTGTACAACAAATTACACATTGTATAGACAAACGAATCATATATTATTTTTCATATCATATTATTAATGAAGATTTAGAGTTATATTTTTTGAAATATTTTTGAGAGAGGCACTTAACTAGTTGCAGCAAAAAAAATTTCAATATAACCATTCCCACTAAAGATATTAGAAGATGTATTGGTATTAGACTATTAGAGGTAACAGTTTCTAAACCAGAACTTCACCAATCACTTGCTTACACCGTCACAAGTTGATCTTAAATCAAAGAACATATAACATCCCTAAGTATTGTATCTGTATACATTTGGAGATCTGTCTCATATTAACAAAACCTTAAGCTTTACTTATACTTGTCCATGATTCTCTTGGCTTCTTCAAGTGGATCATCCATTGACTTAGAACCAGAGCTATTATCTTCTCCTCTTAGTTTTGGAGCTTCATCTTTGTTTAAGGCTATGAATAAGAAATATGCAAATCCCATTGTTCCCTGCAACACTCACTGAAACTTAGCTTTGTAAAGACCGAAAAAATATCGTTGGAAAGGGAAGAAGAGGATTACATACCAATACAAAGAAAGCGGTTGAAAGAAACGACTTGACAACAAACAACGAAACCGCTAATGCTGCAATCGTTACCGAGATTCTAGCAACTGGTCTAGGTACAGAGACCTTTCAAACAAACGAAAATAGGATCATAAGCATAACCAAGTCTAACTTAGAGAGCAGTTTAATCAGTGATGACAAGACTAAGTGAACTCACAGGTACAAGATTGGTTCCAGCTTCGATTCCATCTTTCCCAATACTCCATGCGGTTCTAAGAACTGTACAGTACAATGACACAAACATCCAAATACATTAGCCAGACACTCTTATACACACAAAGAGAGTATCCACACAACAATGACCAAAACCAGTTTCATCAATCAATACACAAATCCTCATATCAACATCCAAAAACATCAGCCAGACACTCTTATGCACACAAAGAGAGTATTGACACAACAATGACCAAAGCCAGTTTCATCAATCAATACACAAATCCTCTTATCCACATCAACTCCAATCAAATTTTACCACACTTACTCCATCAAGAAACTCTTATACACACTACTCCATCAAGAAACTCTTATGCACACTTAATCCATCAAGAAACTCTTATACACACTTCTCCATCAAGAAACTCTTATGCACACTTACTCCATCAAGAAACTCTTATGCACACTTACTCCATCAAGAAAATCTTATGCACACTTACTCCATCAAGAAAATCTTATGCACACTTACTCCATCAAGAAACTCTTATACACACTACTCCATCAAGAAACTCTTATGCACACTTACTCCATCAAGAAACTGATCAAATTATAGGGTAACCACACAACAATGACCAAAACCAGTTTCATCAATCAGTACACAAATCCTCAAATCAACATCAACTCCAATCTAATTCTACCACACTTACTCCATCAAGAAACTCTTATGCACACTACTCCATCAAGAAACTCTTATGCACACTTACTCCATCAAGAAACTCTTATGCACACTCAAGAAACTGATCAATCAGAGGGTAACCACACAGCAATGAACAAACCAGTTCATCAATCAATAGTACACAAACCCTTCAAACACATCAGCTCCAATCCAATTTTACCAATTTCTAAGATTACTCAGTGACCCTTTTGCTCAATTTGATAACTTAGCAATCAGAACAATGAATTCGAGGGTAAAGAACAAACCTTTCAAGAAACTGGACTGAGCAGACAAAACAAGGGTTTTGGACCGAACTCGTTGGGGTTGAAGAGGAGCGATTCGAGTTCTCAAATCCAGTAAAGATGCGTTTTTTAACCTCAAAACAGAGCATGGAGACAGAAACGGAGAATTAGGGAATTGGGTTAGGGTTTGTAAGAATCTTGGAGGGAGAGGTGAAGGAAACGGAGCTAGAGAAGAAGCCATGACATGTGAATTGCTCAAGCGGCTTGATACTAATCGGATTATATCGAACAGTTGTTTTATCTGAATAGGTTTGGTTTTATTCTCAAAGTTTGTCTTTTTATTTATTTTTTCTTTGGTTTTATTAAGTTAAGTTCGTATTTCGTAACCACATCAATTTACTTATTATTGAAGGAAACAAAAGACTCGAGACAAATCTCATATGGTTCATGTGCTATGCAATCAACTACTCAAAGAGAAAGAGTCAAACCAAGTCAACCAAATTCTAATTCTTTTGTACATAATGATTCGTTTATAAAGGAAAGCAATTCCAATTTTAGGCAACTTCTACTATATAACTAGCAGTGATATATCTATGGGGAAAGGCATAGATATGAGAGAAATATTGGGGAATAAATTAGCCCAAAGTAAGAAATGAGAAAACTATGATAGGTGTCAAGAGAAAGAGTCAGAAAGGAGTATAAGCTTAGAAATTTGAGTGCAAAGCCTAATCTTTAATTACTAAAGAAAGAGCAAAGATCCTTGAAATTTTGTGAGGAGTATGTGTTGATAGTGAAGGTTGTCAAATATCGGAAAATAATAAAGGCAAGACTGAATGATCAAGGATCGTCGAGATTACAATAAACAAGTAATAGAGCCGATTTGCTTAATACAAATTATGTTTCTTCTCTTTAGGTTTAGCAAAATATGTTGAGAGCTATGATACGAATTATATGTACTCACTCACTCCAGTTCACTGTCTGTCCTCTTTCAGTTGAGGACACCCTATTTATAGTTGATGGTATGCATCATAACCTACCTCGAGATGTGTATGATGCGCAGGCGGCAAAATGGCTTGTGCGGGCCGATCATCTTTGGGCCAGTCGCTTATTGGGCTGCAAATGATTTTTGTCCTTTTGTGCCGGTAAATCCTTCTAGAAGCCACGTCGACAATTGGTTTACCGGGCGGATTGAAACTATACATGGGGAGAAGCCCATATCCAACAAATTATGAGTGTGTGATAGTACCACAAGCTTAAGAAAACTATGGGAATAAGGGGTGCGTGTGTCAAATAGTATCGAGAAGATATATTTGACATTGGTGGTTAAGGTCTTTCAAACTACCAACATTATAGTTTAGAGCATATACATTAAGAGACATTGATGGAGAAGCTCTTATCCTACCAAACAAATGTGGGGAAGTTTCAATTTCAAGTCTCTCCTTACAGCAAAATCTACAACGACAAAGATACCAAAAACGACGACAATGATAATGCGGTATATTAAAAATACACTAAAGGTAAAAATTAAGAATATCACATTAGAAAATAGTATGCTCAAAGAATGAGTATGGGTATTTGAAAACCTAAAAGAGCTAAAATTAGAGATCAATGACCAAGATTCAATTTCCATGATTTGATGGTCTTTGGATGTCAATGCTGAAGGGTACTCTCGACATGTAGTTGAGGTTACTAGGAAGTAACATATATAGATTATGAATCCATATAGTATAGTCTATGTGGCGATGGAGGTACTAAAAGTCGTCTATATATATCAAATTAATCTTACTAAGATAAACACATGAGTTTCTATATGATCGTAACCAGATTTATTATTATTACACTAATAAAGCAATACGTATTCAGTATTCTCAATACAAACCAAAGTGTAAACATATCAAAACAAAACTCCATTAGGTAAATGACATTTTATTTAATATAGTGAAAATTTTAAAAGTTCAGTATGTTATCATTTGGGGTTCTTGGTGTTCATGCTTCTCTCGACGGTCTTGGCTGTGGCTTTAATGGACTCCTTGGTTTCCTCGGTTTTTCCGGTGACCGTATCTTTGATCTTCTCCGTAGTGTCCTTCACCTTATCCCATGCTTCCTCTGCAGTGTTCTTTGCCTTATCCTTCAAGTTACCCGCAGCGTCCGAGATAGTCTGTGCTCCTTCGTCTGCCTTCTTGGCCACCTAGGTCCATTATATTTAACTTGGTTACTTATATGAAACATTTGTATAGTATATAAAATGTAATAGATACTAAGCTTTATATGCGTTCAAATTTGGTTTTATGTTTTGGTGTATTACCTTTTGTTGAGCCTCAGTGGCTTTGTCACTGACGGATACTTCATTCCTTGTACTCCCCTTTGGTTATTTATTTTTAAAAATTAAAGATGATTAGTATTAGACTATTAGTCACACGTATTAAAATTTGATGATGATACCGAAACGCTACATTCAAAAAATAAAATATAGCTAGATTACATGGATGAGTCTTGTTGGGACAGAAGCACGAGCTCTTGGAGCTCTTGTGATGAGTCTTGCGACGACCGCGAAGCTTGTCATTGTCTTAGAGCTCTTGTTTCTGTTGATTGATATGATGAGTTTGTTAACTTAGTTGAGGTTAAGAGATTTAAGTATATATAATGGGATTGGAAAATGTATAAGGAGATGAGGTACGATGAGAAGAAGACACATGGATTGATTTGGATGGGACATGAGGAGTTTGACTCGGGACATCGAGTGGTTCCGGTTCGAATTTGCTATTTATAGATGTGTTAGTGTGACACAATCCTTGTTTGTTGCTTATTGACCAATTGAGAATAAATAAAAACATTTGCATGCATTAAGTGTCTCATGTAGTGAATATGATGGAAAAAAGTAAGGGAAAGAGCCTATTGCGTCGCAAACTTGGTTGTTTTATTGTATTTTTACACACAATTTTGAATGCAAACATGGTTATCTAGTTAGTAGTCATTGTTAGTTAACAATTACTCAAATTAATGATTTTGACCGGATTTAAATTGGTTGTGTAAAAAATTTAAATTTTGGTTAAATTTATGTAATTATAAACACGTCTGAAAGTTTCAATTATTGATATATTAAAATGAATATTTGTATAATATTTTTTAAGTTTATGTAAAATATGTCTTTTTTTTTGTAAACATCTAAAATATGTCCAAACAAAAAATTCTTTGATTAATTAGCATCAGAACAAAGAGTGCTAATAACTGCAAACTAATTATCTTTCAACGTGCGAGTCGTCATCAGATTTTTCAGTAGGTTGGGTGGGTGAACGGATTCTCATTAGAAACTTCGACGAACTTTTAAAAATCATTATTTGGAATTCGACCAATTTGCAAAATTCAAATAATCAAATATTTGAAATCCTAGCATCAAATTATCAATGTTCCTCTTTTTGCTAAAAAAATATGTATAACTATAATTATATAGTTTTGCTATTTGTTTCTTATAGTTGCTTAGATTTTACTTATGTTTTGCATAGTTTTTGTTAAAAAAATTTCCATTTCTTTTTAATAATAATATTAATAGAGTCTCAATAGTAAAAAGCAGTTTATTCTTAAGATGCATTAGAAAGAAAGAAAAACTTAATTTGGTACCAATCTAAAAGAATAACTAGTTTTTATCGTTGTTTTGGTAGTCGAGGTCATATTTGTAAGTTTTTTCACTAGTATATAATTTTCCTTTTAAAGTTAAGAAATTAAATGAAAGTTAAGCAATGTTAACTTACGTGGGTACCATATTTAGCTACTTACGGGAGCTGTATGGTATGGTTTGTGGATAGTTTGTACTTTTGATACTCCAAACCTCAACCCCAAGGATTTTTTTTTAATTATGCTGCAAAAATGTTAATATAGATGATTCGAAAACTGCTAAGTTTTCTCTAGAGCCGACTCTGTAAATTAAATTAAGAATTTGAAAAAGCATGTATTAGACTTTTTATTATCGTTACTAAATGATAATTAAGTAGGTGAAGTTAATAAATGATATAGTTAGTACAATTAAAATTACATATATATATAAGATTAACATCAGTGATACATATTATTAATTAACAAGAAACAAACAATTTAGATTATTAATTGTAAGTAGGTGAAGTTAATAAATGATATACTTAGCACAATTATTCTTATATATACATATATAAATATATATATATATATAATTCACATAAATGATATAGATTATTAGTTAAGTCAATAATTTATAGCTATGTTCCAAACGATGTGATGAAATTGCAGATACATCAAATCTTTGTTTGAATTTGGTGGGTATGAAATTGCAGATACATCAAATCCTTTAAATATCAAAAATTCAATACTCTTTAAGAGTCTCATAAAAATATCATACCAATTAAAGCACCAAAGTAGCATAAATATTGGCCCAAATACCAAAATTAGAAAAAGAGTATTTTTAAAAAGTGTTACTGGAAAAGGGGTATTTTTGAAATTCCCCCATAGATAAATGACGATTAGTTAATAATAATAAGATTTTTTTTAGCTATGTATAACAAAGTAGATATCATGTTCTTGAGATTGAAGAACATTGGTTAATTTTGTGAACGAACTTTTGTATCATCATGACATGAGAAAGAACCTACAATTTCCACATCCCTGATTTTTTTTTTCTTGTTTATGTTTTTTTTTTTCCTAAAGCAAAATAATTAAGGCTTTAGAGACTGTAAGCTTTTTTCCCACATCAAAAATACTAAAGCTACATAAAAAATTCTATAGACCAAATTCTATGAAAAATAATTGACTAGTAAATCCAAAATAAACACCCACTAAATTTTCATAAATATATAGGATAAAGGAAAAGACTAAAATTCATCTTTAACTCCCTTCGAGGGACATCCCATAAAATTGGAACGAAGATTAACATGGCTCTTGCGCAAAAATGACACCCACAAATCGCGATATCACAATATCAACGTTTTTTGCATAAGAATAATAAAATGTATAACTAAAGATTTATTATGA